TGATTATTACACCCAGAAAGCAGTCTGTCAATCAATGAACAACCAGGTTCCTACTTACTGCTAGGTAAACAGGAGTGTGGAGGAAGGAAAGCAAGGTTTCACCCTGCAAGGCGAGTGCTCTAACCAATTCGCTACAGGATTCCAGAGACTTAAGGTGGCCTGCACTTGCAGATTGACTGACCAAATGATTATTATTTTTATTTATTTATTTTTGAAGGGATTATTACTCCCAGAAAGCGATCCACCAATCGAATAATAACTGGGTTCCTACTTACTGCTAGATAAACATAGGAGTGTGGAATAAGGAAACTTGCCTAAGGTTACACCCCGCCCAGGAATTGGTCCTCTTGTTTGCGAGGCGAGTGCTCTAGCCAATACAGGACTTCACAATAATATTTATTTACAACATGGAGAACAGTTTGATACAAGGAAATCATTTGATTTCATATCCCTAAACATGTACTTGTTTAACTGTAGTTTCATCCAGCAGCATTAATTATCTGATGTCTCTATAACATAAATCAGATGCTACATCGCAGTACAAATCGTTGAAAAATAACATGATTAAATAAATATTTACTGTTTTGATCCTTTGCAGATTGGCATAAAATGAAACATACAAAGAATTTGGGGGAATATTTACTGTATACTTTGAACCTGCCTCCCCCTTCTCTCTCACCACCACTATAACCCACATGAAGCCCATCATTTCCCACGGTTATCTTGTTTTTGCACCCCTCAGCAACATGTAAATAATATATATCTATATATATATATAAAATATTTAAGGGAAATAGGGAGGTCTGTCCCCTTAATTAGATTCTGGTTAAGCAAAAGTTTGCAAATGATTTAGTTGCAAAAGCTATTTGCAAAAGAGGTAGCAATCAGCAAACATGAGGTGCCCAACTTATCTGGGCTCAAGGTTGCTTGATTAATAGGTAGTTAATAAACAGCCTGGAAAGTCACGTGGACACTCGCACGCGGGAAAAAGCTCTTACATTCGCGTCATTTGGTAGGTGAGGTCACATGCCTATAAAAACCAATGCTTGGTGTGCCTCGTGTTTGTCATCCAGTACGTACTGAAGTGTACAGGATTACTGTGCAAGTCATGTTGGTTTAAATTACTTTATACTAATATAGTATTGCACTGCTAGTTGTGTGTGTCAGTTATATTTGATCCCAATGTTGTTTACCTTAAACTGTTGTGTTCTTTATATGAAAGGTCGCCTAGGGTTACTAGGTCTGAATAAATTGCTGTTGTATTGATTGTATCCTCCAGTCTCTGTAAATTTCTAAAACACAAAAAAAAGTAAATCACTTAAAGAGCAGCTGTCGACATCTGAGTTCTGGCATTGCAAAGAAATGGGCTGCATTTAAATCGGGCTGGGACAAATGTCCTAGCTAAACGAATTAATAGGGAGATAAATAGGAATTTTAACTAGTAAAGGGGGTGGGGGTGGTGGAATATATAGGTAAGAGAAACCATAAGTTAGCATTAGAAAAAGTAAAGATGACAGTGCAGAATAGCACGCCAGATAATGGGAATATGTTAACTTGGGGTAAGAAGTTTGGCAAAGCAGATAAAGGAATCAGAGAGTAGACGAAATGATAGGAAATTAAAAATGTTGTATCTGAATGCGCGAAGCATTCGGAATAAAACTGATGAATTAAAAGCACAGCTAGACACATATGGGTATGATCTAGTAGCCATCACTGAAACATGGTTACAAGGAGATCTAGGGTGGGAGTTAAATATTCCAGGGTTCTCAGTTTACAGGAAAGATAGGCACTGTGGGAAACAAGGTGGGGGGGAGGGGGGGTAGCCCTGTTAATTAGGGATGAAATAAAAGCAGTGTCGAGGAAAGATCTGAAATCCGATGACCAGGAGGTAGAGACAATATGGATGGAAATAAAAAATAATAAGGGGCAGAAAATATTAATGGGAGTGGTTTATAGACCCCCAAACAGTGATCACAATATAGCACAAGGTTTTAATCAGAAAATCAGTGGAGCATGTCGGAAAGGTAAAGCGATAATAGTGGGTGATTTCAATCTCCACGTAGATTGGGAAAACTAAATCGGCAAAAGTAGGTTAGAAGAAGAGTTTATTGAGTGTATGAGAGATAACTTTCTAGAGCAGCATGCCGAGGAACCAACTAGGGGACAGGCCATCCTAGACCTTGTTTTGTGTAACGAAACAGGGCTAGTTGGTCGTGCAAGACTCCTCAAGGGCAGAGTGTTCACAATACAATTGAATTCTGCATTAAGTTAGAGAGGGATATAGCTAAATCCGAGGCAGTTATTCTGAATTTAAATAAGGCTAATTTTGTAGGTATGAGGAAAGATTTAGGTAAAATAGACTGGAGAATAAGATTAAGAGGTAAAAATGTAGACCAACAGTGACAAATATTTAAGGATGTAGTGCATAATTCTCAGCGGTCGCACATTCGGTTGCGGAATAAGAGTACCACAGGGAAAGCAATTCATCCGTGGCTAACTAGAGCAGTTAGGGAAAGCAACAAATTAAAAGAAAAAGCTTATAAAACTGCCAAGCAAAGCAGCAAATCTGAAGATTGGGAGAGTTTTAGAAACCAGCAAAAAAAAACTAAAAAACTCATTAAGAATGAGAAAAAGGAGTATGAGGGTAAGCTAGCTAGGAACATTAAGTCTGATTGTAAAAGGTTTTACAAATATATTAAGAGGAATAGGCTAGTGAGGTCCACTTCAGTCAGAGATGGGAGAAGTTGTAATGGGGGATAAGGACATGGCAGAGTCCCTAAATGGGTACTTTGCATCTGTCTTCACCCGAGAAGACACAACAAGTCTGACAATAATAGAGATGCACCAAAGGGATAAGGACAGGGAGTAACTTAGGGAAATTTTCATTGGTAGAGAATCGGTGCTAGGGCAACTGTTAGCACTAAAAAGTGACGAATCCCCTGGTCCAGATGGCTTGCATCCCAGGGTTTTAAAAGAGGTAGCTTATGAGATAGTAGAGGCCTTGGTCTGATCTTCCAAAATTTCTTGGATTCTAGAAGAGTCCCCATGGATTGGAAGATCACAAATGTCATACCACCATTTAAAAAAGGTGGAAAGGAAAAGATGGGGAACTATAGGCCAGTTAGTCTCCTTCCCTATCCTTCCTGAATACATTTTAGCCAGAAATATTCAGCTCCCATTCCTGCCCAAGTCTCCATTATTGCCACTATGTTGTAACCCCATGTGGTGACTTGAGCCTACAGCTCACCAATCTTATTCCAAGCAGGGTGAAACCTTGGGCAAGTTTCCTTACTCCACACGCCTAATAATAATCCCTCCAAAACAAAAAAAATTGTCATTTTCAATCCACGACTATTTGTGGGACACTGTTGTGCACAATTAGCTGCCGCGTTTCGCCCACAAATATACAGTCAATTCACTTTATGGTATATTCTGTGAAGCGCTTTGAGATGTCTAGAAGACGTGAAAAGCGCTATATCAAATGCAAGGATTAATTTTAGTATTATTTGCATTTATACACATGTACTCCAAGATCAACTTTGTTCTTTATTTCTCCCCCATCTAATCCCTCCTTTGTCTGGATTACTCATTACATTGCTATGTGTCTCTCCCAGCCCTCTATGTAACTTGTTTGTGCTCTCTAATGCTATATCCTGATTCCCTTCCTCCCTCAAAATTAGTTTAAACCCTTCCCCACAGTACTGGTTAACCTCCTTGCGAGGTCATTGCTCCCAGCCCTGTTCAGATGAAACCCATCCATCTTGTACAGGTCCCACCTGTCCCAGAACTGGTCCCAATGATCCAGGAACCTGAAGCCCTCCTTTCTGCACCATTTCTCCAGCCATGTATTCATGTATTTGGTCCTGCTGTTTTGATGCTCACTTGCACTAGGCACTGGGAGTAATCCAGAGATCACCATCTTTGAGGTTCTACTCTTTAGCTTTTTCCTTAGCTTCTGGCACTATCCCTGTAGGATCTCAGCCCTTTTTTCCTCCTATATCATGGATCCCAACTTCTAGATGCTCCCCTCCCCGCTGTAGAATATTTTGCAGCTGTTGCATGATGTCTTCAACCCTGGCACCAGGGAGGCAACATACTGTGCGAGAATCACGTTTTTGGTTGCAGAAACGCCTGTCTACTCCTTACACCGTTATGTCTCCAATGACAATTGCATTGACACTCTTCCCTGTGTCCACCTGTACATCCATTTGCTTTTGACTCCCCTGCCCAGTGGTCTCATTACCCTGACCGGTATTCAGTACAGAGAACCGGTACACATTCTCGGGATTTTTGCACTGCCTCTTCCTACTACGTTTGGTGGTCTCCCACTCGCTCTCCTTCTGAGCCCTCTGTGGCTGTGTGGTGACCACCTCCTGAAACATTCGATCCATGAACTCTTCAGCTTGTGTCCTCTCCCTCACCAGGCTCCGTGACCCCATCACACCCATCCTCGCCCGGCTCCACTGGCTCCCTATCAAGGATCGAGTTCAAAATTCTCATCCTTACCTTCAAGGCCCTCCATGACCTGTTAGCCCCTTATCAACCTGTCCACTCAGGGAGTTCTATCCTAACTTCATCACTCATGTTGTGTTTTTTTGATTATATTTTCAAAATACAATATTCCATTAAAGGTGTAACAAAATATATTATTTAATTTTTTTAAAATCAAATTTAAGCCCAAAATAGTGTTACTGTGGGCAGCAGAGTTTACCCTCCAAATAATGTCACGTGGTCCAGTCTGGTGAGCAGCATGTGGTACATGAGCACGTGGTGCAGTAGCACGTGGTGCAGTCTGGTGGGGGGGAGCACGTGATGCAGTAACACCTGGTGCAGTCTGGGGGTGGAGCACGTGATGCAGCAACACCTGGTGCAGTCTGGGGGGGGGTGGAGCACGTGATGCAGTAACACCTGGTGCAGTCTGGGGGGGGGTGGAGCACGTGATGCAGTAACACCTGGTGCAGTCTGGGGGTGGAGCACGTGATGCAGTAACACCTGGTGCAGTCTGGGGGGGGGGGTTGGTTGGAGCACGTGATGCAGTAACACGTGGTATAGGAGCACATGGTGCAGTGTTGGGGCGGAGGCGCGAGGAAGCGACAAGATGGCGGAGAGAGGGCAAAGGGCCCGTGTGTCCGCTTGTCCACGTTGCCAAACACCTTTTCAGCTGCCTGGTAAATGTAAAATTCTCTCAGTCCCCGGTTGCTTTGCGCCCGAGAGATGGGACCAGCAAAATGGCTGGTGGAGGAGCCGCGAGCGGTGGACCAGTGAACACTCAGACCTTTACGCAGCAACGATGTTAGAAGTGCAGTTGCGCTGTACTGATATTTTATCGGGGTATTAAATTGCCCGGAGGGGAGGGCCTGATTTGACGCGGTTGTTGCGTGTGGTGGTCCCCGTTTGCTCGAAACGCTCCTCCCATTCAAAACAATCCAAAGTCGGAGGTGTGGCGCTCTGCTGGTATTTGATATCGTGTCTCACAGAGGAAAACATTTGAAAGTTTGCCAATCAATAATAGAGGGTGGAAGTGGGCGACGGTGTGAGTTAGTAGGGCCAAAGTAGGGTGGGAACGCACATAAAATACACATGTTAAAGATTCTGCTGTTGAGGATCGACTCATTTCTTTTAAAGGGACACTTTCAAAGCTAATGCTATAACTCTCCTAAACTGCAAAAAGTATAAAACCGTGCAATTGTGTGCAAAAAGAACCATGGCCAGAAACTCTGCCATCATGGATAATAATTCCTGTTTTTGATATTATAATAATAATAATCCTTGCATTTGATATATAGTGCTTTTCATGTCTTTCTAGATGTCTCAAAGTGCTTCACAGAATATGCTGTAAAATGAATTGACCGTATATTTGTGGCCAATTGCAGCCAATTGTACACAGCAGTGTCCCACAAACAGTCGTGGATTGAAAATGACCAATTTATAATTGTTTTGGAGGGATTATTATTAGGCGTATGGAGTAAGGAAACTTGCCCAAGGTTTTGCCTGCCTGGAATTGAACCCAGGTGTCTCGGTTGCAAGGCGAGTGCTCTAACCACTGAGCTCCAGGACGCCACCTTTAAAACCTGTAATAATCCTTGCATTCAATATAGCACCTTATCATGTTTACTAGAAAAGTGCTTCACAGAATATACTGTAAGGTGAATTGACTCTATAGTTTGTGAGTGAAACACGCCAGCCAATTGCGCACAGCAGTGTTCCACTGAAACACTGAAAGATCTCACAGAACTTCACAGAGAATTAAGTGAATAGTTCCAGAGTATGATTTGTCCTCTTGCACTGTGCTGGGTATACAGTAAAGTGATTTAAATCTTGCAATATAGGCCTAGAGGTTAATATTGGATTTCTTGACTGAGACAATTACCAGGACAACAAAGTTTTTTTTGTAGGCTGGGTCTACCACGCTTCACATGCTTAAGTCGCCAAACTGCTGAGAGTTCCACATATGCATGTTTTCCATCAATTTGGTTCGAAGTGTGCCCTGCCATACATGGAGGTTAGTTACCCGTGATCTTCAGACACAAGTTTGAATCATTGTTGGGAGAACTGTGGAATCAGAGGAGGTAGCAAAGGTCCTACAAAAAGAGATTGATAGGGTATGCACAAGGGCTGATAAGCTGGAAGAGATCTAGGGATGTTAGTTGATTCATCACTCACCATGTCAAACAGACAGAAACGAGACAAATGGGATGCAGGGCTACATTGCTAAATCAGTTGATTTTAGATCCCATACATCATACTTGGGCTGTATAGTTCTCTAGTCTGAGCGCATCTTCAACACTGCATACAGTTGTGGTCACTGCGGAATACAACAACAAAATTACATTTGTAAAGGGCCTTTCAATTCGGGAGTACGTCAAATGCAAGGATTATTATAAATACAATATGAATAATGGATGAAAAGCACTAAGCATCCAATGTATGTTTCCTGTTACAGAATCGTTCAGTGATGCTACAGAACATCTGCCACGTTTGCTCGATTGCGAACATGTGTTTTGTGATCAATGCCTATTGACAATACATTGTACAGAATCCAACTTCATTATATGTCCATCCTGTCAGGTATTGTAATATTTGGTTGGGTGTAATTTGTGTGTTGAAAACCTGTTTCTTTAGAATTAGATTACAGATTATGTATTTTTTAATACTTTCACAAATTTTCTTTTTCTCCTCTATCTTCTCCGAGTCTCATTAGGTAACTTGAACGCTCTTAAAACACAGACTCTTGACAATCTAAGTGGCTGGGAGCGATTGTCTAAGTATTAGTATTTGGTCTCTCCACTTGGTGCTTTTCCTCTGATCGGGTTGAGAGCAGGAATATAAACTAACTTTATAGTGATAGCAAGTTGTTTTAAATCACAGCAATGGGAAATAAATGGGAAAAGTAGAAAATGTCAGTGCAGTTGAGTTTAAAAAGTGGTCTGAGAGGGAAATATAGTGCATACCGTTATAGTGTGCAACACAATTGCTTTTAATAATTAGTGAAAGTTGCAAGTCATCATGCTTCCTTTGTAATTATAGTAGGATTTTACAAGGTATTGAAAATTGTGGCTTATGTATGTAGACGGCTACGAGCTATTTTATTGACTGTCTATTATCGTGCATTTACCTCACACCAAATTCGTTGAAACCCTTATCCATTGCCTTTGTCACCTCCCACCTCAAATTTTACAATGCTTTCCTTGCCAGTCTTCTCAGCTCCACCATTCATAAAATCTTAATTTAATTCAAAACTCTTGACATCCGTACTGAACTCCAAACCCCATCACCAGAGTCCTTGCCAGGCTTCACTGGTTCCTTACTGCAAAAAAGATTGATTTAAACTCTCATTAATCACTTTGAATTCAAGATCCTCATCCTCATTACAAGGCCATTCACGGCCTTGCACCCTCCTACCTCTCCGACCTACTATCCCCCTACTTACTTGCCTGTACCCTCCGTTCCTCTGGCTCCGGTCTGCTCCACATCCCCTGCCCCAACCGCCCTACCATCGGTGGCCGGGCCTTCAGCCTCTCAGCCCCGAGGCTCTGGAACTCCATCCCCCAGTGCCTTCGCCGCCTCCTCCCTTTCCTCCTTCAAGGCCGGTCTCAAGACCTTTCTCTTTGACCGTGCCTTCAGACCCCCTCTCGACTCTCTATCCCCTCTTCGCTCCCTCCCTTCTCTCTCCTCACCCTGACCATTCTCCCCCCTGCTCGGGTCCTGACCCAACTGTACAGCGCCTTGGGACGTCCTCCCGACGTGATAGGCGCTCTATAAATGCAATCTCGTTGTTGTTGTTCATGCCCTGGCATGTCCCTACCTCTCTGACCTGCTGACACCCCATTCCTTTACCTGCTCCCTTCAGTCGGCTGGCTCCAAGCTCCTGCACAACCCTTGTCCCCTTCACTTCACCAAAACAGCTGTGTTTTCAGCAACCATGCTCAAGATTCTGTCTTCATATCACATCTGAAGACCTTCCTGTTTGACTGTGTTTATAGTCACCTTACCTCCCCTCTCCCAGCTCAGCATCAAGCTCCGTCACTGTTGAGCACTCTCAGATGCTACCCTTTGTGAATGATGTTGTATAAATGCAAGTTGTTGTCTGTTGACCTTTGTCATATCTGCTGTTTCTGTACCTGTCTACTTGTAGGTATCAACCCCTGTGATTGCAGAAATTGGCGTGGAGGGACTTCCTCTTGACAATTGGATTATTGGTACCTTATGCACAGAAAAAATCCTGTTGAACACAAAGTAAGGCTTCTGCTTGGAGCTCAAAAGAAGACCTTTTGGCTCATTGAGTCTATATTGATGCTAGCTCCCCCGATAATACTTTCAATTCTAATCAACTTCCACTCTTTCTCTGTTGCTTTCAATTTATCCAGGTTCTTTTTAAATCCTGTTACAGCTCAGTTCAACAATCATTCGTGGTAAAACATTTATAAACTACTAACCTTTGTTTTTTTTATTTAAAAAAAACTTAACGTACCACTTTCTTGTAGTAATTTTGATTTTTTGCCCTCTGTATACTGACAATATAATTTTTTATTTACTTAATCAAAAACACTAGTTAGCATTTATAGTGTAAATATATTTTACACTATAAATTCAGCCGCCTTTTTTGTATTTGTGTTATGGATTCATGTAAATATTCATGTGAATTACATTATGTACCAAAAACAGGACAAGATCTGAAGAGCCTGGAGTCGGCAATAAAGAGAAAAATAAAGTGAATGAAGAAAGTGAACTGGATATAACAGGTCTGAATTTTAATATTTAAAATTGAGATATTGGTAAAGCCAAAGATTTGAGATTGAACTGGTTATTGGAGTAATTCAAATTCAATATCATTCATTGTATTCTACTAATTATTTTTGTTTATTACAAAACTTTTCCTTCGGTGTCTGATTCTGAAACTGTTTCTACCCATCAATGTTGTTAAAGAATTCAGTCAATATTGTTTCAGAAAGAAATACATTATGTCAAAAACGACAGAAGTTCATGCCAAAGGAGGATACAGAATTGGGAATCTCCTGCTTTGAGAAGGTAAATGTTTGATATTTTATTAAGTAGTCAATTAGATGCATCATATGAAATGCAGTTTTTATTCTCAGAATTGTAAACTTCATATTATGCTGTATTTACTCTTTTGTAGAATCAAACTGCTAGTATAATAATAGGTTTTAAGTTGAAAACACAATAGGGAATGGAAGATCTTGGAATCTGGAGAAAATTGGTATTAAACTGAAAAATCTTAATCAGTTGGATATTTAATACCAGTACCAAGCTCCGCTCCCGCATCACCCCAGTTCTTGCCAGCCTCCACTGCTCCTTGTTCAAGATCCTCACTTTCAAATCTCTTCATGCCCTGGCACCTCTCTGATCTGCTCACACCCATTCCTCTAAGTGCTACCTTCGCTCAGCTGGCACTGGTCTTTTGAACATTGCTCATCCCTCTGCTTCACAATTGCCGACTGTGCTTTCAGGCATTTTTCCCAAATCTATGGAACTCTCCATCCTGTCCCCTCTTTGCCCATCTTCAAATCGTACCTGAAAACTTTCCTCTTTGACCATGCTTTTGGGCACCTCCCCTCCCTTTCCGGATCAGCGTCAAGCCACGTCACGGTTAAGAGCTCCCATGCTATCCTATGAAGGGCATTATATAAATGCAAGTTGTTGCATAAGATGTTTCATTTTATTATTTTCAGATCTGCTATAAACAAGAAGCAAAAAATCTTACCCCATCACCTCCAACTCCTGAAAGGTAAACTTAATAAACTACTAGCTAAAATTGTAATTTCCTATTGGCGATCTGCAGTAAAGGTGAATCAAACATGCATTTTGTCGTTGTGACAATTATGAGTAAGAGCACAATAGAAATGATATTGCACTAGTATGTAATAGATATTAAAACTAATGCATTTGTATTATTTGTCTTTTACAGCTTTTCCAAACTAGGTATTATAAGGGGTGACACCAAGGATAGTGTGTTTCCAGAATTATTATTTGCTCATAAAGAACACCAGGATAATTTTGAGATCAATGTGGTATGTGATTTATCAAAATCCTAGATCTTTATATTTTCTATGATGTATGACTCTAGGTTCATTGGAATCTGTTCTGACTTTGATAGAAATAATAACTAAAGGGGATAGATATTGTTGTATAACATAATAGTGAAGCATAGACTTTCAAAATCAGTACACCCATGATTTTGTATCTGAATGGACATTGGATGCTGTATGATTGCTGACCTCATTTGTTAAACAAGGAAGCTATCATTGTTAACTAACCTCCCTTTTTCTTTAAAAGCAAAGCAGTGATTTTTGCCAAGTGTATGACCAGGACAGAATATATAACTTAATTCAGGTAAGTGAGTATTTTCAATGAAATTAAATTGGTGCAAGATTATTGTTTATATAAAAAATTATTTAAATGTGGCACTATTTGGCACAACAAATGTACACAGCTTTGATATTTAAACATTCTTGCTATTTATCACTGGTTCATTATTGAGAAACCTCATTGACTATTAACCTTCAGACTGGTTTTCATTGAAAGCTGGTCCGATGGGAGTTTCCTACCATATATGTGGAGAAGGAAAAATCTTCTAATGTCTAGCCTTTGTTTGATGCTTAGCATTTTGGTCTTGTGCCCTTTAGCTCTGTAATCAGCTTGAGAATGTCATGTTGCTGAGGCTCTAGATCACAAATATCTGTTTGTACAACTTCTAGTGTCTCCCCATCTGCATGGTAGTGTCTTAACTATGTTGAGGTTTTTTTTTTTACGTACAGCGTCTGGAGGACAGCAGTTCTTCAATTGAAAACAACTGCAACAAAATTAGAAAGGAGCTACATAAGGAGTTTGAGAAAATTGTACGTGCTGTCCAAAATAGGTAATATTTCAGTAATTATATAGAGAATTTATAATAAATGGTATAGAGTTATCTTTGGTACAAAGGAGTAATTGAGAATGATATTGGGGTTTTACAATTTGTGCTTTCCATCTTAATTTGAACTAAAACAACAGATTACCCCTATGATCTGAGCAAATTCAATGACTTCAAAGACGTCATGCCATGTACATTAGTATAAGCTTAAACGGCCTATTGAAATCTTCAGAAAAAAGATATTAAAACATTTAAACATTGATGTAACTGATATCAAAATTAATGAAAATCTAAAAAGATAATCTGAAACGCAAATGTTGTCATTAGTTATAAGTAGGGCTTCTGATTTATAATAATAATCCTTGCATTGATATATTTTCAGTTTTAACTGAAAACCCCCAATACAAAAAAGATGAATTTGGTGTTTATCCAATTAACCCTGGAAAACACCAGTAATAGTTACTCAATTCATGTCGATTTCATGTTGATTTTAGAGCTACGGATTTCTTGGTAGTTTTGAGAAATTATTTTAACACCTGTAATAAGTTTTTTTTTAAAAAATTGTTAACTAATATAGTGTCCACCAAAATTGCGTTGGAATGGTTTATTAGGAATTAAAACAATGCCTTTTTAACTGAGGTCCAACCAATCTTTTATTTATGTTTAATTTCTTATCTTTAATGATTTGCATTGGCATTTTCCCCACAGTATAGAAGTTAGAAAGGCCAATGTAATCATTTCGGAATGGTTAAATTGCTTGAAGCCCATCCCAAAATCTATTATTCACTTTTAGCTTGTATTTCCAGGAAAGCAATATTACTAAAAGAAATAGAAACTATCAGTCAACACCATCTTGATGGAATTGCCAATGTCAGAAAGATACTGGAGGAGAAAACTAGTGTCTTGGACTCGGCCATAGATCCAGTTGAATCCAGGGGTGAATTTATCAGAGCATCTAGTGATACAAAGCAGGTAGGCATTTTGATGTTATAAAATGTATGCTTTTGTATTATGAAAACTATTGAAATAGCTTTTTATTCTCTAGATTAATTGTTTAGGAGTCTTGAAATACCATTACCACTCTAATCTGAATATTTCAAAATTAGCTGTTTGGAAGGTATGGAGATTGATCCTGGAGTTCTGCTCTGTATGATCCATGTAGTGAATTACATTTATAGATGAAGCACTTTTGTGTTTGTCAATAATTTAGTGAAATTGTCCATCTGCAGTTCACTTTATTATTTATTTATATGGATATGTATAAGAAAATGAATACTACATTTTTCAGGAATGTTTCTTTCACAATTAGTGCTAAAACAGTGGAGCCTTATAATGCAGTGTTTGTGATCCATAAAATCTCAACCCATACGCAGAGAGTGAGGCAGCCATTGCACCTGACTCCCTATGTACCAGCCAGTTTGTGTTCTTTTCAAAAAAGTCTTGACTTTTTGTCACTGAATCACAGGCACATCATTATTCCATCCATTGGCTCTGAATTTGAACCCAAAGGTGAGAGGCAGCCAGTCTCCATATGGAGCTCTATACTTCTACAACCAGAATAGACTGTTCCAATGTTAGTGTTTACTTACAGGTTACTGTACAAATGATTTTTTAATGCAACATCTGATATTCATCCTTGTACAATTATTGTAATGAAAGTTATTTTATGATTTTAATCTTCTTTGTTTGGTTTTAGATTATTGAAAACTTGGACGAAGTACATACTATTGTAGAGGCTTTGGAGACCAGAATTGACCTGAGGCAAGTGCTTGGTTTTGATTCTTTGAATAGATGTAGGATGGGGAAGGGGCAAGCACTGTCAAAAAGATAGGTTTAAAAGCAGGCAGGGGATGAGACACGGTTTCTCAAATGAAGTTCCAGTGAGTGGGAGCAGATTGGCTGAATGCTCGGCCTGCCAATGGTGGGCCAGATCGGGAGGAGACGTGAAGCAAGCCAGTGTTTGCTTAGTGGAAGGAGTGGCCATAGGGTTGCAGGAGGTCGCATAGGTAGGGTGGGCTAGACTGCAGAGGAATTTGAATGCGAGAATGAGAATCTTGAGTTCAATCATTGATGGAATGGGGAGCCGTTAGAGCGGAGGGAGCGTTGGCATGATGGATGGGACCTGGCATTGGGGACGGCAAAAGACAGCAGAGTTCTCATGGCCTGCAGCTTGTCTAGATGGGAGTTGGGGAAGCAGGGTGGAGGAATAATTGAGTTACAATAACAACAACAGCCTCGGGGCTGAGAGGCTGAAGGCCCGGCCACCGATGGTAGGGCAGTTGGGGCGGGGGATGTGGAGCAGACCGGAGCCGGAGGAACGGAGGGTACAGGTACAGGTAGGTAGGGGGACAGTAGGTCAGAGAGGTAGGAGGGAGCGAGGCCGTGAATGGCCTTGTAGGTGAGGGTGAGGATCTTGAATTCGATCCTCTGGGGGATGGGGAGCCAGTGGAGGCGAGCGAGGGTGGGAGTGATGTGGTCCTGAAGCCTGGTGCGGGACAGTACACGAGCTGCAGAGTTCTGAATGACCTGCAGCTTGTGGAGGGAGGTGCCGGGAAGGCCGACGAGGAGAGAGTTCCCATAGTCCAGCCTTGAGGTGATAAAGGCGTGAACCAGGGTTTCAGCAGCGTGAGGGGTGAGGTAGTGCCGTAGTCTGGCAACATTCCGGAGGTGATGGAAGGCGGTGCCAGTTGTGGCGCGGATATGAGGAAGAAAGGACAGCTCAGGGTCGAACAGAACCCCGAGGTTCCTGACTGGCTTTGAGAGGTGGAGAGTGCAGCCTTGGATGCTGATGCTGTCAGTGCCAGAGGTGCGGAGGCGCTGACGTGAGCCAATCAGGAGGGCCTCAGTTTTACGCACGTTGAGCTGAAGAAAGTTGTCTCTCGTCCAGGACTCAATGTCAGACAGGTAGGCTGTCGGTGGTCGTGGAGTTGAGGGTAGAGGAGGAAAGGTAGAGCTGTAGTTAAAACATAATGAAAGTGGTGATAAGGATCTCAGTACCCGAGGGGTGGGGGGCGAAGAGTGGCGAAGGCAGAGATGTTGGGGGATGAGGGAAAGCCGAGCTTGTTGCTCTGGATGTAGTAGTTGGGGATTGAACAAGACACCAAAGTTCTGCACCAGCTCTGTGATATGGAGTGAGCATCCATGCAAGTTGATGCGGTCAGTGCCTGAACTGATTATCTAGTTCAGATCAAAGTTTCTGTTTAATGAATACTGTCCCGCACCAGGCTTTGTGACCACATCACTCCCACCCTCGCTCGCCTCCACTGGCTCCCCATCCCCCAGAGTATCGAATTCAAGATCCTCATCCTCACCTACAAGGCCATTCACGGCCTTGCTCCCTCCTACCTCTCCGACCTACTATCCCCCTACCTACCTGCCTGTACCCTCCGTTCCTTTGGCTCCGGTCTGCACCACATCCCCCGCCCCAACCGCGCTACCATCGGTGGACAGGCCTTCAGCCCCTAGGCTCTGGAACTCCATCCCCCAGTGCTTTCGCCTTGCTTCCTCCCTTTCCTCCTTCAAAGCCAGTCTCAAGACCTTACTCTTCAACCATGCCTTCAGCTCCCCTCTCGACGCTCTACCCCCTCCTCGCTCCCTCCCTTCCCTCCCCTCACCCTGACCATTTCCCCCCTGCTTGGGTCCCGACCCAACTGTACAGCGCCTTGGGACGTCCTCCCGACGTGAAAGGCGCCCTATAAATGAAATCTTGTTGTTGTAAATTGAATTAGAAATTAGAATTGTTTTGGATAGAACTACACTTGGATCAAGAATTAAAATTCCATTTTTTTTCAGATTTCGAATCCAAACTGAACCATTATTAATAGCCTTTGCAAAATTGGGGAAAATTGAATTGGGAAAACAAAGAAGGTAAGTTAAAAGCTTGGTTTATACGTTATACATTCTTTGTTCCCTGTTGTGCAATTGATCTGAAACTAATATGGTCATAGGGAAGCTTTTTGTTGAGCCTTTTAGAGAGATCCTGCTTCACTGTTAGTGAGCAGAGGATCTGTATGCCATAAAAGGTCAATTGCTGTCCATTCCAGTATGAGAGTGAAAATGCAATATGTGACATATAGTGTGAGCTTCTGCTTCTGGAAATGTCTGAGTCAATAAAATTGACTTAAACATGTATTCTATTAGCTAGCACTGAAATGTTGGCATCGTTGTGGCTGAGGTTTCAAAGGCGTCGCCTGGCGTCTCATTGCCGCTACAAGTGATTTTCGTGAGTGGTCCACCGGTGGCTATTCATTGATTAAGACATTTCCAGGAACAGAAAGTCCAATGATGTGATAATTATAATATACCACATTTTTGATCCCATGATTTTAGTTCTGTTACTTTGCTTGTGGATCATTTAACACAAATGTTCCTATTCTTCAGTTCTTTGAGCTTTCCTACAAATGTAATCTTGTTGTTTAAGGCATGCATGACCAGCTGACAAAATCCTGCTGTTATATTTGTTAGAGATCAAGTCTCATCATAAGCTTGTATTTTCTCTGTTAAAATTGCATTGAAAAAGTTGTTCTATCCGATACTTGAAGATATGCTCTTAAGTGTATTGGGATGGTTAGATTTTAAATGTTTGCATTTTATAAAGTTCATGTAACACTGAATCATCTCAAAGCATTTAACAGGTAATTAAGTGTAGTGACTATTCTAGGCAAATGGAGCAGCCAGTTTGCACACAAGGTCCCACAAACAGCCATAAAGTGAATGACTAATTTTATCACAGAATCATAGAAATTTACAGTGCAGAAGAGGCCATTCACTTAATGGAGTCTGCATTGGCCCTCAGAACTAGATCATTTAACCCCTATACTCCTTCAAATCTCTATCCTTCATATACCTAACTACTCGAGACCCACAATGGACTCTCGGCAGAGCATTTCATATCCTAACAACTCAGTGAAAACATTTCACCTAAGCTCTCCTTTCACTCTTCTCGTGACTCTTATAACTATGGCTCCTAGTTACAAGATTCCTTACTAGTGAAAAAGCTTCTTTCCGTTTACCCTGTCAATTTTGTACGTCTCTATCAAGTCCCCTATCAACCTTGTTTGCTCCAATGAAAATAGAAGCAACATCTCCAATTTCTCCTCAAAACTAAAGCTCCTCATCCATGCTATCATTGTAACTCTTTCTGCACCCCCTCCAAAGCCTTGCCAAGGGAGAAGCTGACAGATCTAGGGGTGTTGGTTGACTCGTCGCTCACTATAACAAAACCGTGAGGCAGCAATAAATAAGGCAGACAGGATGTTGGGCTAAACAAAAGAAAAAATACTGCAGATGATGGAAGTCTGAAATAAAAACAGAAGTTGCTATGAACACTCAGCAGTTCAGGTAGCATCTTTGGTGAGAAGAAAGTGAGTTAACGTTTCAGGTTGCTAATCTTTTGTCAGAACAGGATGTTGGGCTATATTGCTAGATCAGTTTTTTACAGACCTCCTATTTGGGCTGTATCGTTCTCTGGTCAGGCTGCACCTTGAGCACTGCGGACAGTAGTGGTTTCTATGACATAAGGGCGCTGCCCACACTCTGGAAGCAGAGGAGAGCAACGAGGATGATTCCGTATTAGAGGAATGAGCTCTGAGCAATGATTAAGGCTCTTCAATCGTGAGAGAAGATGACCCAGATGGGATCTTGTCGAGGTGCATAACATTTTAAATGGAATTGAAAAAGTAAACTCAAATGAATTCTTTAGGATGCATCAAGACAGTAGAACAAGAGGACATGGGTTTGGAGTTGTAAAGGGCAATTTCAGTTCAGATACCAGGAAGCTTGAACTCATGACCTTCTGACCCAGAGGCAACAATGCTATAAACTGAGTCGAGCTTAAATCTTCCAATAAGTACACAGTAAAACCCTTTTATTGTTCATGGTTCCCGATTCTTGTTTGCATTGCAGTTGATTCTCTTGTTACTGTCTTTTTTGACAGGTTTCCTAGTTCACGGACAGAAAAGAAGCTGCCATGTGAGTTTATTGGAAAAACAGCGAAACAAAATCATTTACCTAGAGAAGTAAATCATCTTACCAATTGCAAACATTTATATTCTGAACGAAAGAAACCGGAGATGGAATCATTGATATACTCTGACATGCATGACCTGGTTTCGCAGGAGAATAAGGCAGTTTCTCAGGCAGAAAATGGCTCATTGAATAGGGAGAAGGGTTTATTAAACAACTGGGACAGCTTATACCTTGCACCTCAAATTGTACCAAGTCAGGATGTAGACGTTGTGGTTGAACAAATAATTGAAGATTACCAGATAAGTATGTTACTGTTTTATACTTTAATGTGAACCAGGCTTGTAACTATCTTCAGAAAAGTACAGTTCCTTTAGTGGGCATTGAAATAATGCAATTGAGTAAAATATAATTGTGATGCATAGTCATTTTGATAGGTTTCAGACTGAAAAATACTTCCCTTATGAATTATTTTTCAAGTATTGAACTAATCAATGTGATCTAGCAATATTCTGTGCCTTTTTAAAGAAATTGCATTTACCATTGATTTCAAAATCTCTTGTTTTCTGAATTTGTACTACTTTTAATAATGTAATGCTTTTATATCAAAAGCAAGTATTTAGATGCTCAGTATATTCACAGAAATATTTTATTTAAAATTGGAATTTCAGATTTTTTTGTATTAAATATAAACTGGTTGATTTTGAGAATTAATTTGGAATATAAAAGGTACAACGTAATAATAATCCTTGCATTTCATGTAGCCCCTTATCACTTCATCGAGACATCTTAAAGCACTGAAAGGTGGGTTGACTATTTTGTGGGTGAAACCTGGCAAGCCAATTTGCGCACAGCAATATCCCATAAACAGCCATGGAGTGAATGACTAATTTTATTTGGGGGATTTGTTTGCAGGACACCAGGAGAAACTGCCTTCTCTTTTTGAATAGTGCCATGGGATCTCAATACTAAGCATAAGGATTATTATGTTATGTTTACTAGCTCAACTCATTTTAAAACTGAAAAAATGGAAAGTAATTAGTCAATTGCTTAACTTGATTTTAATGAAAAATGTTGAAAACATTATGGTGGGGAAAGAGACACTGATGTGATTCCCACTCAGTTGAGTTTTCTTTCTTCCCTGGGTAGGAAGTGCAGAGTAGTTTGGCTTGAGTTTATTTTCTGAAACAATTTCAAGAAATATTTCCGAAAGTAGTATCCTGAATTTGATTGCTTTTTAATTTTATAACTGTTAGCTCTTCAGCTAATGCATTATTTGATGAAGAACTTGTGTGTTCATAATTTTCGTACATTCAGTTGTTTCAGATTTGATGGATAGAAAGAATATAAACTTACCAAGACCAATGTCAAAGAGACAGAAGAGACAATTTCAGAAGAAACGTGTTCCAAACACTATCTCTGGTTGTCAAGCAGGTATGTGAGGTTTATCTCAAGGTAATTAAAATAATTATTTTGTTTGTTTCTGGTTTACCCGTGGGGGGTTTGTGTTGTCGTGACAAGCCCCCCCCCCGAATTTGTTCCAGTTTTAATGGTCTTTATGTCATGAATCCTTAGATCGTAGGTATTTTAGTGAGGCTGTTAATTATTATTTAAATTGCGATTGTACTTCAGGTTTTCAGGCATTGGTTTCAGTCAGTCACGTGATAAATCCATGCCATTTCTACATCCAAAAGTCTTCAGAGAAAAAAAAGGCATCTCTCTTGGCTTCAGAAGCGACTAACTTCTGCAATAATGTGGAGTCCCAAAAAATTCCTATACCTGCTCTGGAACTTGGTAACTATTACTTTTGACTTTTAGGCCACAAATGTTAAAAGGAGTAACCAATAGACTTTTACCATGGAATGGACTGGTGGGACTAAGAACTATTTGTATTTGTTTGATTAACATTCCATAGTCTGATAATATACCTTCAGGAAAGCATTTTGCAGGAATTATTCCATATGCTTCTGTTACTCTAGCGTTAAGTAGGAACCTGGTTGTTAGTCAATTGGCGGATCACTTTTCCGGGGGTAATAATTCCTTTTAAAAAAAATGGTCACTTCAATCCTTGACTGTTTGTGGGACACTGCTGTGCTCAATTGGCTGCCGCATTTCGCCCGCAAAATATACAGTCAATTCACTTCACAGTATATTCCGTGAAGTGCTCCGAGACATCTCGAAGATGTGATAAGGCTCTATATCAAATGCAAGGATTATATTCGCTCATTAGTACAATTGGTTCCTATGGGTGTAAGGATAGGATTTTCTTGATTTTAATTCTTATATGCTCAGAATGATTCGGCAAACTTCCCTATGAGCCTTCTCCTCCAATGAGGTTAATAAACTCAGCACAAGTTGGGAATCAAATCTGTGACCTTTCGATCAGAATGGTGGTTTCAGCCACTCAAGGAAAATCTCTTGAGTAGATTTAATTAGAATCCTCATGGTGCAAGCAAGAATGAAATGAAGAACGGTGTATTTTCAAAACCAAAAACAATAATAAATTGGTCACTTTCAATCCACGACTGTTTGTGGGACATTGCTGTGCGCAATTGGCTGCCGCGTTCGCCCTCAAATATACAGTCAATTCACTTTACAGTATATTCTGTGAAGCGCTTTGGGACGTCCTCCCGACGTGAAAAGCGCTATATCAAATGCAAGGATTATTATTATTATTATTATTATTTTCATTCTTTGAATGGTAAACTACCAAATCCATTTTATCTTTCAGTGATTTTAGACAAAAAGGATGTGCTTTATTTACAATAATAACAACAAAATTACATTTGTATAGCGCCTTTCACATCGGGAGGATGTCCCAAGGTGCTGGACAGATAGAGGGTCGGGAAGGGGGAGGGCAGGGGGGGGAACCAGGGAGATCGAAAGCACAGTTGAAGAGGAGCGTCTTGAGGTGGGTCTTGAAGGTGGCGAGGGAGGAGGCGAGACAGAGGGACTGTGGGATGGAGTTCCAGAGGGTGGGTGCAGAGTGTTGGAAGGCCCGCCGCCGATAGTGGGGCAAGCAAGGCAGCGGACGTGAAGCCGGCTGGAGCCCGCTGAGTGGAGGGAGGGAACAGGATGGTAGGAGGGTTAGGAGGTCGGAGAGGTAGGGGTGAGCAAGACTGTGAAGGGCTTTGAAGGTGAGGACCAGGATCTTGAACTGTATCCTCTGTGTGATGGGAAGCCAGTGGAGTTGGGCAAGGATGGGGGTGATAGGGTCGCGGAGCCTTGTGTGAGAGAGGACACGGGCTGCAGAGTTCTGGTTGATCTGCAGCCTGTGGAGGGAGGAGTTGGGGAGGCCGACATAATCGAGCCTCGATGTAATGAAGGCATGTATGAGGGTTTCAGCGGCCTGCGGTGTGACACCGTGTCGGAGCCGGGTGACGTTGCAGAGGTGGGGGAAGGCAGATGTGAGGTAGAAAGAATAGTTGAATCAAGTCTTTCAAGTCCTGCCTCAAGACCCTCTTCGACCATGCCATCGGCCACCCCCCTTCCCCTCCCCTCCCTTACCCCCCACCCCCAATCCCAGCTCAGGTCTGAAATGCTGTACTCTGTCCAGTGCCTTGGGATGTCCTCCCGACGTGAAAGGCGCTATACAAATGTTGTTGTTGTTGAGGGTCAAACAAAGCCCCAAGGTTCCAGACTGGCTTAGTAAGGTGGAGTGTACAACAATGGATGGTGATGCTACCAGCGCCTGAGGTGAGGAGGCACTGATGGGAGTTAATCAGGAGAGCCTCGGTCTTGTTCACGTTCAACTGAAGAAAGTTAGTTGTCATCCAGGACTTGATGTCTGATAGACATTCTGTCAGCACAGCAGTGGTCCTGGAGTCAAGGGTGGAGGCAGAGAGGTAGAGTTGGGGGTCATCCGCATACATGTGGAAGTTGACTCCATGTCTGCAGATGATGTCACCAAGAGGGAGCTATAGATATTGAAGAGGAGGGGACCAAGGACAGAGCCCTGAGGAATGCTGTATGTGACGATCTGGGGGCTAGAGGAGAAGCCGTTTGAGGAGATGAAGTGCAGGGGGTGTGAGAGGTATGATCTGAACCAATCAAGGTCAGCGCCGTTGAGGTGAGAGGAGAGGCGGTGGATGAGGATAGAAGTCGACGGTGTCGAAAGCAGCAGAGAGGTCAAGAAGGATGAGGAGGCAGAGGGAGCCCTGGTCACAGGTGGACAGAATGTCATTTGTCACTTTGAGCAGGGCAGTTTCTGTGCTGTGGGCGGCACGGAAGCCCAAATGGAGGGATTCGAGAAGGGAGTGGCAGGAGAGGAAGGAGCGAAGCTGAGAAGCAACAACTCATTTGGGTGATAACATTTTAATATCACTGCGCAAGTATTTGGCTCACAAATAAAGTACATCAACTACTGTTTAAAACCATATTGAGATAGAATATAGCTTTTGGGTAATTGTTCTAGATTATCCATGTTATTGTAAATTTAAATTACTTTTTTCTTTCTGGCTCTTATTGCAGGTGAAAGAATTATTGTTAAAAGCAATCTATTCTGTACATGGTGCAGAGGAATTATCACAGAACTGGTGCCATCAGAAGAAAATGAGGAGAAACCTAATGGTCCAACAAGATATCGAATAACTGAAGTTGCAGTGATGCAAGTGTTCTTGTTGGACATTGGACATTCAGAAATCTTTGTGGTAACAGGGTATCCGAAATTCTTGGCACTATTTTACTTAAATGATTTGTTTCAAGTAACATCTTATCTTAGTGATATTGTCTATAAAATAACTAGATTACACTCTTTCGTAGATTTAACAATCTTGTGAAGAAACTGCAGGATGGTATTGATGCATACTCGTATGTGAATGACTTGTCCCAGTGTGTACGGAAATTGGGTCCTGAGGTGAAAGGAGTGATAAATACAACTCCTCCATTAGCAATCAAGTGCTCACTAAAAGATATTGTTCCACCAAACTTTGTAAGTGACTTATGCTCCAACCCACCAGTTGTGTTGGCCCTTTCTCGTCTTCCCGCTCACCCCCAGCTTTAATCTAGCAATTTGTTTTTTAATAATAATCCTTGCGTTTGATATAGCCTCTTATCACGTCTTCTAGACATCTCAAAGTGCTTCACAGAATATACTGTAAAGTGAATTGACTATATTTTTGGGGTGAAACACGGCAAACAATTGCACACAGCAGTGTCCTACAAACAGTCGTGGATTGAGGTTTTTTTTAAGGGATCATTACCCCCGGAAATGCTATCTGCCATTCTAACAACCAGGTTCCTACTTACAGAGGCATGTTTCACGATCAAATTCTGGATGAGAGCTAGCTTCCCTCTACAAGCTGCAAATTATTCAGATTTCTGAGGCTCGTGTGTCAACAACAACTTGCATTTATATAGTGCCCTTCACGCGGGGCCGAGGAAGAGGGGAGGTGACTAAGAATGATCAAAAAGGAAGGTCTTTAGGCGGAATTCAAAGGTGGGGATGGAGGGGCAAGGTGAGAGAGAGTTCCAGAGTTTCAGGGCCTAATGGCTGAAGGCACAGCTACTGATGGTGGAAAACGGAGTGCACGAGGGACAAACAGGAGGCCAGAGCCAGCCGAGCGGAGGCAGCGGGTGGTGTAGTGGGTGTAAGCAGGTTGGATAGGTAGGTAGGGAGGTGCAAGGACATGAAGTGATTTGAAAACAAGTGAGGGGATCTTAAAATCAATCCATTCTGTGATTGGGAGCCAGTGGAGCCTGGCAAGGACTGATGTGATGGGGATACAGAGTTTCATGCGGGTGAGTATCCAGGCGGCGCAAGTTTTGAATTAATTGCATTTTGTGTATGGTGGAGCTGGGGAGACCAGCAAGCATTGGAGTAGTCCATCCAGATTATTCTAGTGCCCTCTCCCATTCCAAGCTCCATGAACTGATCACCTCTATCCTTGCCTGACTCCAATGCCTCCCCATCCCTCAGAGATCAAGTTTAAACAACAACAAATTACATTTATATAGTCAGGAGGACGTCCCAAGGCTCTGGACAATTGGATTTGGACCCGAGCTGGAATCAGGAGTGGTGGAGGACAGGGAGGGGAGGGATGGAGGGTGACTGAAGACAGTCGAAGACGAGGGTCTTGAGATTGGCCTTGAAGGAGCTAATGGAGGGAGCAAGGCTAAGGGACTGTGGGCTGGAGTTCCAAAGGGTGGGGGCAGAGAGGCTGAAGTCCCGACCGCCAATGGTGGAGGCGGCTGGGCAGGGGACATGGCGCAGGCAAAAGCTCTGAGCAGAGGGGGCGGACAGGTCCATATAGAGTTAAATCCTTGATTTAAAGCCCTCCACGGCTTCTCTCTACCTCTGCAACTTATTAACACCATGCCAACCTGTCTTGAGAACTGATCTTGTGAATAAATATGGCAGCACATCCAGAATCAAAGGGTCTTTTCAAATTAGGCAATTTTTTTAAGGTGACTAATTGAAGTAAAATTTTATCTTTTACTATACAACAACTTGCACTTACATAGCGCCCTCCACACAGAGTAGTCTCAGAGCCTTCCCTTCTATAGAGAAAATGGGAACTTTTACAATGAGTAATGATGTCCACTATAATGAATTTACAGCATTTTAAGTTTGTATATGATATATATTTAATTTTTAAATTGACTTAAACCATTTGACAGAAAAACAGATGGAGTGTGGAAGCAAGAGATGAATTTATACGAATGGTGGATAACAAAACAGTTCAAATGTTAGTTTTAGGAGAAGACGGAGACAAGTTGCTTGTTGATTTAAAAAAGCCTCCTCCAGATAAGATGGGAAATAATGTTCCTGTTTCGCTACGAGACGCTCTTGTGTTCTTGGATTTGGCCAGGTATTATTTTATCATAAGACCTTCCTGAACCTCGAGTGAAAACTTAATTTTTTATAGTGTTTAGTCATTGTAATGTTTCATTGTCATGTTAGTTTATCTGAGAAGTTACCTTTCAAAATTTTAATCGCTCCTATTTAATTATTTAAGAGCAGTTTAAGTTTAAGTTCCCCTATGACAATAAGCAGAAATTTATAATGGCTTTATGTCATTGGAAAGGCTATGCATAATTTCCTGTATCGAAGTTCTGAGCTACAGTATTTCATAAGGTTTTCACCTTACGAGCTAAAGATCGCTAAATATTATCCAAGTGAGTTTTTGAATAGGAGAATTTGAGCTTCATCCATTAATCATATAAAGCTTGTATGTAGGTAGGAAAAAAACTTATGGGTTGTCTTTGATATATGGAGTTTTTTTCAACCTATTGGTTTGCAAACTAAACAGCTGAAGCTAAAATAAAACATGGGCATGAATTAACTGCACTTCAATTGGACACCTTAGATCAGGTATTGTTTGCTCTTGCATACTGTTGCTGAAAATTGTTCAAATGAATAAACCTTTATCATCTCAGGTTTGTTTCTGAATATTCTGTGCCCCCTTTGACTGAGGAAAATAACATGAAGCACGACCCAGCAGTTATACCACCTCTCTTGGAGAACATCCAAGTCATGATTACTCATGTCAACGACCCATCAGATTTCTACATTCAATTGGTAAATGTTGGAATTCAAACAATCTTTTTCAATGTATTATTTTGCAGATCTATTTCTTAACTTGCAGAGATTATTAGATCTATAGAATTTAGAAACTAAAGGTTGGCTTTGTTTTGCCTCCATTACTTTGATGTTCTAGGTAATTCGTATTTTGCATGCGTACATTGTTCTGGTAGATATCTCAAAAACCTTTGACGACATGTTATTTATGGAATGGAAATCTAAATATCTCATGAGATCCCAAAGATTGCTTCATGATAACCACCAAAAGCAAGTTGAATGAGAATTTCTATATTCCAGAGTGTAAATCGATATTTGGACTTTAACTTCTTTGAGTTGGGCCTAGACTACAAACCGTACTTATTTTTACTTCACACTGCAGGCTGATACTGTGAAACTCATTATCCTTACAAAAAAGATGTTTGAAGTGTACACTGAAAAGAATGTCAGGATGGAAATCTTGTGCCCAGTTGTAGGACAAGCCTGTGCAGCAATGTTTGAGGATGGAGGATGGTACAGATGTCAAATTAATAGTAAGTGAATATTTAAAAATGATAACCACTTCCTCACCCCCAAAACGCTGGTTATTCTTAAAAACAACTATCAAGCATGCTGTCTGATTTAGTGTGCCTGCCTCCAGCCAGGCTTCACACCCAATGCAGCTGAAACTCTCATGCATGCTTTCGTCACCTCCCACCTCAATTTCTCCAATGCCCTCCTCTACAAAATCCAACCAGTTTTGAACTTGTTTCTGCCCATTTCTTCACCCATACCAAACTCTCCATCATCCCAGTCCTTGCCAGGCTTTACTGGCTCCCTGTTACAAACAGATTTGATTTTTTTTCAAGATCCTCACACTTGCCTACAAATCACTTCAAGCCCTAATACTTCCCTACCTTTCAAACTTGCTTACATCCTACTTCCCTCCCCATTCACTGCCATCTCCAGCCTTTTGCACGTCCCTCACCCCCTCTTCCATGTTTCCACCTCTATGCCCTGAAATTGTGGAATTTTATGCCCCGTCTTTGCTTATCTTCAGATTGCATCTGAAGTCCTTCCTCTTTGACTGGGTTTTCGGTCACTGTTCTTCCCAGCTTGTTGTTGCATTTTGCCATTAAGTGTCCCGTGATGCTTTATAGGGTACTACGTAAATGGAGTCCTGTAGCTCAGTGGTTAGAGTACTCGCTTTGCAAGCGAGACACCTGGGTTCAATTCCAGGCAGAGTGAAACCTTGGGCAAGTTTCCTTACTCCACACATCTAATAATAATCCCTCCAAAAAACAAAACAATAACAAATTGGTCATTTTCAATCCACGACTGTTTGTGGGTCACTGCTGTGCGCAATTGGCTGCCATGTTTCACCCACAAATATTCAGTCAATTCACTTTACAGCATATTCTGCATATTCGCTTTGAGACGTCGAGAAGATGTGAAAAAGCGCTATATCAAATGCAAGGATTATTATTAAATACAATTTTTTTTGCATTGGAAATAGGAAGGGGGTTGGGATTTGAGGTAATACAAATCCTTGCTTTGATCACGGGCTATAATGTTAATGACTCACAAAGAACTTCAGATAGCAAGTGCTATGTGTTGCATGTATTGAATGTGTGTGACAGATTCATCAAAATGATACCTGGGTTTAAAAGGTTTGATTTCAGCGCCTTGGGAGGTCCTCCCGACGTGAAAGGCACCATACAAATGTAATCTTGTTGTTGATTATGAGGAGAGGTTGCATAAACTTGGTCTGTATTTCCTTGAGTTTAGAAGGTTGAGGGGTGATCTGATTGAGGGTTTTTTTTAATAATAAAGAGAAAAACTATGTACCTGCACCCCTAAATCCTTCTTTAACATCATGAAAAACGTGACCCTTTTTTCCAGAAATGTACTACTTCACATTTTGCAAAACTTAATTGCATGGACCATCTATCCACTCCCTCTGCCAGATCTAAGTCTGCATACCACTAACTCAACATCATCAGAAAACATGAATTCTTCCCCTCCATAGGCATTTTTAAATGAATATAGTTGCAGCTATAAAGATACTTAATAATCCTTGCATTTGATAACTTATAATAACTTCACTACTACAGCAGAGATAAATATTGTGCAATATGTATTGTTTAGGGCCTCCTCTAATAGAATATTCATATTAAACTATTTGTGTAGCAACCCTAACTATTAGCTTTCTTATATTAGTCTTTGTATGAGTTTTGTAATAAGTGCTCCAGGACGCTACACCATGTGAAGGGCGCTATATAAATGCAAGTTGTTGTAGTGAGTTTCCGCCTAGGAAGGTAAAACCTTGTATTGACTGTGTGTGACAGATTCATCAGAATGATACAAGGGGTTGAAGGTAAAACCTTCCTAGGACTTAAACTAAAACAATCTTTCCACAACTAATGTCAATCCTGTTGCATACAATCTAGACTTTAGATTTTGTGTACGTTTTCAAATCAAATGCTCAGAAATATTTGAGAATAACTTTTTTTTGGTTTTAGGCTTGACTGGACACAGAGAAGTAGATGTCAAATATGTAGACTTTGGCAATACTGCAAGAATACCAATTACAGCTGTGAGGAAAATAAAAGGGGATTTCTTAACTTTACCAATACAAGTAAGCATTGTTATACTTCATGCAAACTTCAGTGGGGATTGCAAGGAACCTCTTAGTGAAACTTGAAGTATACAACTAGGTGACTTGACTTCCTTTTCATTAAAATCTTGTTTCAAAGTCTGATTTTTTATTATGATGAATACAGTTTGGGTTTATAAATATATCCAACCTTATAGTTGTTACAGCTGTCTTCAGAGTAGGGGCATTTTAGCACATTTCCATACATAATTTTTTGCTTCAGTTTATATTTGCCATATATGATAGAACTTGTTTTAAAGTCTGGAACAATTTCTGGTATGCGAGTGCTGTTTATCTATCCTAACAGGAAAGGTTGAAAGTGTTTATCTAGGCTCTGAGCTATTTGAAAAAGTAAGATTAAAATAGAAAAGAAACATAAGTTTTGATATTTATTAAAAGGCATTGTGAAACAAAGTACGGAAGTTATTTTTAAAATCGTGGACTATCAATTTTGTATTTTTGGGGAAGGGGTGTGAATCTGCGACAATTGTTTTCTTTCTGTAAGGCTCTACAGTGTAGATTGGCTGACGTGGAACCCACCAACAGAACAGAGGGCTGGGATGACTTTGCAAAGGAAAGGCTTAAAGAGTTGACACTCAACAAATATTTATGGTGTTGTATAACTAGTAAGTGATGCTTTTCACTTAATGCTTGAAAATTGTGTATTTCATATAATAATAATACTCACATTTGTTATAGCACCTTACTACGCTATTGAAACGTCTCGAAGAGCATTAGATGATTTTGTGTTTGGTCAGCCAGGTGTGTGACACATGCGTAAACCATCACCAGCTGAGTATTCAAACCAAACTGAGAGCTCCATGCATTCCACCTATTCATGGAACTTCCAGAGATATTTATTGGAATAAAATGTGCACTCTCTCCCTGCTTAACTCTGGAGTGTATTAAACAGGTTGGCAAGAGCCTAGGCTTGGGGAGCCCAGAGTGTACTTTGGGGTATTGTTGGAGTTTAACCAGCTAAAACTACATTGCTTGCCTTTTGAAAGCAGTGTTTGGCAAGCTTTCCTACTGCTTGTCGAGCTAGGTCCACCCTCCCCATTAGGCCTTTAGCTTGCAGGGATAATGGGAGTGCGAAGAATCAATGTCCCCAGCGAGTGGTCTGCCAGTCCAATTCCTGCCGAAGAGCCAGGCTGACAGACGATGCAATGCCCTGGAGTACTGCCAACTCACCTGGCTGAGGAACTGGATTACCAAAAACCCCACAAAGGATTGTCTCGATTCTGACATTCTGCTGCCAAACATGTTAATGACATCCAGGTTTATGAGGATGATACTAGGGCTAGCAGATAACTACTATTGGGGTAGTAGAATACTGGATAGGTTAGGCCTGGTTTCACTAGAGAAGAGACGTTTAATGGGAACTTAATAGAAGCATTTAAATTATAAAAGGGTTCAATAAGGTTAATATAATTCCACTAGTTAGGAAATCCGTAACCAGGGGACACAAATATAAGATAGCGACTCGGGTATCAAAAAGAATTTAGGAGGAACTACTTCACGCAGAGAGCAGTGAGGTTATGGATCTCGCTGCCTGAAGTGGTGATTGAATCAGATAGTGTAGTATGTGTCATTCTGTGTGTCAGATGTACAGGCTACCCCCCACCTCAATCTTTTTTCTCAATAGTATATTTTTTGTGACTGTTTAAAAGGTAAGGTTTGATTATTTTTATATGTTACTAGGTACGTCTTTGGGAAATTTATCAGTTCAGTTGTATGAATCAACAGGCATTAATGGGACCAAATCTTGTATAAACAACAAGTTAGTTGAAGAGGGTCTGGCGTGCTTCACACAGTGGTAAATATTCTTTATAATGAATTGCTATACTGAATACTCTTACTTTAATCACACTTTAAATCACCAATTTGATTTTTGTTAATATAATTAAAATATGTTTGAATCTGGTTTTGAGCAAATTGATTTCAGTATTGTTATAATTTTCACACTTAAATGTCTGTCTCTACTAATTATTTGGTGTTAAGGCTTAGAAACCATAGACATTTACAGCATAGAATTAGGCTTTTTAGCCCACAATGTCTCCCTCTGGCTGGCTCTTCTAAAAACTTTACCTACCACTTCCCCATATCCCTGTAGTTCACTCAACAGCAACTTGCACTTATATTGCACCCTCCACGCAAGGTAGTGTCTCAGATAGCTTAAAAATGGTGGAGCCTGACTCTGAGCCGGGGGGTGGCCTTAAGCACGGTCGAAGAGGAAGGTTTTCAGGCAGGATTTGAGAAAGGGGAGAGAAGGGGCAAGGCGGAAGGATTGAGGGAGAGTGTTCCAGAGTTTTGGGGAGTAGTTGCTGAAAGTGTGACCTCCGATGGTGGGGCAGAGGATGCGAGGGACGAGCTAGTGGTCCTCACACCCTCCTTTTTAGATATCTTCTAGTTGCCTTTTGAAAGCTAATATGGATTGTGCCTCAACCACTGCTCCGAGCAGGGCATTTCCTTTTATAACCACTCTTTCTGAGGTAATGTCAGTGAATTTATTTTGCTTAGTATGCTATTTGACAGTTTTTATATTCTTTTATCATTTTTGCCAGGAAAAGGTACTTTGCCAAAACATCCACCATCTGAATATTCTTTTGAGGTTCAGATGACAAATATTTTTTCGCCTGTGTAAACTCATCCTTCTGGAATACCAGCACAATATTATCATTGCTGTTTCTTAAATGAGCCCAGTATCCTTGTATCAACTATCCTTGTTACCCTTTTGTAGTTGGTAATTAAAGTCCTATCTTGCTGCTGTTGTCAATTGAGTCAGAGAAGATAACATCGCATTTTTTTAAACTCAAAACTGAAATGTTGACATATATCTTGCAATTTTGATGTGGCATTCCTATGAAAGTGGACCGATTAAACCTCTTTTGCATACTGGAATTAATTATGAGACTTTGAAATCATAATAATAATAATCCTTGCATTTGATACGCTGAGTGTTTATAACATGTTGAATTATCAGAGCAATGATGTTTTAACACAGATTTACAGATCAATCTGGATTAATTTTTTCTCCTTTGCCAGACATTATGCATTGCTGAAATAATTATTTGCCCAATAGCGTATTGTTTGTGTTTGGTGTGACTGAACCATTCATGCAGATGGAACTTGGATAGTTATTTATGACTACTTAGGCATTTGTGTAGTTTGTATGGAAACAAATCACCCAGCACTGAACAAGTTAGGAGATTGGATAATATTCTGTTATCACCTGTTAAATCTATTTGAAACAATGGCCAGCCAATTTGTAGGCTAATTTACAGAGGGTCCCTCATGTAGCTACCTGAGAAATAACATAGAAAATACCTGGGTAAAATGGTAAATAAAGCTAAATGTTTTGGGGTAAGTGTAAAAGTTTGTAGCTGAAGTGTAAATCAAAAAATGGACAAGTTTAACAGTATATTTTCTAATCTTGTAACTTGTTTTAGTGCTAGGTTATTCATTTTCATACATCATAAAATATATAGAATATGAAAGCAGAGTTAATGATGGTTAGACCTCAATTAGAATATCATATCCATGTTGTTGCCTCACTTTAGCCTAAGAGCACACCCCCGGAGAGCCTTTTTCCACTACAATAAAGGTTGAGGGATACCCTGATAAAAGCCTTTAAAATTATGATGGACACTGGGAAGCAATTATTTTCCCAGATGGTAATTAATGACTGGAATAGGTTACCAGAAAGGATAATTGAGGCCATGTTGCTGAATTCATTTGAAAAACACAATTTGATGTTGTGATGGGAGAACAGTATGGTGCGTATTCTGGAATGATGAGTTCAAATAAACTTCTTAATCTGAACTAATTTGTGACCCGGAGCTATATGCTTGTTTTTACTAAGTGTTGTCATGATCTGATAGCCAGAATGGCAAGTGCTATGCTGTATCAAGACATCCTGAAGATTATGTTCTTCGTCCTGATCCCAGTTTATTGCACAGTATATAGTGAAGCCTTGGCAATATGCCCCTCAAGGTTTCAGAACAATGTGAAAGAGCTTAGGCACATGTTAAGGTCTAAGGTCCCCAGTGTCAGAGTAATGAAATTCAAGCAACAAGTTAAGAGGTCTTCAGGCCTTTGAAAGGGAGATACCTCAAATGGGACTTTAGAGTTACAGTAAACTCCTGATAACTCGTCACTCCAAGAGAAAAGGGTTCAGTGACATGTTAACAACATTACTTTATTATTACCTGGAACCTGTGAACGGTTTATTGGTGTGTTTTTTTTGGGGGGGCACTGAGTTAAATGTTCACGATTTGTATACTGAGAAATGGGTTATGGCTTTGGTCTCTCAGGCTGATTAAAATAAGTTTTTAATTTTATCCTGCTTACATTTATTTCTTTAAACATTTATGCAAGTGACCTTAGTAAATGTTTTAGTCACCATTCAGATAGTGGTTCATTGGTGTCTTGTCTGATGGGCATTGTCTGAAGAACACAGTTCCTCATGTTCAGTATTGCTTTTGAAGCTTGAATTTCACAGATGTCTCTGCAATGCAGAGTAACAAAGCTTCGACCTCTATCAAGCAAGTAGATGAAGTTGGAGAAGCAGACGTTGCTTCAGATATAACATATTGTTGCAAGTCTGAAGAAACAGACTATGCAATAGCAGGACTCGGTGGTATTGCTTCATCCCCTGACAAGCATGTGGAGGTGAAGATCACGTATGTGGCATCACCCAGCAGTATATTTGTACAGCTATTATCTTCACAGTCTCTAGTTACAGAGTAAGTATTGCAAAATAAATTTGTAACATGATCCAGTTGAGAGGTTAATCGATGATCCTATTGATTTAAGATTTCCATTAACCTTGTATTTATTTTATACAATTGTGGAATGTTGCAGCACAGAAATAAACTTTTTTTCCTACTTTAGCCACTTAATCTAATCCCACTCTTTTCACATCATTACCCTTTAACATTCCTCTTTTTCAAGCATCTAATTCCCTTTTAAGAGTTTATTAATTTGACTAAAATTTGTATTTATAGATGTACAAGATTACCCTCTTGTTGAATTGGACTAAGTATTTCTTTGAACACAGCCTACTTTCCTGCTAAAGATCGGCTCCCATTTTCATTTAACTCAATATTTATGTAATATAATGCAATATTTCTTCAGTTTGCAGGAGAAAATTAAATCTGAATATTCATCATCAGAGGCAGACATTGAATGGGAAGAAAGTATGCACTGTGCATTGCTGGTGTTTGAGAATAAAGAATGGCGAAGGGGAAAAGTTACAAAAGTGAATTTGAACAAGACTGCAGAGGTGATGGTGTAATTATTGATGGGTATAATTTTGCTTTCTCTTTCTCTCTGGTGTCTACCCATATTTAGTGCATATCAGGCAGGCCTAGAAATGCATGAGGGAGGATCAGTGCCTTGGACAAGTTAGGTAATGAGAATGTAGAATAATTCAGGATTTCAACCTGCACAGAGATTCATTGACACGTGCAAATCAGCTGCATGTAAAACTCTTATATTTTATACAATTATTTAAAAAGTTAGGAGTTTTAGCCCTGTTTATGGTGTTAGGCTTCGCCACTTTTAAGCACTCAGATGCCATCCTGCATAAAGGGTGCTAATATAAATGCCTTTAGCATGTGTAAAGCAGTCATTGTACAAATTACCATCTGTCTACACTGACAGTTATCGATAGAACTATCAATGATGTTATAACCTCATTTTCAATCCAACATTATAATGTAGTACCAGCCCTACTTATCTAACATACTACGGGATTATAATTCTGGTCAAACATATGTAGAGTTTTTTTCGTCAGACGGATATCTGACACTTGCAGAAACCAATCACTGCTCAAGGGCACACAGACCAGACTGAGTTCCATGTATGACACCTACAAAATGTCTGAGAGCAACTAAACTGGTGCAAAAAAAATCCTTTAATGCATTCACTTTTTCAGTATTTGTCTATTGGAAATTTGACCCTTACATTCACTACGTTACCTCAGTGATGCTTTTAATTCAATAAGAAATGTAAATCAACCCATCTAGTATCTAAGCATAAATATAAACGACTATCATTAAGCAGCAATTCAGTGTGGAAACAGTATAATTTGACACAAATTATTACCTTTACTAAATAAGATAGAAAAGGTAATGCTTAACCTGTCAGCAAGGAGACGGGGAACTAACAGAATGAGCTGTTGGCCATGACATGCTCTTTGGATTTCCTTTTGCTTATTCTGCTATGACCCCGGCTACGTATGGAGTGAAGTGTCGAGTAATGCAGCCCGAAGGATAAGGTGAAGACCAATGGCTCTGAGTGGGGAAGCCAGACTGAGTTTGTTCATCAAATTATCCTACAGCAGTTAAGAATGTTTATTTATTGTAACTTATAGACTGGCAAGACTGGATTTTTTTTACAGATAAGAAATAAACCCATTTATGCAGGCTGATAACTCGTCACATCAGATAATTCGTCACTGCATCTTTTTCCCTTGGAGTGACATGTTATCCAGAGTTATTATATTTTGTGATATCATAGTTTTCATTATGATGAAATAAACCTTTAAAACTTCAAATATTTAGCAATGTAGTGTGTTACATGATGATGATGGTCTAAATATTGGGTGTTCTGCTTTTGTAACATGATTGTTTTTGAAGAGGCACAACTGATATATTTGCAGGTATTCTGTTATGATTTTGGCAATAAAGAGCTAGTGAATATCTGTATGCTAAAAAAGCTGAAGGAAGATATTCAGACAATACGGCCTTTGGCAATGGAATGTTCTTTGTCAGAAATCAAGTGAGTTTCAAACTCTGCAGTTGCAGATATTCTGTTTCAATGGATATTATTAAAACGCACTGAAATTTGTGAATATTTATTGAAATGTTACAGGAATATTTACAGTATTATCCAAGATGTCATGATTCTTTAATTGTTTTTTAAAAAATGTAATGCTTTAAATCTACTGGAGCTCCACGTGGTATAGAACCATATGTTGTATGAGCTTCCTGTACTTTTAATGTTAGATCCTTTGACAATCGTGGACTAATCACCTGCACGTGATACTTGTCACCTGCACAATGGATAACCTAAACGGTAACCACTAAACAAAAAGAATATTCTGCAGTAAAATGTTCTGTTCTTTGTTCTCCTCTACATGCAAGACATCCATCCAGGTGACCAGGAAATGCAAAGACCTTTCAACATTTTTTTTAAAAACAATTTTATTTTATTTCTTTGGACAATTGAGATAAGTTGAAATGATAATTAGACTTCTTTACCTTTGGGTGTCATGGATTATTTTGACTTAATTAATTGGAAAATTGATGAATGGTCACTCATCAGAATTTTTTTTATCTGTAATCTAATAAATGAGAGCCAGCACAAATTCCTAGGGGGTAGATCTTGTCTGACCAACCTCCAGACTTTTTTGAGGAGGGTAAGTAACAATTGAAACAATTTATCAGGTAGGGTCAATGAGACCAGGACACTGCACTGTATAAGAAGCAGCTTGATGCTGTATTGGGAGGATGATAGGGCCGGTATTTTGGAAGGAGGAGATTAAACATGACGAAGGGCCTTCTCATCCAAACCCCTCATATGATCTTATGATTGTATACAACCAAACTTTTAAGAAATTATTTCAACATTTTTTAAAAAATTTAAACTCCACTAGACGTAAAAATCCTTATAAAGAAGTTTTGTTTCTGGCAACCTGTGCCAGGCAAATGGTTCTAAATATGCAAATGGTTCTAAATATGACTGTTACAATATTATGATCATTACTTCTCTAACAATTGTTTTAGGCCAGCTGGAGGAAGTTCAAAGTGGGCAGCAACATCATGTGACTTTCTGAAAGAAATTCTGGTCGATGCATCAGTGGTTATTGATATTGAGGTGTGTTTACTGAAAAGCAAGATAGTAATTTAAAGGCCAAAAGAGAAATATTTTTGGTTTGAAATGAGGAGATCAGTGAATTTAAACAGCATTCACTTATTGCTTTGAGAATCTCAATCCACGACTGTTTGTGGGACACTGCTGTGTGCAATTGACTGCTACGCTTCACCCAAAAAATATACAGTCAATTCACTTCACAGTGTATTCTGTGAAGCCCTTTGAGACGTCTCAAACACATAAGGTGCTATATCAAATGCAAGGATTATTTTTTATTGTAATCTTCACCTTTTTCATTTCTAAATCTTTCAAAAGTACTTTCTCATAAGTATAGTAAGTGATGGATTGATTAATGGATTGATTTGATTTGGTCATACCTTTCTATCTGCATTTTTGTTGAATGTCTTCGCATTCTTTCATTTTGGTCTATGGTGTGATCCAGCTCAAATCTACATTTTTCATACTTCTCATAATCCTTTTTTCTATAATAATCTTTACATTTTTATATTGTGCCTTATGTTGTAACACATCAAACTACTTCACAGGATTTTACTTTAAAGTGTAGTGACTTTTTGTAGGTTAACACAGTGATTAATTTGTGCACAACAATGTCTCACAAACAGCCATTAAGTGAATTCCCAATTTTATCATGGGATTGTTAACCAGGACACCTGGTGTAACTCCATTCTCTTTGAATAGATCCATCGCATCTTTCACATCCACCTGAACAAGCAAACAGAACCTTGGCAGCTCCCACATTGCAGTGCTCCCAGCACCGCAATGAAGTGTTTTGACCATACTGAGCTCAAAGTCCTGATGGAAGGATCTCACAGCCTTCTGGCTCAGGGAAAATTGCTACCAACTGAGCCAAGCTTGACACCTGCATTGGAGCAGAATTCTCATGAATTGTCATAATTTTCTTGTGGTCGCTGGCAGGATTTGGATCTTTTGCCAGTGTTAAAAAAAAATCTGAGACTCCTTGATTTTAAGATGTATTTCCTGGATTTCAAAGAGTGGTTAGTCTATTGACAGAAATGTACTGTTTTCTGATTTGGAATATCAGGTTGACAGAATTCCAATGAACCCAAGCTGACACAACAAATAGTCTGATTAGGGCTTTAAAGATTTTAGTCATCTATATGTTAATCTGAATGTTTTTGTTTAAAAACTTGCAGGAAACATCTTCCAATTGCCCACACCTTGTGAAGCTGTATTGCAAGGATGAAATTGGACAGTTTATCAACATAGCGCAGTATTTGATCAAGAAAGGTTTGGCTCTGCCTCATAAAATGTAATTGATACTTTTTTCACATATTAACTTTTGGAGAGGAAATTGTGCGTAAACCTAAAAAAAAAACTGCTTGATTTGTGAGTTACAGATTAGCTGGAATTTTGTAAAGTATCTAAAAATTACTGGACAGTGAAGGGTTTGCACCTGAGCTGGGGTTGGAGTCAAGAGGGGTGGTGGCAGGGGGAAGATGATCAAAGACACAATCAAAGAGGAAGGTCTTGAGACAGACCTTGAAGGGGACGAGGGAAGGGGAGAGGCAGAGAAGCTCCAGGATTGCGTTCCAGAGTGTGGGGACAGAAAGGCTGAAGGGCTGACCTACGATGGTGGAGCAGGCAGGGCGGGGAGCATGGAGCAGGCCAGTGCCTGTCGAGTGGAGACAGGTTAGTGAAGATTTAGTAGGTCACAGAAGTAGGGAGGAGCAAGACATGGTGAGCCTTGATCTTCTGGAGGATGGTGAGCCAGGGAAGCTAGGTGAGAATGGGGTGATCGTCCCATGAAGGAGAAGACACAAGCTACAGAGTATTGTGGTGGAGAAGAGCTGAATTAATTTTAGTAGACTCAATTTAAGTACTATAGTCATAACAACAAGTACAGCAGAAAGTAGAAAGTATATTACCTGTACTCGAGCTGGGGGTTGGATTCGGGATTGGTGGGAGGATGACTGAACGTGAGGTCAGGGTTTTGAGATGGACCTTGAAGGAAGTGAAAGAACTCTGGGATGATGTTCCAGAGGGTGAGGCAGAAAGGCTGAAGGCCTAACTGCCAATTGTGGGGCAGACAGGGCGGGGGAAGGTGAAGCAGGCCGGTGGGGAATGAGGAGCCGGGCAAGATGATAGGCTCACGGAGATTGGTGTGGGAGAGGACACGAGCTGCAGAGTTCTGAATTGTCTGTAGCTTATAGAGGGAAGAGTTGGGAAGTGAACAGAGAGTTTAGCGTAGTCAAGCTTGAATGTGACAAAAGCATGAATAAGGGTCTTGGCAGCCCAAGGGGAGAGTTAGTGGCGGAGGTATGCAATATTGTGGAGGTGGGGGAAAGTTGAATGGGTCAAAGGTTCAAACTATGGCCCAAAAGTTTAGAGCTGTGCACTAATTTGAAACCTGGAGCTTTGATGGGTTACTCTTGCTTACTCCAAGTCCAACTACATTGGATACAACTGCATTGGATGCCACTGTGGTAAAGACTGATATGAAACAACTACTATTAGACCAGGCACCTGAAATTGATGGGCCGTCTGCAGCCAATCATCAAGAATGTTTAGAATTTAAAAAGGTGTACAAGCCTCCAGTCTTACCCAACGTGAACATCTTTGAAGTTGAAGTAACTGGTGTTGGTGATGATGGAGTCATCTATGGAATCAGAAAATCCTTGCGTAAGTTGTGTTCAAGTCAAATTGAATCCATGCAAGTATTAACTTGTGCCTGTCTTTAGATATGATCGATGTATTGAGTTAAATTCTTGGTAGTTGTAATTATTTCACTTATAAATAAGAAAGTTGATCCACTGGAGAAATATAACAGGGACACTTTCCTTAAAGAATTAACATTTCAGCCAGAGAATCAGTCCTGTAGCTCAGTGGTTAGAGCACTCGCCTTGCAAGCGAGATACCTGGATTCAATTCCAGGCAGAGCGAAACCTTGAGCAAGTTTCCTTGCTCCACACGCCTAATAATAATACCTCCAAAAACAAAACAATTGGTCATTTTCAATCCACGACTGTCTGTGGGACACTGCTGTGCGCAATTGGCTGCTGCGTTTCACCCACAAATATACAGTCAATTCACTTCACAGCATATTCTGTGAAGCGCTTTGAGACGTCTAGAAGACGTGAAAAGAGCTATATCAAATGCAAGCTTATTATTATGACTCGGCTTAATGCTAGAGTTTTTCTTCTAAAAATGTACAGGAAGCTTTCCTGTGTGTTCTTCCAGACATCCAAGGTAGCTGACTCAGGCTTGGGACCAGAAACTTCTGGCTTTTGAGTCCTGAAAGATCCATTCAGAACACAGAAGCTGTTTGAGTTTATTAGATCATGGCAAGTCTTTTAATCTTGTTTCTCTGCCTCTTCTCCACACCCCTTAATACTCATATTTCCAGAATATAACAACAACAACTTGGATTTATATAGCACCCTCCATGCCGGACGGCGTCTCAGACAATAACGCTCATATCTTATCTAGTTCTCTTCCCCCTCCCACTTCCCCCATTCCTTTAAATATCCCAATTGATTCTCTCTGCAGCCTTCTGTGATAGTGAATTCTACAAACCCTGTGAAGAAATTGTTCAGATGTCCCTTCACTCCAACAACAACTTGCATTTATATACTGAAAGGGCAAGGCAAAGGCACTCCGGAATGGAGTTTCAGAGGGTGGGTGCAAAAAAGGTTGAAGGCCTAACTGCCGATGGTGGGGCAGGCAGCTTGTGGTGGAAAGGGTTGGGAAATCCAACGAGAGGAGAGTTGGCATAGTCAAGCCAGGAGGCGATGAAAGAATGGATAAGGATCTCAGCGGCCCGAGGGGAGAGGTAGTCGTGGAGGAAAGTAATGTTGTGGAGGTAGTGGAAAGCGAATGGAACAAGTGCAGCAGTGCTACTGGAATCGTGGGTGGAGGCAGAGAGATAGTTAGGTGTCATCTGTATACATGTGGAAGTTTATCCCAGGCTTGTGGATGACATCACCAAGTGAAGCATGTACATGTGAAAGAGAGGACCAAGGATAGAGCCCCGAGGAACGCCACACGTGACAGTGTGGGGGCCTGAGCCTGAAGAGAAGCCGTTAGCAGACACAAAGTGAAAACAACAGGAAAGGTAAGAGTGAAACCAGGCAAGGACAGAATCGTGAAGCTGGAGCTGACAGGAAAGACTGTGGGGAAGAATAGAGTGGTCGAAGGTAGCAGAGAGATCAAGAAGAATGAGAAGGCAGAGGGTCCTGGGCACAGATAGACAGAATGTCATTTGTGACTGACCAGGGCAGTCTGAAGTGAACAGGATGGAAACCAGATTGGAGGGGTTCCTGAAGGGAGTACCCGGACAGGAAAGAACAACCCTGGCAAGTAACCACCCATTTGTCTGCAGATTGAAATGGACTTCAAGAATGATATGGTGGAATAACGTACAGACTAATGCATATTTATCAACAAGGAATGTTTTGAGACATTAATTCATTTCAGCTCAGATCTTCTGTTTGGTTTTGCACCCTTCAAATCCCCTAAATTTGTTGCTGCTTTTCAAAACTCAGTCTACAACAACAAAAACAACCAACAGCTTAAATAATAAATAATAAAATCCTTGCATTTGACATAGCGCTTTGCTCGTCTTCTAGATGTCTCAACTTACATTTGTATAGCACCTTTCCTGTTGGGAGGATGTCCCAAGGCGTTGGATAGTCAGGGATTTGGACCCAATTAGAAGGGATAATAAATACATTAATTTTATTAAGTTAAGAATCGTTTGCCTTATACAATATTTCTACACAATGGATTTTATTTGTGAAAGTTTCCTTTCTGATCACTGTAGCCTCTTACTGAGGCTATTATTGTTGTCTTGATGAGAAAATGTATTGAAACTTCTAGGAGGAGGAACAACCAGAAGAAATTGTTTTACAGTGACATCGCTTGCAAGCTAATTGGTGATGGCATTCAAACAGTTTACAGAATTACACTGTATTGTTTGCCAAGTGTCTCTATGAAGGATGTGACCATTTTTTAAAAACAAATGCACGTTGATAAGTGTTTCTAACATTTATGTCCTGTTCTGTGTGATGTTTAATATAGAAGAAGAATTCACCATGTTAACCAGCGCTATCCAAGCCAGTTTTAAAATCCTGCCACTTCTAAAACCCTATTGCTATAGCAAAGGAGAAGGCTGCGTTGTTAAAGGTTCTGATACCCTCTGGTACAGAGGAAAGATTTTGGAAGTAATTGGGGTATGTGTTAAGGTAAGAATAGGTACAGTTTTTTTGTATCTAAACTACCCTACAATCAATTTGGATAGCAGAATTTTGAAAATCCAGTATATAAAACTAAAATTAATGTTTGAAATTCCGTCCTGAAACTTACAAGTTTTGTTTTGCCCATGGCTTCCCAATATTGATTATTCTTTTGCCAAACATTGGGGATTCCTAAAATATTAGGAGTCCATTGGAATTGTTAAAAAAATGGTACAATGGTAGGTAGAAAATATATATAAAAGTTAGCAGTTGTATATGTTAATACTATACTCAAGTTGTAATTGGCACGGACCTTGCATCGAATTTCCATGTGTAGGTGTGATGCATAGATTTCTCAGTTTGGTTTGATGATGGTTTTCTGCATGTATCAACAACAACGAAATTACATTTGTAAAGCGCCTTTCACGTCGGAAGGACGTCCCAAGGTGCTGGCTGACACCCGGCTGACCAAAAAAAGTTAACTTTTTTTGATGAGCTTTACCATTTGGAGACACTAACTTTTTAATATTAATAATAATACTTGCATTTGATATAGCGCCTTATTACGTCTTCAAGACTTCTCAAAGCGATTTGCAGAATATGCTGTAAAGTGAATTGACGCAATCACAATCTAACATTCTTGGTGCAATTTAACATAAGCACTGACTGCTTTTTGTTTCACTCAGGAGGGCAATACAGGAATGAGATTATTTTGTGGTGCATGGTCAGTGTTAATATGGTATGATTTTTCATTATCAGGAAATTTAGCAACGATGTTACCAATTTTAGATGCTGCCAGTAAGGACTGTACAATAGGATTGTTTATAGGCGCAATGTGATATTTTGCATTAGTGATATTCAACGAGACCAACTGTTTTTTATTCATGAAAACATTATGCTGTAATGTAGAATATTGAAACTGAGGAGACACTCATACAAGATAGGTAGCCTTACAGAGCAAAGTGTAAACGTTGTCCATATTTGTCTTTTTAAAAAAAGATTTACTGTTCTAAATGTGTTAAAGTGCAGTCTGTCAGAAGCACGTTTGTTTTTTCTTTTTTGATGCTAGGTGTACTATGTAGACAATGGATACATTGAAACTATCCCACATGTTCATGTTTATCCAATGGTCATGTATCCTGAGATACCAGAGCTTTGTCTACCATTTCAGCTTTATGGAGTGGAGCCTGTAAGTATTTACAGTTTGTTAGTTGAAAGTGTTTCTGGCTTTAAAAGTTATCTTGGTCCATGTTTTATAAACAACTAATTATGCAAAATCAATGATGTGCGTTGAATAACATTTGTTTATTTAATAATAATAGACCTCACATAACGTATTCTAATGTGAGGTCATTTTAGTCTTTTATGGATTCATTAAGCCATCTTTATATAGGATATAAACTGAAGCCTTAATTTTCCGCAGGCCTCTTGTAAAAATATCATTCCGATCTTGCCCTTTCCTTTTAAAAACAAATTGAGTCTGCAAAACAATTATTTTTGGACTAAATGGTCATCTTCTCCTACAGAATGCTAACTGTTCTGGAGGCCAAAGTGTTTAGATGGGGTTTGGGTGGGAGTGGGGGGGAACTGTCCTACAAGGATCTGTTTTTTCAATGGGTGATGTCATGTAATGAGTTGGGGGGTCCAAAAAACGCATTTAAAATGTCTTAAAATGTGAATGTGAAATTTAATATTTATGTTTGCCATAATTCCACAATGTTGGATATTGGTTATATTGTGTTATAAATTATTTTTATATAAATATATTCTACACATGTCTCTTTGCAGGTAGGAAATAAATGGCAGGAGGATGCTGTTGATTTGTTAAGAGAATTACTACTTCAAAGAAATTTGGAGGTGGAGATTATGGTAATTGTCTGATTCCAAGACCTAATATATTTATTGATTAAAACTAAAGTTCTCCAACAAGCTAGTACACGTCGTTTTGTACTATTAAAGTAACGCAGTGTTTAATATAACAGTTAAAACAGTATTCAAAAGAACTATAAAATCAACAATGCTGCAGAATGTAAACTGGATTAAAGGAGAATTGTTAGTTTGTTAAAGATAGCACCTAGCTGAGATTTTATCTTGCTTCTCTCTATGAGAAAGATGAGTTGTGTACTAAACAAATAGTTTTTGTTAAACATTAGATAGATATTTGGGGAGGACAAATTTGCAGGGCTATGGGGAGAGAGCGGGGGAGTGGGATTCATTTGGACAGCTCTTTCAAAGAGCCAGTACGGCACCCTGACCTACCCATATTTTTGGTAGGTCAGGGTATTAACGGATATGGGGAGAAAGCGGGAAATTGGAATTGAAAGGATTAGTTGAGGTACAGATCAGCCATGACCTAATTGAATGGCGGAACAGGCTTGAAGGACTGAATGGCCTCCTCCTGTTCCTATGTGGACACAATGGGCTGAATGCCCTCCTTCTGTGCTGTATATTAATAATAACTCTTGCATTTGATATAGTGCTTTTCACGTCTTCTAGACGTCTCAAAGCGCTTCACAGAATATGCTGTAAAGTGAATTGACCGTATATTTGTGGGCGAAACGCGGCAGCCAATTGCGCACAGTAGAATTCTATGAATGACACAAGGCTCCTCCAGAATGGACGGTTAGTTCAGTTGTGAGTTTTTAGATATTTTGTGAAGTGGCACTAAGCAGATTGCTCCCATTGAGGAAGGGAAAATCAAGGGAGTGTAATAACTCTGAACTGCTGCATCAAACTGCATGAGTAGAATACCATTTCTTGTTCACTCCCTGAACTGCACAATATGTATGGCCCATGGAGACCACAAAGAGAGATGGGGAACAAACACTCAACAAATTACCCTTTTCATTTTACTTTTACATCTCAACTGGTGAAAATTATGATGCAAGCAAAATTAAGAACAAAATCTTCATAAATGATCTGGAGGTAGGAGTCACAAGCACAGTGGTTAAATTTGCAAATGACACAAAGTTTATGAAAACGGTAGACTGCAAAGGATATGTTACAGGAGGACTTGAACATACTTGGGATTTGGGCAGATTAATGGCAGATGAAATTCAATGTAGAAAAAGTGCTTCACACGGGGACAAATAAATCCAGGAAGGGACTATTATGAAGAAAATAATCTGTATGGAAATTTAAAAGGACCCGGGGATCCTGATGGACAATAAATTGAAGCTATCACAACAGTGATCGGTAGCAGTGAGTAAGGCAAACCAGATGCTGGGCTGTATTAAAAGGGCAATATTGAGTCGAATTAGTGGGGTAATCCTGCCAGTTTATAAATCACTGGTGTGACTGCACTTGAAATACTGTCACCATAATATAAAAAGGATATTGCAGTGATTGAGAGGATACAGAGGAGGGCAACCAAATGATTGAGGGATTGGAGGGACTGGACTCCTAGGTGTGATTAGTTCATGTTCACACAGAAGGTTGTGAGGGCCGATATGATTATGGTATTTAAGATTCAGAAGGGACTAGATAATGTAGACCATGATAAGGTGTTTTTTCTTGAACTGAACAGTAAAACTCAAGGACACGGCCTGCGATTGAAGAGGGGAAATTCAGAACAAATGAGCGAGTAGTAAACTTATGGAACAGGCACCCTAGGGAGATGGTGGAAGATAAAGTGTTGTTTGTTTCAAGAACAAATTCGATAGGTTTCTGCTAGAAAATAATATCTCGGGATAAAGCATAGTTTGGGACACGACAAATCAAGTGACTGCCAGGAAGGTGGAAGGCGAACTAGATGGATCTTGGTCTTCTTTCACCTAGCAAATTCTTATGTATGTTCCAAGAATGTTTATTCAGTTTCATAGAGTATATATGGTAATGCTAAAGGATGGTATTGTTCTCCCAAAACAATTTGTGGCATATAATTTGTTATTGTGCCCAGTCAGAAATTATTTGATAATTAAGAGGTTTCTGATTCTATTGGTTATTTAAGTGGGAATCATAAAAATGTGAGTAACAAACTTTATATTTGCCACAAATGGTTAGAACAGAATTTGGCTCAGTAAATTATTTTGATAAGTATCCAATAAAGACAAACTGTATTCCTTCAATCTTACCTGTTGTATGTAAAACTTCAATATGTACTAAACAACTAGGATCCACCTGAAAGTTCTACACACACATTGGTGGCTGATCTTCACTTTGATGGAATGTCTGTGGCCTATTTTATGGTTCATCATAAACATGCTGTTCAAATTGAGAAAACTTCAATAATCACTAAGGTAAGACTAAGATGTTAGCCAGATACAAGTATAAAAGCAGGGACCTGTTAGTTAGTACTTTTGAAGTGTGCTTGAAATCATCTCGAAAGAATTGAATTTTGTATTTCTTGAGTACTCAATCCATTTAAGACAAATTCTTCATCAAATGGCTAATCTGTCCTTCTCATAAAGTAAACTTAAGAGAAAAGCCCATATGGCCCATAGAAATGTAACTCTGTAGTACATTAACTTTACATCATGGAATCTAGTTGTATATTGAATAACAGTAATTGTTTTTCTTGATTGGTAGATTCATCAAACTCTTGAGTAAAGAGTTTTTTTACCCCCAGATCTGTGCCCAGCGTTTTGATTTAGGTATTCTGGTCAATGTTCTCCCATCTTAGCTTTTATGTAAGAGATTGAGCTTGCCTTATCTTATACCTTTAATTATTTTACAAGCCTTTAGTCATTAATTCATCCATGTTCTGGAAGTTGTTTCTCACCTTAAAACTAATCAAGAAATACAACCTGGAAAGGCACACAGTTATTGATCAGCCTGAAAATAATGATATTTGACCTTTCTCGCATATTCTGTTTTTCAGAATTTCAGGACTGTTTTCTTCATTGTTTGGTGAATTTATTAAAGAAATTGTTAATTGAACAGAATTGTGAACAGTATGTTTTAAATGGTAAATAGCAGTGAGGCAAGCTGTTGCTTTTTTTTCACAGAGATTTTGTTCTGATTTAAATGATGGAGGAAATCTGCCTGAAGAATGCTGGAATATGACATTTGAGGTAAAAAAAAGGTGTAAAATGTTGAATTTTAGGCAACTGTGTTAATTTCTACATGTTTAATAATATAATAATCTTTGCATTTGATATAGCGCCTTATCACGTCTTCGAGACGTCTCGATGCGCTTCACAGAATATACTATAAAGTGAATTGACTGTATATTTTGTGGGCGAAACACGCCAGTCAATTGTGCACAGCAGTGTTCCACAAACAATTGTGGATTGAAGTGACCAATTTTTTTTAATGAATTATTACCCCTGGAAATGCGATCCACCAATCGACTAACAACCGGGTTCCTACTTACTGCTAGGTAAACAGAGGCACTTGAAGTAAGGAAACTTGCCCAACATTTCGCCCTGCCGCGAATCGAGCCCTTGTCTCTCACTTGCAAGCCGAGTGCTCACACCACTGAGTTACAGCACTCCACTTGGCATTTACTTTGGCGTTTCTTATGAATGGATATTCATAAACAAGTTGTTGCTTAATTTGCTGCTGTTTGTGATGAATTGTTTCCATTAGACTAAGGAACTCCTTACTTCACTCTTATCTTCCCTTCTACTGTTTTTGCATATTTTTCTAACTCAGATAACATACCTAACCATTCCTTGGCTTGTTTTGGGTTCTCTGCCATTTTATTTAGCATTTGGATAGTGTGTAGTTCTTTGACTAGGTTCTCAATTTACAAAACAAATTGTGGCTTGTGAGTTCAGAAATGTTTTAAATTCATGCCAATATGTAAAGCATTGATTCATTTGAATAATGCACCAGTCCACATTATAAATCCTAACTATACCAATCATCAGTGGTTTGGATTTCTTTTGCAATTGGCATTTAGAAGCCATGTCTGGCACAGTTGAAGCACAACTAGGGAATTGAGAATTGATGGAAACCATGAATTTGACTCACATTTGATAACTCTTTTAATAACAATAATTTGAATTTGATATATTACAATACATTAGAACATACAGCACAGTAACAGGCTATTCGGCCCAACTGGTCTACGCCGATGTTTATGCTCCACATGAGCTTCCTCCTGGCCTTCCTCAACTAAGCCTTCAAGAATAACCTTCTATTCCTTTCTCCCTCATGTAACTATCCCACTTTTCCTTAAATACATCTATGCTATAGCCCCTTATCACATCATTGAGATGTGCTTCTCAGAATATATTGTAAAGTGGATTGACTGTGTATTCTGTGGCCAAGGCAAAATGAGGCAAGCAAATGTGCACAGTAGGGTCCCACAAACAGTCGTGGATTTTTTTTTAGGAATTATTACCCCTGGAAAGTGAGCTGCCAATTGACTAACAATTGTTCCTATTTACTGCTAGGTAACAGGCATGTGGAGTAAGGGAACTTGCCTAAGGTTTTGCCCTGCCCGGGAATCGAACCTGGGTCCTTTCGTTTTTGCAGCAAGCTCGCTAACCATTATGCTACAGGACCCACTTTTGTATAATTATTGAAAATATGTTATACACACACACACACACAGAACACTGGTAACACACACAGATAGTAAGATGTCAAATCTGTATTACAGGGTTTAATATCACCTCGCTTTGAAACTCCTATCTTGCCAGGATATGATTATCCATTACTGCCTTTGCCTGGAAAGGTTTTCCCTGTAACTGTCAAGCACCTAGAAACTCCCAATTGGGTATGTATGTCTACATAAAGACACAAGTACATAGATTTGAAAGGTTTCTTGTGAATCTTGGGTCATGAAAGTATGAACTCATTGTGCTGCATATGATTCAGGCAGTCAACCAATATTAAATTCCTTAACCATCCTTCCACATGATTTTCCCCTTTGTCATGTTGTATACCAACAAATTACACTTGTATAGCGCCCTTCATGTCGGAAAGACGTCCCAGGGCGCTGGACAATCAGGGGTGTTGGACCCAAGCTGGGAATTGGGGTCAGAAGGAGAGGAGGGCAGAGAGATGGGGGTGGGAGGGTGGCCGCAGGTCTTCAGACGGGACTTGAAGAAGGTGGAAGGATTGAGGAATAGAGTTCCAGAGTCTGGGGCTGAAGATGCTGAATGCTGGACTGCCAATGGTGGGACGGGAAGTGCGGGGGACCTGAAGCAGGCCGGTGTCTGCCGGGGCCGAGGGAGCGAACTGGCTGATATGGGGTTAGGAGGTCGGCGAGGTATGGGGGAGCAAGACCGTGGAGGGCTTTGAAGGCACGAACAGGAGTTTTGTAATCGATTCTCTGAGGAATGGGGAGCCAGTGAAGCTGGAGCCTGGTGCAGGAATCTACAGCTTGTGGAGGGTAGAGTTGGGAAGTCCAGTAGTTGGTGTGGTCAAGCCGGGACATAATGAAAGCGTGGATCAGGGTCTCCCCTGCCTTCGGTGAGTGGCGGAGGCAGGCAATGCTGTGGAGGTTTGAAAAGGCGGAACGGGTCACGGAACGAATGTGGAGTATGAAGGATAGCTGAGGGTTAAAAAGGACACCGAGGTTTCCGATTGGATCGGTGAGGTGAAGAGTGAAGCCATGAATGGTGATAGTGTCAGCGACTGAGGTGAGGAGGTGCTGCTGGGAACCAAGCAGGAGGGCCTCTGTCTTGCCAACATTGAGCTGGAGGAAATTGGCTCTCGTCCAGGCTTGATGTCAGACAGAAAATTAGAAAGGACATCAATGGTCCTGGAGTTGAGGGTGGAAGCAGCGAGATAGAGTTGGGTGTCATACGCATACATGTGGAAATTGACCCCATGTCTGCGGATGACATCGCCAAGCGGGAGCATGTATAGGTTGAAGAGGAGGAGACCGAGGACAGAGCTCTAAAGGATGCCACCACACATGAAGTGCAGGCGGTGGGAAGGAAAGGTAGGATTGGAACTGGGCAAGAACAGAATCATTAGGGTTGAGGTAAAAGGAGAGGCAGTGGAGACGAATATAAAGGTACAAGAGTACTCACTCACACAACAACAAGATTACATTTGTATAGCGCCTTTCATGTCGGGAGGACGTCCCAAGGCACTGGACAGTGTACAGCATTTCAGACCCGAGCTGGGGTCATGGGGAGAAGGGAGGGGAGTGGAAGGGGGACCGATGGCATGGTCGAAGAGGGTCTTGAGGCAGGACTTGAAGGAGGCTAAGGAGGGGGCGAGGCGGAGTGACTGGGGGATGGAATTCCAGAGGTTGGGGGCAGAGTGGCTGAAGGCTCTCCCGCCAATGGTGTTTATGTACTCAAAATTACTGTTGGAATTGCTACCAGTCACTGAATACTTTACATATCAAGCTTTTTGCTTTGTGCTACTCTATATGGATTATTCTTGGATATTTTAGATTAATTTATTGACCCTTTATAGCTTTTATAGACCCTTTTTAAGCACTCTGAGACACTACCCCGCATGAAGGGCACTATATAAATCTATGTTGTAGCATTCTGCCAATTGCTGAATGTAACTAATCTCAAGTTCTTCTTGAATGCTAGATGAACAAAATAGCTTTAAAATAATATATTAGAATTTTAATGTTTACCTACAGACTAATAGGATGTGGTTTCAAACCTGCAGCTTCCCATACAGTGAGTTCCTAACCTCAACCTTGCTGCAAATGGAGGTTGGCAATAGTCTCCCCAGGGTGGGAGTCTGGCAGTGGGTTTCTGGCTCATCATTTCAGGGAAGGAATTATTGGGGAAAATAAGGAACAATAACTGGATAGTTTTGTGGAAGAGAAGAAAGGAAGTAGCATGTCTTCTAGGTGGTGTTATGGCTGCATGTGGGATTGGTTTTCCCTCACTTGAAATTAATAGGAAAATGTCACCTGAGACTTTATAAAACCTAACACTTTATGGAAAATCATTTATATTGTGATTTGATTATCAAAATGGGGATTTTGAAAATATTAGAAAATGTTGGTATTACAAGGATTAACAAGGTTAATTTTTTTAAAGGTGTATATTTGCATTGATCAGAGAAGAGATTCTGAATCTGACAGCGACATGGATCGTGGCCTAAAATATGAGCCTGAAGATGATAATCTTGACAAGGCTCTGAGAGATCTTAACCCGAGTGCAGAGAGACTTCCTTTACTTACTGATTTCAGATCAGGTACTCAAGATGTGTTCTTTTGTGTTTATTTATTAAAATGTTAGTTTTACCTAACCAGTGTGATATATCTTAATCATGTATAAGCACCACATTGGCACCCTACACTTTATATGCCTCAAACTCAAATAATCCTTGCATTTGATTTGGGGCCATATCATGTCAAAATGTCCAAGCACTTCAGAGTTTTTCTGTAAAGTGAAGTAACTATTCGTAGCAAACATTGCAAGCAATTTGTGTCCAACAATGTCTCAAACATCCATAATGGGAATTTTTTTATTTTGGGATTATTGGCCAGAAAAAAATCCCTTCTCTTGGGGATTAATCCCATTTAAAATTCACTGGAACCGGCAGAAAGGACCTTTGTTTAACAATCCTGACAATGCAACACTATGAAAGTATTGTGCTGGAGTGTCAGGCAAGGTAACAATCAACTTGACCTTCAAGTTTTGTTTTTCTACCCTTTTCAAATGTGGGATGTTTTCTAAGCAAAACATTTAACTGTTCGAACAAAACATAAACAAATGCAAACCGTTCTAGATTTTTTTTTACTTCCCCCTCCTGCCCCCTTATAAAAATATATTATTCTGTACCCTGAACTACTGGGCTACACTATGACATTGTTTTTGAGATACCAGAGCCCATGAGATGTGGCCCAGAAGGTTACAAAGAGAGACAATAAGAACAATGTACACATTTTAAAATGCTCTAGAATAAATTAACACAGAAAGAACTTTAAGAATATAATTTTGGATGTAATGCTGTATTTTTTAAAAAGCTTGGTTTGTACATTTTCCCATGTACAGAAATGCCTTGCCTCGCTGAATATGATGATGGAAGGTGGTATAGGGCAAAGGTGCTATCTGTTGATAACCTGCACCCACTGAAGATCCTGGTGCAGCATGTTGACTTTGGCTCCAGTGCATCTCTACCAGAATCCAGGTACATAGATCAAACATGTCATTTTAAACTTGTTCTATTTTCATGCTATGGGAAATACTTTCTCAGCTAATAATAATATAATAATTGTTGCATTTGATGTAGCGTCTTTTCACATCTTTGAGACGTCTCGAAAAGGTAGATTTTGTCAGTGGGATTTTGCTTCCAAACAGCTTGGTATAAAGTTAAGTTTGTAAAGAAAACAACTCAAGACATTTTATTGTTTACTCTTCTCTGGGTATCTGTTGAAAGCAAGAGGCTTCTGCTGAAGACTCCAGAATACATATATAGCCGAGAGGCACTATTGGCTCCAAACTAGTGAAAGTTTGCGTATACAGTATGGTTTCCTTTTATCTGGTACAGATGTAAAAGGAAAAGAGTACACACACACACCCTCCCCAGTGGGATGCACCCTGTTTATATAATTCTGGAGTATAGTAATCCCAAAGGTTTCCTGTAGGCTGGCGAGAGCCATGTTTTGAGGACCTTACAGTGTGTTAATAATATTAATCCTTGCATTTAATAAGGTGCCTTATGTCTTCGAGACATCTCCAAGCACTTCACAGAATATGGTTTAAAGTGAATTGATTATATATTTTGTGGTTGAAACTGCTGGAGTTTAACCAGCTAAAATTGTGTTGTTTACCTTTGCTAACACTAGAAAGCTTCCCACTGCTTGCCCAGCTAAGAGTGCTTTACCTGATGGGGCTTTGGCATACAGGATTAACATTGCCAATTGGGAGCAGTTTCACCTATTTGCAACCTCATTTAACTGTGACATATAGTGTGACCCATGGGGAGGGGGGTCAATGCACTGTGCAACCCCTTTCAAGTATTTTTTGTTCAGTGTTTTGTAAATATATTTGTATTGTATATTTGAAATGTATAAAGTTTTAATGTCCTTCTGAATTCCTCTGAAATACCAGGCTTCGTCAGCTTCCTATAGGATTAATGCAGTACCCAGCTCGAGCCATCAGAGTGAAGCTAATGGGCTTTAAACCCCCAGCTTCAATGAATAATCTACATCAACTTGTATATTGTCCTGAATGGTCCATGGAGGCTCTCTGGACGATGATTGACATTGTGCAAGGCAGTCAACTTACAGCTCTCTTGGTGGTAAATTATTTCAATTATGACACTTTTTCCCTGTCCCTCCATTACAAAGTTTTACTTTCAGTCACATTACTAACTAATAGCAAACAAGCTTTTAGAATTATGAATTTATTATTCCCAGAGTTTATATCCGGATGTGTCTGTGTTCTTGTATGAAGAAGGAGGATCATTGATTCATCTTCCACTTGTTGAAAAGGGATTTGCAAATCTGGATATGTAAAAGTAAGTGATTTTTATTTTAAAATTCTCTTCAGTGATCCCAATTGTCTGGAGGATAAAGGCGCTGACTGGTGCAGTGATGATCCTTTTAGCTTTCAGGTTTATGCTGAGTTAACTGATCTAACTCAGAACAGCTGGCAGGTCAGTTAATCTAAGCATACCTGACTCAGGGCAGGAAAAAATAGCGAGTACTTTGCTTGCTATCAGTGATCCTGTGCAGGTGTGATGCCCTCTTCACACAAATAGCTGGCTAACATTCACTGACTATACTCAAACATGACAAATGATAACTTGATCTAAGAATTGGAAAGCGGCCATAAATATCTCCAAATATTTTTATACTGCAGAGTGAAGATGCTGCTGAATTTAAACAAAACTTTGGTTAGACCACATTTGGAGTATTGTGTCCACTTCTGGTCTCCACACTAAGGATATGTAGTGATGGAAGTGTACTGTGTGGGTTTATGAGGATGATACCAGGGCTAGCAGGTTACTGCTATTCACTACATGGTTAAGGAGGGACCTAATAGAAGTGTTTAAAATTATAAAACGGTTCAATGAAGTTAATGTAAATGCTTTTCCACTGGTTGGGAGTCCATAACCAGGGAACACAAATATAAGACGGTAATTAGAGGATCTAAAAGAATTTAGCAGGAACTACGTCACGCAGAGGGAAGTGAGATTGTGGACCTCACTGCCTGAGGCAGATAGCGTAGAAATATTCAAGAGACCTTCACGTGAGAGGGGAATGGTATGGGAAGGAATGGGTGAAGTATAAACACTGGCATGGACTAGTTGGAATGAGTGGCCTGTTTCTGTGCTGTATATACTTTGTATGTTCAGGCAGTTAACTAATATAAATTATTGGGTTACCTACAACAACAAATGACATTTGTAGAGATCCTTTCATGTCAGGTGGATGTATGTACCTAGGGTGGGGAGTTAACTTTTTTTCATGATGAATTTCATGCCAAAAAAACTCCTACCACAGGATGTCATTTGTGTGTTCTAGAATATAAATTATCAGGCAGTTAATGGTGGGAAGAATCAAATAATGGAGTTATTGTCAAAAAGAATTGAAATAACACGTGATACCCATGTGTAAGTCTTAGTTGTCTCTTCAAAAAGCTATTTTTGAGCAATATTTAATCTTAATGAATATATTTCCCCTTCCCTGGTAACAGGTTTTGACAAGATACTGCATGTTAAAGAAAATGCCCTTAATTGTCCTGCCACATATCCCAAGAAGTACTTCTGTAAATGCCTTTTGAAGTTGTAAAGTTAATCTTTTTGAGTTTTTCCTTACATAATTGACATGATGCTAAATATAATTTCAAGGCATAGCTAAATTGATGTAATGGCCTTTTTAAGGAGTTTAAGAGCTTCAAAAAACTAATCTTGCAAGAGTTTCTAACAAGAGCAAGGTTAATTTGTTTCATTTTCTTTTCCTGAATATTGTAGCTCCTGTCTGCTTTACATACTGATAATGTCAAACACTTAATTTTCCATTTGTCAATCAAGATTGCCAATGCTTGTTACTGTGTTCAATAAAAGTTTATTTTCCTGAAATAGCATTGTATACTGTCCTTTATTTGGAATTAAAAACCTCGCCAAAATGTGTTGGGTTGAACATTTGGCTTTGGTCAAAGTACAGTAACTTCACCTTTTGGTTTAAGCTGGTTAAACTCACATCACACTAAAGTTGCCAGCCTTCACCTAATATGCAGCATTGGACAGGCTGTTAGCCCTTGCATCTGACCCTCTTACTTTAACGTGGTCAGAGACATCCTATATGAAGGGTGTTACATAAATACACCCCATCCACTGCACAATTAACAGCTGAAAGACACAGAGCATTTGGGGCATGATTCATTAGAACAAATAGGGAGGTGAGATCTAGAATGAAGAAATTAGACGTTTTGGCTTCACCAAACAAATAAAGATAGCAGCATTAGAACAATAACCTGGAGCTCTAAAATGCTTAAGGACAACGACCCCTCCATGTCCTATGTTTTTGATTCGCCTTATTCTCTAGTTCAGAATAGTGTTAAAAAAGAGATTTAAGAGATCTACTTGTTCATGTTTAACACTTCATTTCCCCAAATACATTTACTGTAAAAATTCACCTGTGAACAACAAAAATGTTCATACTAAAGCAATTGTACAATGTTAGATAATCAGATTTGTGCACATTTTCCCCAAAATTAATATAAAGCCAATTTTATTGTTTGTTTCAAGTACAGTACTGATTGCTTTTACATTTTAAGCACATTTGATCGCTAGGGTTTACTGTCCATGATTATGTTGCCTTCTTTATCTTTAATGCGTACCCTTCCTGAGATATATTTGGTTTCCTGTTCTCCATTTTGATATACAGTTTTAATTGTTCCATCAGGGTATTCTCGCCTTTTGTATTGTGAAGTATGTATTTCTCTTTGTCCATTGTTGAATTCAATGATCTTGTTTCCATCACTAAATTAAAAGAATCAAACATTAAGATATAAAACATCAAGACTTGGAACAGTTGGATTCAGGTTTTCGTCTCTACAGGTACCTGTGAGCCAAACACTGGTCTTTAACTAAAAAGATAGTCCTAACATTTGTGGAGTCCTGTAGCCAGTGGTTAGTGCACTCGCCTCACAAGCGAGAGACCTGGGTTCGATTCCTGGCAGAGCGAAACCTTGGGCAAGTTTCCTAACTTCATGTGCCTGATAATAAATCCCTCAAAAAAAATAAAAATAATTTGGTCACTCAATCCATAACTGTGGGACACTGCTGTACGCAATTGGCTGCTGCGTTTCACCCACAAATACATTCAATTCACTTTACAATATTCTGTGAAATGTTTTAAGACGTCTAGAAGATGTGCGAAGTGCTATATCAAATGCAAGGATCATTAACATTTTTTTTATTCATCTATAATTGTCAGAGGAGGTAAACAAAATTGACTCACTTGGCCCATACTCTGTTCAGGGTACTATTAGTTCAGGTTCAACATTTCTCAAATCTACTTACGTTTGAATTTGTATAATTGTACCATCTGGAAAAACACTTTCTTCATGACCATCTGTAAATAAATATTTGATGGTCTGGTCTGGGAAAGTGATTTCCTTTCTGCCGTCTGGGTAATGTTTTTCTGCAAAATAGCAAACATCATATGCAAAATAATGTTACCACCTGAATTCGTTGCAATTCCTTCAACGGCTTGAATGCTTGAACTGATACCCTTAGTTGTTCCACCACATACTCCAAGCACAGTGGATAGTTGGAGCTTGCTGCTCTACTGTCCACAAGCTCCACTCGCTGCCCACCCCTCTCTCATGTTATCCGAGTCCTTCATTCCATATTTATCAGAATCAGATGCAGCCAAGAGGACAGCACCCAAAACCCAATCAGCAGGGATTCTCATCTGATGGTACATTCTAAGCACCTTGGAATTTCCTGTGTGTCAAAATGTCAACAAGACCCGAGTCCCTCTTACTTGGCTCCCGTCCGCGCCTCCATGCCTTAGGCGCTGACAGCATCACTCTTCATGGATGCACTCCACACCTCAAAGAGCCAAGACAGAACCTCGGTGTCCTGTTCGACCCTCAACTGTCCTTCATACCCACATCCATACCATGACTCGCTCTCCCTTTCCCACCTTCACAACATTGCCCAGCTCAGGCACTGTCTCTTACAGCTGGCCGCCGAGACCCTCAGCCACGCATTCATCACATCTAAGCTCGACTACGCAAACTCCCTGCTTGATGGCCTCCCCAACTTCAACCTCCACAGGTCGTAGATCATCCATAACTCTGAAGCCTGCACCAGGTTCTGTAACCCTATCACCCACATCCTCGCCCGGCTCCACTGGCTTCCCGTCACTCAGAGAATGCAGTTCAAGACCCTGGTTCTCATCTTTAAAGCCCTTCATGGCCTTGTTCTTCCCTACCTCTATGACCTCCTAACCCCCTATAAACCTGTCCACTCCCTCTGCTCAGCAGACTCCGGCCTGCTTTTATGTCCCCGGTCTTCAGCATCTCTGCCCCCACCCTCTGGAAATCAATCCCACAGTCCCTCTACCTCACTCCCTCCCTCATTCAAGACCCTCCTCTTAAACTGTGTCTTCAGTCACCCTCCAACCCCTGTCCTCCACCCCACCAGTTTGGGTGCAGATTCCTGACTAGCATCCTAAAGCCTGACAGCAAGTTCTTACCAGTTTGGTTGTTTGGGAACTGCAAAACCTCTAATCCATCAGGATAGGTTGTGTGAGTTGTCTTTGCATCAGCATAATAGTATATCTACTTGAAAGAAAGTGTAATGTTACCTACCTATTAATCTTTAAAGGTTTACAACCAATTCCTATAACCAAAGTAAAAACTAGGAACTGCTGCTCTGACCCCTGCTATTTTAGAACACATTTAACCTACTTTCTTTGGTCAAGCCAAGAATCTGGCTCAACTCTGAAAAATACTGTATATTAGAAAAATTAAATCATCTTCTAGCCATTTTTCTGTCATACAAGGTAACTAAATAGAAAATTATGCACAAGCTTAATGCATATTGTACGATTTGCTGGATTTGTAAAAGTGAAGCGACAACATGTAACTGGATCGAGGCTTACCACAGTCTGATCAGATAACATTTCCTTTACATCCCCATTGAAGAAGGTTACAGTCACACTCCTCCTGTCGGCACTTATTTCTTTCCTGGTGCCATTACGGAAAAGAATTATGTGACGTCCACTTTTTAACACCTGCTCAACCTACAAAACAATTTTTTAAAATATGGAAATGAAAGAGTAATGGCAGTAAACATCACAGGATGATAATTTGATGTGCAAGTATTTCAATATCAAAAAATTATGGAAATAAAGTAGTGTCGCTTTGTTAATGTACACTGGTCTTGAGCGTTCACCTTCATAAGTAGAAACTTGAACCCTCCTCTACTTTCAAACTCCTAAAGAAACCTACTTCTTTGACTGCACCCTTAGTTAACTCTCCCACAATCACCTTCATATTCCAGCTTACTCAGTTGACCACTCCATCTCTGTAAAGCCTTTTTGAGATGTAATCCTACATTGACGTGCTTTATAATTGCACATTTTTGTATTATCAGATACAGTACCTGGAAATATGGTAATTACAATATAAATAAACTAAAACAACTTAATCAAAAGGTAAAATACTGCAGATGCTGAAAATATGAACTGACGAAAGGTCATCGACGTGAAACGTTAACTCGTTCCTCTCCATAGATGCTGTCTGACCTGCGTGTTCCTAGCGACTTTTGTTTTTATTTAAAACAACGTAATCATTGTTCTATAAATACAGTAAACTCGTGATAACTTGACCCTGTTTTAGCTTGTCATTAATAATAATCCTTACATTTGACATAGCGCTTTTCACGTCTTCTAGACATCTCAAAGCGCTTCACAGAATATACTGTAAAGTGAATTGACTGTATATTTGTGGGCGAAACACAGCAGCCAATTACGCACAGCAGTGTCCCACAAACAGTCGTGAATCGAAGTGACAAATTTTATTATTATTGTTTTTTTTTGAGGGATTATTATCAGGCATGGAGTAAGGAAACTTGCCTAAGGTTTCGCCCTGCCGGGAATCAAACCCAGTTCTCTTACTTGCGAGGCGAATGCTCTAACCACTGAGTCAATATGTTATCGATATCCTGGCCACATTTATTCAGGTATTTATTGAAACCCCTCAAAGTAATCACCGAGCTAGTTTCCCTTAGAGTGACAAGGTATCAGGAGTTCACTGTGTATGAATTATGAATAAGTGAATAATCTTACCTTTCCATCTGGATAACTAATCTCTTCTTCAATTTCTTCTTCAACCTCACTACTTCTATGACCCTGCTTTAGCAATGTAGAGAAACGGTTATTTAAGTGTAAAGCAAGCCTTCTAATAAAACTCAAATCAGTAAAGTTCTGGCAACCAAAATTTAATTTATGAATACATTATAAATTAACCACCTAATTGTTCTCATTTAAACGTTCCTCAACATAAGAGATTTTCATATTTGGAACTACATGCTGTATAAAACACAGGGTTATAATTATTTTTAAATTAGACAGGTGTCTTGACACATGCAGAAACCCATGTCTGGAACGGATTGCTCGATCCTTAGTCCCAGTGACTAGACATTAAGGGCCAGACATCAGCAATGACGAATGGAGTACCACCTGGCTCAGGTACAAGACTACCGAGACCTGCTTCAGGGGTGACTCGATTTTGACATTCTATTGCCACGCATGTAACCTTGAAGTGAACTCAGCTCAAAGGAGACCCCACTTGCCTCCAGTCAAGGAGGATAGTTACAATTTTCTCAATCTCCAGACAAATGTATAAATCCTCTTTACAAGTTACAGAATAAAACTGAGTTTAAATTTTAAGGCATTAACTAAAGTATGCTAATTTTAACGCTTATAATAACCAAATATAATTGGCAAACTCACCGAACCAGTTTGTATTGAAACCTGAAGATTGGAGAATTGTTGGCAAGGCTCTGAACGCATTTCACTGGGCTCTGCAGAGTCAAACCTATTTGCAGGCTGAGGTATAGAAGATCGCAAAGGAGGTGTAACTACATTAGCAAGAAAAAAAATGTTAATCCTATAGCATAGTTACCATCAAGATGTGTATTCAACAACAATCTGTATTTACATAACACTCTTTACACTTTGCCAGGCATCATTAAAATAGGTACTAGCAGCTTCATTGACTTTTCTGCATCTATTTATATCTATTTTGAATCTTTAATAAATAGCATGAATTTAGAACGGATGATTTAGTATAGGCTTTACTAATAATATGTATCTACAAATGAAGCACCTTTGATCCCTATAATGCACATATGTAGAAGGAAAACTCATCAGGTTTCTGAAATTATAAGCAATAGTCAACATAGATTTAAATCAAAAGGGTATGTCCGATGACTTTACAAAAATTATTTCAGAATATAACTATATTAGATATGGCCAATAGTCTTCTTCAAATTTCCACAAATGAGAACTTTGAAGGATTAAGTCATACAATTATTGGGAAATTAGCTTATTTTGAAAATTGACTTGCAAAAAGCAATGACAAAGCTATACCTTGGGACAATTACTTGTGGAGTTTCACAGAGTCTGTTTTAAGTCCCAATTTTTTTGGAGCAAGACTTCTTGCAACATAACAGTTGCTATTATGAATAAAGAGGATAAATAGTCAAGAATAATCAACACATGCTAGCAGATTGTATCAATGGCATATCATCTTAAAGTACAGTTGTAAACATGTTATCTGTTTGAGTTTATCAGAAAATAATCTAACATAGTAATTGAATGCCTCAAATTCGATCAGATTTTTTTGTGCTTAAATTGCGGATATGTAAAACAGACTCCTAACAAAAGCATTTGATGTTGCATTAACTAACTTTATATTAAAAAAAAACTGAACAATAAAAATGTGCTTTGGAACAGATTTGGGAGGATACATTACAATAAAATTGACATTTATTTAGTGTCTTAGATTCCAAGAGGATGTCTCAAAGCATCAAGCAATCTTTCCAACAGGGCCTGTACATATCTGTGGCATCTAATGTGTAGTTTAAAATTTAGAAATTGGCAATTCCCATTTTACACTTTACTGGAAACAGATAACTATTCCTCCCCCTCCCCCCAACCACACAGTTCCCAATATTGAGAACATGTCATGCATTTGACTGACAAGTTAGCTAAACAAAATACTTGAGTAAAACCACTCTCCTGCTACATGGCAGTCAGCTTCACAGACAATCAATGAGAATGGAGAGAGCGATATGCATGAGTTTTAAGAATTTATAGTATGTACAATGCCTGTTAGACCCCTAGACTTCAACTTCTGAAGTCTAGGGGTCTAACAAGCAGTTGTGTGCATTAAAGTGACCAGTTTCTCCATACCTTTATTTGGAGAGATATATTCAGTTTCTGTCTGGATGTTTTGGTTTATTGGAGTAAGAGGCGATTTCATGGTTCTGCTCGGTTTAACTTTAGGAGAAATCTGTAATAAATAGATTCTAAGTTTTAACATATTCTAAATTGAAATCACTCTTGGTATTTGAAACAAAAATGCATAGATATAAGTAGTCCAAAAAATATATTTTTTTAAAAGGAACCATAAACACTTATGAGATAGAACCATGGTTTCAGCTTTAAGAGCAAAGGCTGAACATGTTTCATAAATCTTTTATAAAAGAGATACCAAGATTTTCTACAACAGAGAAAATCACTTTTGTTCACCTACAAAATAGTCACTACACTTTACAGTATATTCTGCTTTGAGACGTCCTTCCAACATGAGAGCTGACAATTCAAATGTGAGGATTATTATTATTTTTAACAAATAATAACAAGCCTGGCATCTGAAATAGCACTTTTCACAATAATAATAATCCTTGCATTTGATATAGTGCTTTTCACGTCGGGAGGACGTCCCAAAGCGCTTCACAGAACACACTGTAAAGTGAATTGACTGTATATTTGTGGGCGAACGCGGCAGCCAATTGCGCACAGCAATGTCCCACAAACAGTCGTAGATTGAAAATGACCAATTTTATTATTGTTTTTGGTTTTTGGAGGGATTATTATTAGGCTCTGTGTGGAGTAAGGAAACTTGCCCAAGGTTTCGCCCTGACCTGCCTGGAATTGAACTCGGGTCTCTCACTTGCAAAGCGAGTGCTCTAACCACTGAGCTACAGGACTCCTAAGGGAGGTTGTCTTACTGGATTTACTATACAGAGTAGTTACTCCATTTTATAGGCAAACATACTACCTAAGATGCACACTGATGTCCCATAAACATCCAGGAAGTCAATGACAAATTTTATTTTGCAAGGACACAGAGAAAGTCTCTTTTCGAATAGTGCCATGGGATCTTTAACCTGAACAGGCAGGTGGATTTGAATTGACTTGTGGGTGTAGAAAACTTATTTCACAGAATTTTGTCTATGCAATGAAATTCTGCCTTCTTCAGGGCAAATCAAGGGAGTGGTCCATGACTTCACACAAGTAATATGATGGTTTTTAACATCAACAAAAACTAATTTCATATGTAATTTAATAACTAATCTTACCTTTCTCACCAAAACTCCATACCTTTTGAAATATTTTGGTAATGGAGGCACAAAAAGTATCATATCATTGATCATATAGTACACAGATAAACATTTTGGGAATGATAGAATGAATGAATACAAATCATAGTGAGTGATTCAAGAGGCAAAGAATCAGATACAAGTTGTTAACAGATTCTCTCACTTTTACGTTAGTCACATGCATTCTGGTGGCAGTCCTCTTGGAAAATTGCATCCGGCAGAACCAATTTTGAACAACAGTAACGTTATAATGTCAGTAGATTTACAATTAAAACATGGCTGACTTACTTCAAAGTTATCAGAGTCACAATAGAATCAGTCTAGATTAGCTTCTAATCCAGATAGCCCAGAGAAGAAAACCATTTCATTAGATTAAAAGCATTTAATCTCCAAAACATAAATAAGGGTCAGCCTGGCTCGGTTTGCAGCATTCATGCCTGAACAATCAGAAGGTTGCAGGTTCAACATTAAACCAAGATCTGTTCAGGTGGATGGTAAAGATCCTATTGTCACTATATGAAAAGACATAAGTTTCTTCCAGTGTCTTGGCCATCAATCCTCCAAACAAAAATAATTTACACGATGGCTGCACATGGGACTACTGTGTGCATATTGGTTGCCACTTGCAAAATACACAATTACTCTATAGTAATATAATCTACAGTAAATCATATGAAGTGCTTTGAGATGTGACAATGTGATAAGAATATATCAAATGCCAGGATTATTAGTCTAATATTTAAAAAATGAATATGAAATGCAAATATAACGGTTTCATGCAAAGGAAACCGTGATACCTACTGACATTATCCCTTCTAAACATTCATTCAAAACAAATTAAATTATTTCTATAGATACTTTGGGAAAATAGAGACATGCACCAATATTGAAGCGTGCAACTTTTATTACCGTGTCATTCCTGTAAGGGCTTTCCTTTCTTGAGGTGCGTATAGTTTTACCTTTGTCCACCTGTCTGTTTACAGAAGAGTTTTCCTTTTTTCTGGTATCTAGGGAAAGCTAGAAAAAACACACACACAATGATTATCAATCATTAATCTGCTACTGTATATACTTCAAGCAGCCAGAACAAAATGCTACTTTGCTCTTAGATGCCCCAGTACTGTACTTTTGGCCAAATTACAAAGACACCATGTGGAAAAACTGGAATGCAATAGTGTCCAATTATGCACTTCACAACTCAACTTATTAAAATATTGAAAGATTATAGCTCCATGTATTACAATAAAATCTGGAGAGCAATAAATGTTCCACCTCAGAATATAAAAATGACTCACTTTAGATATTTAAATCAACAGGAATCTATAAAAATAACAGCATAAAAATATGACTAACTACATAATCAAAAACATAAGATACTACACTATTGATCATAGCTAGGAATCAAATACTTGCACATGGAATTACAGAGGTTAAAAAGACAAGTTGGACATTTTTAATAAGTCAATTTGGCTCAATAGAGGATAGCAACAAATCAATGTACTGTATACATCCAGCAGAAGAGACTGATAACCAACAATTTGCATTTATATAGCAACCTTCACGGGCGTAGCTTCCCAGAGCGCTTCACAATGAGTCTGGCAACGAGCCAGGTGGAGAGGGAGGTGTCCTTAAGCACGATCAAAAAGGTCTTTAGATGGGATTTGAAGGTGGGGAGTAAGGGGACGAGGCGAAGGGACTAAGGGAAAGAGTTCCAGTGTTTTCAGCGTGCCTTCAGCCACATAGTGGCTGAAGGCACGCCCACCGATGGTGGAACAGAGGGCACGGGAGACAAACAGGAAGCCAGAGCCAGCCAAGCAAAGGCAGCTGGTGGTGGAGTGGAGGTCGGAGAGATAGGGAGGTGTAAGGGTATGAAGGGATTTGAAAACGAGTGAAAGGATGTTGAAATCGATCCGTTCAATGATTGGGAGCCAGTGGGGCCTGGCAAGGACTAGTGTGATGGTGGAATAGAGTTTTGTGCGGGTGAGTATCTGGCCGGCAGAGTTTTGAATTAATTGGAGTTTGTGTATGGTGGAGCTGTGGAGACCAGTGAGGAGGACATTGGAATAGTCCAGCTGGGAACTGACGAAGGCGTGGACGAGGGTTTTGGCCGCACTGGTTGTGAGGTACGGATGAAGGCAGGCAATGTGGCAAAAATGGAAAAAAGCGTTCCCTGTCAGGGAATGGATGGGTGGTAGAAAGGAAAGCTGGGGATCAAACCTGACGTCCAAGTTGTGCACCTGTTCAAAAAGTCCAATTAACAGGGTGGGTTATTCAGTTGTTATTTTGTTTAATTTTTTTAATTGAAAATTTCATATTTTTTATTTGAAAAAAATGGGACTATGATCTGTACATAAAACATTTCCATGACCCTGGCTATCTTTTACTCAAGTTCAAGCTTTTTTCCAAAATGAATGACATAATTTATTTTTGAATATTCATAGACCGCCCACTGCAGCTTCTGCACGTGCAATATCTATTAAAATCTAATTTTCTATTCTGCTTACATTTTGCGTAACCAGATGATTTATACTTGTGCAGAGAGCTCTTGATCAGCATACAAGTATTAATTGGCAATTGGCACAGTTTGTGCTTTGTGAATGCTCAACTGCTTTAGCATTGAAATGCTTTTGAGGTTTTCCATCAGTAAGAGTACTTTAGATTGGTCCACTGAATGCACTTCTGATCAGCAATGGTTCACAGTGGAAGAAGGCAGCCATTATCAAAGGGCGCTTTAACAGTCCACAGTGGTACCTCTGTTAATCCCACTTCCCTACCTTCTTGCCAGGTTCACTTCCCAAGTATCCATCCACCTCTTTCTTGAATCCCTCAATAGATTTCTCATCTATGGCTTTCTGGGGTAGTGCATTACACAACTTTATCACTCAGAAGAAAGTCATCCCTGCCCGTTCTAATTGATTTTGTTCTGATTTAAAGGTCAGATATTGTGCAGTGTCACTGCTGACAGGAGAGTTTTAGTCTGTGAACGTGCGACTGCAGCCAGTGAATAAACAGACTTACCACAGGTTCGGTTCTCTTCAGAAGTACAGTGGATGTATCTGCTTTCTTATCAATAGCTGCTTCAGCTTTCTTCCAGGCTTCCAATCGAAGTCTTTCCATCACTTTAACCTCATCTCGAAACTCAAGGTTTTCCTTGGTCAGGGATTCGATCTGGTTGCGAAGCCGTGTGTGAGTACTTGACCATCGTAATTCCTTCCTTTTCACCTCTTCTTGCAAGTCAGCAATCTGCTGTTTCAGAGCCTAACCAACCAATAAAATACATCAGTATTCATCAAGCCTACTCCAAAAAGGATTATTTCAACTAAGTGAATACAGTGAACCACTTTCCTTTCATTATATTATTTTAGTGTGGAGTTATTCCAGTCTCCAAATCACTGCATCTGCCAGAGGTCCCTGAAAACATTTGCAATGGGCATTTCCTGTATGAATATGCAAATTGGCTGTTGTGTTGCCTGCAAAATACAGTCACTATACAGTACATCCTTTGAAGCTCTGAGATGTTCTCCTGACATGAAAGGCGTTTTATCAAATATAAGGATTATCATTATTAAAGTAGAACTTGCACCTGTATTTCTTCTCTTTCCTTTTTGTCGGGAATGGCCCTCGCGGCTGAAGCGTATTTCTCAAAAACCTTGCGCTCTTTTTGAAGTTTTCTCAACTCTTCTTTTTTGTATTCTTCCAGTCGAGTTAACTCTTCAGTCTTAGTTCGCTCAAAATCTGTAATTTCCTTTCTAATCAAAAAAAAGTAAGTTTCTCATTTACTTTATGTTAATGCTCAACTAAAATTACCAATTACAGTGGAAGCCTGTTAAGCTGGATACATTGGGCACGGCCGTTTTACCCAGCTTAAGAGGCGTCCGGGCTTTGAGGACGTGACATGTCAAGCGACTGCCACGATGGTGTCAGGCGGAGTGGGTGGACTTCTTTCTTTCGCCGAGCAAATTCTTACATTGACCAAAGTGCTTCCTTCCTCCCATTGCCGTGCCCATTGGATGGGAAGGGGACCAATTAGAGGTGGCTCCGAGGTGATTGACAGCCTTGGAATCGCTTGCGAATGGATGGGCTCCAGCCATTCACACATGGCTCTCGCTGTCAATCAATCAATCGTGATTTGACTCCTCCCATTCCCTCCATTGTTGTTCCTTTGGCCCCTCAATGATTGACGGCCCAACTCCAGCCACTGCGAATGTCTGGAGTCCACTATCAATTAATCTTAGATTCCTCGCATCTCCATCCGGGAGCCTCTCATGGCTGAATGGAGCCACTCGACACAAACAAGGCCCGTGTGAGTACAGTCAGCGGCAACCAGCGCGGCCTTTTGTCCGAATTAATCGGATTTTGTCCAAATCAACCAAAATATTTAAAACAGATAAGAACACAAATGAATCGGGGCAGGACGTTTTGTTAAATTTACCCAGCCTCCAGTATTAACCAGTGTCCGTCTAATATGGATTCCACTGTATAATAAATCAAAAAGATTATATAATTATACATTAGAAAGTATTTTACAAAAGTTGTCAAATACTAATCAATCCAACTGGACTATACCTACGTAATAACTGTTGAGGATAGGGCCGATTATTTTATACAATTATGTTTGTATATTTTTCAATGAGATTGTGAATGTGTCATCCATCAAAAACTTTCATCAGAGAATAGTTATGCAAACTTACCTAAGATCCTCCAGTGCCTTTTCCCTATCATCTCGCAGTTTGACCAGTGTGACATTTTCAGCACGAAATCGTTCAATCTCACATTCTAATTCTACCATTTTATCCCTTAGCAACTTGGACTGAATACCATCACCTGAAAAATAGTGCAACAGCTTTACGAACAAATGTAAGAACAGCTGAATAATTGGGACATTCAAATTATTTGGATATTGTTCTTTCATTGTACAATTGTCTCCATAACATTCACTTCAATTTATATGCAATTTCATCCTGCAAAGCCCCATGATACACTTCTTTTACATGAAAGGAACTATTTAAAAAGTAAGCAGTTCATAACTTATTCACCTGTTAGAATGAAAAACTTGAAGGCTTCAAGTTATTTAATTTAAAACAGAACTATATAGCAGTAAAACTCGTATAAGTCATATTAATCGGGACCATAACATTTAATATGACTTACACAAAGCAGTTGTAGACAAACTGTATAGAAAATCCAATATAATCAATAATCTACACTGCACATGCACAATTCAATTTAGCCGTTAAGTGCGCATGCGGTAGTTTGTCAATGCAGCCAGTAACAACAAGATTACATTTGTATAGTGCCTTTCATGTCGGGAGGACGTCCCAAGGCGCTGAACAGTGTACAGCATTTCAGACCCGAGCTGGGGTCAGGTGAGAGAAGGGAGGGGAGGGACCAATGGCATGGTCGAAGAGGAGGGTTTTGAAGCGGGACTTGAAGAAGGCTAAGGAGGGGGCGAGGCAGAGTGATTGAGGAATGGAGTTCCAGAGTTTGAGGGCAGAGTAGCTGAAGGCTCTCCCGCCAATGGGGAGGCAGGTGGGTTGGGGGACGTGGAGCAGGTCAGAGCCAGCTAAGCGGAGGGAGCAGGCGGGTTGGTAGGGGGTTAGGAGGTCATAGAGATAGGGTGGGACGAGACCATTGAGGGCTTTGTAGGTGAGGACCAGGATTTTGAACTGGATCCTCTGAAGGATAGGGAGCCAATGGAGTCGGGCGAGAATGGAGGAGATAGGGTCACGGAGTTTGGTGCAGGAGAGGACACGGGCTGCAGAGTTCTGGATTATCTGCAGCCTGTGGAGGGAGGCGTTGGGAAGGCCGACAAGCAGGGCGTTTGCATAGTCGCGCCTGGAGGTGATGAAGGCATGAACAAGAGTTTCAGCGGCCTGAGGGGTGAGGTAGTGGCAGAGTCGGGTGATGTTACGGAGGTGAGGGAAGGCAGAGCGGGTCATGGCTTGGATGTGGGGAAGAAGACAGTAAGTGCATATATGGTGACTAGTCGACTTCATTTCCCACAACTCAATGAGTCTTGACCCGTCATCACTTGCGCACTTAACGGCAAATGCTGGAATCGCATGAAACGAAGTTCTGCGCATGCATCATCGCATTGAAAACTACGTTTCCTGTGATTCAATGCAGTCGATTGGTAAGTTCGAGAGTAATGGATGTAGGGGAGTTAGTGACGAGCTAGGAAGTGATTAATATAAGGAGTGCAAAGAAATCTAAGTGGTTTTGATTGGAAACTGCTTGGGACTCGGGTGAACGTACAACTTAGGCGTTTATGCAATTCATAAAGATAAAACTTCTGAGAGTTTAATTGTAACAGAGTTTTACAAAAGCAACAAGAAAATAGTTTTACCTAGTGGATGGTCATTCGCAGATTTTAATTTTTGATCCAGACCTTGAAGAGATGGAGTCTTCGGTTTAGGTTTCAGTGAAGGGAATAGTTTTGTCACTAGATCTGAGGTAGGAGGAATATCTATACTTTTAATATTGATTTCTTCCACAACATCTTCCTTTTTAGTAGAAGCAATTTTTCTTCGCATTACCTTGTCTTCGATGGACCTGGCAGAGCAGGTGCCTTGAATTGCTTTAACAGAGCCCAAAGAGTTATCATCATGGTCAACAAATCCAGCCTCCTCAAAATCCATCCACGTTTGGTCATCATCAAACTCAACCTTTTCTTGGTTCAAGATGACTTGGTGACTTATGCAGTTTGAATTAAATAAGGAGGGATCTGTCTTCTGCTTCAGAACAGTCCTTTTGTTTTCGATTACCGTGGCCATTTCAATATATTCATCATCTGATAAATCAAGATTAGCATCCACGCTCTTGTCTTTATTGAGAATGTCTGTTGGGTATTTTCCACAATTGGATTTGGGATCATCATCCTCATCACTCGTGTATTCCACCGGTTTAACATTCACTTCCAATTCATCTGTCAATGTTGAATCAAGATCATCTGAATCTGAAGTGCTTCTGCTACAACAATCTTCCCCTTGAAGATCGCATTCAATACTTTTTATTGTTACCCCATTGCTGACTGGAAAGGCATAAACATTCCTGAAATTTTCCTTTAATTCAACATTACTTATTCTGGAATCTGGTTCTAAGGTCCTTGAACCATTACAGATTGAAAATTTTATATTATCCCTTGATTGGGAATCTTTCTTGCTGCTCATAAACTCACTTGGAGTTTGAGCTCGCTGTTGCTGGTCAGCAGACTTGATTGGAGTAGAGGATAATCTACGATTTTTATTGGGTTGGATCATTTTCAGCAGAAAAGAAGAATTGCTAGAGAAAGACAGCTCATCAGCAGCCTGCTCCAGAAACTCAAACTCATCTAACTCGTGCTTTTCATTCTTTTTGTCTTTATCCCACTTTGTCAAAGCTTTCTGAAATGAAGTCTCAAAGGAATACTCTGGTTCAATAACAGGATCATTATTTAGCCTTGCAGAGATAGTGTTCCCTTTGTAATTCTGCTCTGTCTCTCCATTATCGAGTGAAGTAGGCCCATTTGAAGCCGTACTCCCCTGGCCGGTGTTACTTGGTGTACAATTATGAACATCCTTTACCTTTCCAATTTTAGAATCAATCTCAATTTTACTCACGTCATGAACTTTGCCAAATGATACACTGACTTTCTTTTCTACCTGAAGGGTATTTTCTCCATGCCTGTTACCTAACACAGTCACCTTTTTAAAAAATGAAGCAGGGTTGTTCTTTGGTTTGATAACTGGATTTGATTTGTTTCCAATTCTGTTGGAGCCGTCAAATCGGTTTTCTTTGTTTAAGGATGTGGATTTCCATACCACTTGCTTCTGGGTTGTATTCACTGACTTATGAGAATCCAATATTATTTGCTTATCAACATTGACTGATGCCGATTTACTTGCTCTGGTAGTTGAGAACCTTGTCAGCCCTTCACCTCGCTTCAGAAATATTCTTTTCTGGTTGCTTTTGCTATCGGTGAATTCTGATGGTGGCTACAATTGAATGGAAATCTTTAGATCAGTATTAGTTACCTGTAGTTTAGGCATGTTATTTTCTAATTAGCATTTTTTTTCTTAGTTAATATATAAAACCCTTTCAAGGAACCCTTTTTTGATGAATATTAAAATGAAATACTCTAGTTTTGAGATACACTGAGATTAAACTTTGTGGACCCAATGCAATGCAAGGTGCTGAGAAAACAGTGAAATTATTAGTAGGATAGACAACCAGAAACAAGATTGCTCAAAAAACACATCTTACAAGAGTGTAGCCACCACTGCCAACAGTGGAAAAAAGAGCGCAGGGGACTGTGTATACAATTTGGGAAATGGCAACTCCTCCTTCCATAGACTGTAGATCATCCAGAACTTTGCAGACCATGTACTCTCCTGCACCAGGCTCCGTGATCCTATCACCCAAATCTTCACCCGACTCCTGGCTTCCCATCACACAGAGGATACAGTTCGAGATCCTGGCCTCACCTTCAGAGGCCTCCATGCCCTCGATCCCCCCTACCTCTGCGATCTCCTAACCACAACAACAACAAGATTCCATTTATAGAGCGCCTTTCACGTCAGGAGGACGTCCCAAGGCGCTGCACAGTTGGGTCATGACCCGAGCAGGGGGGAAATGGTCAGGGTGAGGGGAGGGAAGGGAGGGAGCGAGGAGGAGGAAGAGAGTCGAGAGGGGAGCTGAAGGCACGGTCAAAGAGAAAGGTTTTGAGACCGGCCTTGAAGGAGGAAAGGGAGGAAGCAAGGCGAAGGCACTGGGGGATGGAGTTCCAGAGCCTCGGGGCTGAGAGGCTGAAGGCCCGACCACCGATAGTAGGGCGGTTGGGGCGGGGGACGTGGAGCAGACCGGAGCCAGAGGAACGGAGGGTACGGGCAGGTATTAGGGGGATAGTAGGTTGGAGAGGTAGGAGGGAGCAAGGCCGTGAATGGCCTTGTAGGTGAGGATGAGGATCTTGAAATCAATCCTCTGGGGGATGGGGAGCCAGTGGAGGCGAGCGAGGGTAGGAGTGATGTGGTCCCGAAGCCTGGTGCGGGACAGTACACGAGCTGCAGAGTTCTGAATGACCTGCAGCTTGTGGAGGGAGGTGCCGGGAAGGCCGGCGAAGAGAGAGTTCCCATAGTCCAGCCTTGAGGTGACAAAGGCGTGAACCAGGGTTTCAGCGGCGTGAGGGGTGAGGTAGTGCCGTAATCTGGCGATATTCCGGAGGTGATGGAAGGCGGTGCCAGTTGTGGTGCGGATGTGAGGGAGAAAGGACAGCTCAGGGTCGAACAAAACGCCGAGGTTCCTGACTGGCTTTGAGAGGTGGAGAGTGCAGCCTTGGATGCTGATGGTGTCAGCGCCTGAGGTGCGGAGGCGCTGACGTGAGCCAATCAGGAGGGCCTCGGTTTTTCGCACGTTGAGCTGAAGAAAGTTGTCTCTCGTCCAGGACTCGATGTCGGACAGGCAGGCTGTCAGGACATCGGTGGTCGTGGAGTTGAGAGTAGAGGAGGAAAGGTAGAGTTGGGTGTCATCCGCATACATGTGGAAGTTAACCCCATGTTTGCGGATGATGTCACCGAGGGGGAGCATATAGAGGGTGAAGAGGAGGGGACCGAGGACAGAGCCCTGAGGGACACCACATGAGACAGTACGGGGGGTGGAGGAGAAGCCATTCGTTGAGACGAAGTGAAGACGGTGGGAAAGGTAAGAGCTAAACCATTCAAGGACAGTGCCTTGAAGGTTGAGGTGGGAGGACAAGCGGTGGAGTAGGATAGCGTGGTCGACCGTATCGAATGCTGCCGATAGGTCGAGGAGGACGAGGAGACAGAGGGAGCCCTGGTCACAGATAGTCAGGATATCATTGGTGACCACATACCATCCTGCCCCCTCCCTCCGCTCAGTGAGGTGCAGTCTGCTTCACCTCCCTTGCCCCACCATTGGCGGGCGAGACTTCTACCTCTCAGCCTCTGGAACTCCATCCCACAGTTCCTCCACCTTGCCCCCTCCCTTGCCACCTTCAAGACCCATCTCAAGACCCTCCTCGTTGACCACACTTTTGATCACCCTCCTTCCCCCCTGCCCTCCACCCTCCCCAATCCCAACTCGGGTCCGAAACACTGATTGTCCAGCACTTTGGGACATCCTCCTGATGTAAAAGGCTTTATACAAATGTAATTTTGTTGTTGTTAACCATTCCATCTTCCTTGATTGTGTTTCTTCTCTCATGCACTTCAATGGTTCTAGAAGCATTTTCTTGACCCATTGCCAACATTTAGTTTCCTCCAATGGCTTCTCCTTCGCCCCATATGGTCACAAGGGGCATACTAAGGCTTTTATCCTCGATCCTCTCCCTTCTCTTCTAAATGCCTTTCCCCACAAAAATGGGATAAATTTCCACACGTATGCTGATAACACCTAAATTTACCTCTCTACTTCCAACCTTGATTCCAGCTCTAATGATGTTCTGACTGCCAAGCATCAAGTTGGCTTCAGCTAAACATGGTTGCGTCTGATTACCTCAGCATCCTGGCAGCTCTCCATAGTTCAGTCCCTGACCAAGTCTGCTTTTCATCATCTTCACAACATTGCCACCCCCTTTCCCTCCCCTCCAGCTCGGGTCTGAAATGCTGTACACTATCCAGCACCTTGGGACGTCCTCCCGACGTGAAAGGCGCTATACAAATGTAATCTTGTTGTTGAAACCCTTATCCACACCCCTATCACCTCAGAACAAAACGTTTTCCAGACCCTCGTTACTCGCCTCCCGAGCTCCATAATCCACAAGCTCCAGATCATCCAATATTCAGCCACATGCATTCTTAACTTAACATGCCCATCATCCCTGTGCTCTCAAGCCTGTACTGGCTTCATGTGTCCCTGTGGATAAACTTCAAGATCCTCACTCTCACCTACAAAATCCTGATACTTTCTAAACTACAGCTACCTCTGTGACCTTTGTCCAGCTCGCCCTCTTCGCTCTGCAAACTCAGCAGCCAAGCCTTCAGCCACTCCATCGCTGCCCTCTGGAACTCCCTCCCTGAATTCCTCTACCTCACTCCACTTTTCATCTTCGAAAGCCTTCTGAAAAAAACTACCTCTTTGCCTGTAGCTATGGTCAACTCCCTTCCCCACCACTTGATATCTGGCACCATTTCTGTAAAGCACCGTAATAACCTACATGAAAGGCTCCATATAAATACAAATTGTTGAATTGACCCAAAGTTCATTTCCAATATTTTCTGTTTCATGCAGTTACCATCTCAAACACAAACCTGTGAAAGTTCCATTCTTTGTGGTTGTTGCCTTAGTCTCTGGTCTTCTATTCTTATCTGCTCCTCTAGGAACTCTTCAAAAGTTTGCGATTTCCCATCAATGTTCGATTTAATAGGTCTAAAATAAAAAGTAACATTGGTCTCATTTTACATTCTTTGATCAAAAGTTTAATCACACAGAAATTGTCAAGTGGCTTACAGAAGCATCAAAACCTGAATAAACGTTTGTCCCATTCAATTTATCGGTAACATTTGAAACACAAGTATTTGCAACTTCTGTGGAATTCAAATTCCTTCATATAGCACAATTTTTAAAGAATCATTTTTACCACTACCATCTTCCATACAAATAATGTGTGAAGAATTGGAACTGAAATCTTAACGAGAGCAATGACTGCTTGGTGCTCCGAGATGCTACCCCACGTGAAGGGGGCTATATAAATGCAAGTTTGTGTGGATGAGTTGTCGAGTGCTATAAAAAAAAAAGCTTGATTTTACCTGTCCTCTAGAGTTTTGAAGGATACAACTTTGCTTGAATTATTTTTTTCAGATGGACTTTGAAGACAAGCTGCACTCACAGAATTTTCATTAGTGTTGTGTCCGTCAGATACGTCTCTAAAAACGGAAGGTTCTGGATCTGGTTGTTCCAAAACACTAAATTCACCTACAAAATATAGATTGACAATTTCACAAACATCCACATTTTAAACATCACACAAATCTGTTTAGAATTGCCACACTGTAGCTCCAATATGCGTTATCTATAATCAATATTTTGATATTGCGTTGAAAAGTTTCAAAAATATTCCAACAAGTTACTTAGAATTGTGGTAATTGTCTATGTTGTGAATGAGACCACTAATTTGCACCAGCAATATTCCAAATATAACAATGAGGTAGAAGTGCCCAATTCATATACTGTGCTTGAAATCAGTTTGATTTGGCCTGACAAAGCTGATAAATTGAGTACTGTTAAATTTCAATGTTTGAAATCACATTTTCTTCTGGTTGCCAAGCACAAAATCTGAATAAAACGACCTGTAGTTATCTATAGTTGCAGGCTCAGAGATAATGATCTATCAGGTTAAAATCAGTACTTTTACCAATAGACCGTGATTTGTGTAACAAGTATTCTCATTGCATTCCGCTGCTACCCACAGGAAGCTTCTTGTACATCTGTTTTATATAAACAGATCAACCTATAAACAAAAAGCAGAATACTGTATCTAGCACCCAAGAGAGTTAAAGTAATTTTCCCAGCACAATGGAAACTTCTTGGGCCAAATGAGCCAATTAATTAAAAAAATAATGGCAGCAACTGCTTAAGTTAAGTCCAAGAACATAAGAGAGGTTTATCATGAATCATTATGGTTCTCAAAGTAATGGCAGGCTTCACTATGCCAAAGTAAACAAAATATATTTTCAAAATATACCTGATGTAAAATTCTACATATGATTATTTGCAATAAAGACTCCTGAGGTTCTGTACATGTTTTTATTTAACTAAAATTATGCTTCAACCCACCAGCTACTGTCACTTGGGTAGAAATGTGTTCAGTTACCAATTAGCTTGCAATATTTTTACCAATAGGTGAACAAACCAATCTTATCAAGTATTTTTTTCCTTAATGCAAATTTTCGCTCTTCTGTGATTTCCCACCGATTACCTTTGACTGTTATAATAAGTACTGGATTAATCCTTCTTGATGCAACATACCAACAGAAATGAAACCTTCTAGGGCCATTGTGGTTTATTTATATTTGTTTTCCATCTGTCTGTTATTCCACTGCTGGAATCACAAACAGTGCTGAAATAACTGATCTGAGCTAGGGCGCAACATTTGACTTCTGTATCCCAGGGTGGGTGGGAGGGGGGCTGAAATCAGTCAAAGTTTACTCCCAATTTGTATCCCAACACCATTCCTGGAAGGTACATCGGGGTGAGACTCAAGATTGAATAGCTTGCCACATGAATAATGTTATCATTTGGGCAAAGTATCCATAAGCACTGGGGGCTTTTGGAACAATGCCACATTAAGATTAAAAGGAGACAAAAGGAAAGAATTGAGTGTGTGGGGGGTGCTGGAAATAAAAAGGTGATGGCATTTCCACAGTAGAAGATAAAAAAAGCGAAATTATTTATTTGAAGGCAAATTTGCCTGTTCTTTTAGACAAGGCCAGCAGAAATAACCCTATAGTAAATTTTCCATTACTGATTATTTTTGGAAAAAAAACAAATATTTTTCTTTACAGTAAATGCCTTTTAAAACCAACCTTGATTATTAGTATTGAAAAAGAGAGATTACTTTTGCTTTACAATCTTTCATTTAGAGCGGGCAAACAAATTGTCCCATATTCCGAAATGTTGCAAAGAGAGATATTTATAGAGTTTCTGTCTGTCAGTTACCCCAAGTTACCTTGTCCTTCGCTTTAGAATTGCTGGTTCGGCACAGGAAGGGAGCAGCTGTCTTGTGTCGGACCCTTGCCCTCCCCCATGTGATATCATGAATAGGGAAGCCTGCGTATTACTCAGTCATTTATGACGTCACTGGAGTGAGCGTCAGGTCACGAGGGGGGATTCTACACAAATAATCTCCTTTCGAACCAGCTGAAAGTTTTAGATAGAGAAACGGGGGATGACTAATAAAGTATGAACATCTTTATAACAATTAGGATTTGTGATAATTCAATACGGTACACTTCCCCTAAGGATTTTTCATAAGTATTTAAAGTCAGTTTCTTTCTCTCTCTCTCTCTCCCCTCCACTGATAAACTCATCAGCTATCTGGTGGACATCTGCCTTCAGCGCTCCGGGACAGCTACCCCGCATGAAGAGCGCTACATAAATGCAAGTTGTTTTTGTTGCTCAGCATGGTGGGAGGACCTTTACAGGACAGTTTGCGATGTGCCAGTCACCTTAATGTTCTTAGGGTCCAAGTCCATGCCACGTACCAGGCTTATTCAGCACTAGCTGCTTATTCCAGGTTCTCGTGGGGGGATCCTGGCAAACAGATGCGAACCTGTTCTTGTTGGATGTCAAACGACTAACTAGTGACTATCCTCCTTGGGTCATGGGTGGGTGGGGGAAAGAGAGAGTAAGCGGTTCTCCTTGGAGCTGAACTGGTTTCAGCTGGTTATAACCCACCAGTACCCCAAGGCACACACTGGGGTCCCCAAGCCTTGCCTCTTGCCAACCTGCGTCTCATGCTTTCCGGAATTAGGTAAGCAAGATGCGACCCTCCAGGGCAAGAGTTTACATTCCATATCAATAAATATCTCCGGAATTTCTATGTGTAGGTGGGATGCATGGAAACCGCAATTTGGTTTGGATTCTCTTAGGCATGGTGATGGGTTGCCACATGTGTTACATATTTCCCCAACAAACAACTGGATTTCACTTCAAGGCAAAGTCCAAAACAGAGTCAGAAGACTACTTTAATGTGGATTTCATCTGGGGTTGCAGTTAAAACACTTAAGTAACACTTACTTAAAATTACTGTACAAATCATTTACACGTTAATCACCTAAAAAAAAAAATATTGTTACAGTTATACATTGGACAGTATAAATGTGAAAAACAAAGCTTTATTTGCCTTCAACTTACCCTCAAGGCCAACTGCATTCTCTTGTTCTGAATTGTCTTCCATTTGCTGGACAGCATTAACAGGACAGAGTTTTTCCATATGATCCAAATCACGTGAAACTTGAGAGGGATTTTGTTTTAAAAAAAACAACTTCCAAATAAATTAACAATTCTCACCACCAACATGCTTTTCAAATCTTACAAATGCGTTTGTTTTTAAATATGGTTTCAAACAACGAGCACTGATCAGTACCTAAACTGGAGGCAACTAAATGGAATGAATTACTTGGACAAACAGTATGATGAAGCTGAAAGAACACCTGTAGGGATAAACTCACTGCCTTGTCTTTCTTACACAACAGAACCCAGTCACTCCCAGTTACTACTCTCTGACATTTAAACTATAATGTAATGGTGTGTATTTAGGAGAAATACACAAGCATGAAGTTATCACAGTAGATCTCATCCTCTTAAAAGTCTTGTTACTTGCTAAATGTTTTCAACATGTGTATTAATAGAATTGTGTTTTAAACTACATAAACAAGTGCTATTGATATTTTGGCAGAATATATTTTTACTTTATAAAATAACAAATAATGCATTTGTAATTAGAAAAACATTGAGGTGGACTTGCACGGAATATAACTAGATAGAAACAAAAGAAATAAAGGCTCACTGCAGGAAATTTGCTGTGCTGCTCTTTTACATACAAACGGTATATAAAATGCTGGCTTTTATTATGCTGCAAAAATTGTTCACTAAAATATTTTCAATCTTAAGACAATTCTATTCCCTGCATAGTTTTGGTATAAAGCATATGCCTCATACACTGCATGTAAATTTCTTTGAAGTTTGACTGTTGCTCAATCACTTTTTTTTGGATCAGCTGGGTGGGTGTCTGACAAATGTGGAAACCCATCACCATGTTTAAGAGTATCAACACAGAAATATGCCGCAGCAAATTACGTCCATTTTACTGACCTGACTTTGGGCTTTGTTGCTGTGATGAAGAAGCAGCCGAACTGTTGCTTTTTAAAAAATGCACGGAAGCGACCAGAGAGGCATCAGGTTGAACAGTGTTGATCTGAGGTAGACTCTGGGGGACTTGCTGTATTGAACATGGCATGCTGCTTGAGTTAGAGTTCAAACCAAGAGGTTCATCAGTTGAAGACTGTTGGAAGCAGTACCCTTGACCTGTCAATAGTTCATCAGTAGTTAAACAACATCTTGAAATATTGCAAATGTTATTTCATAATCAAATTTAAAAATGTAGAAATTACATCCAACTTTCAATGTAGTGACCTACCCGAAGAAAATCAGAGTTAAGATAAAAAATAGTTTACCACAAAGACCTGTTGAAGCTGAGTTCATAAATGCATTTAGAAAGCTGTATAAATACTTCAGGAACATTTTTATTAAATTACAATAATCCTTGCATTTGATATAGCGCCTTAACACGTCGTTGAGATGTCGCAAAGCACTTCACAGAATATACTGTAAAGTGTAGTGACTGTATTTTGTAGGTGAAACGCGGCAGCCAATTGCGCACAGCAGTGTCCCACAAACAGTTGTGGACTGAATGACTACATTTTTTTTAAAAAGGGATTTTTACCCCCGGAAAACGATCCACCAATGAACAACCGGGTTCCTACTTACTGCTAGGTAAACAGAGGCGGGTGCAGTAAGGAAACTTGCCTAAGGTTGTGAGTAAAGAGAAGTAATGAGAATTAGAGTAGATGGAGAAAACTAACAAGAATTACTCATTGATATTTGTAAAACTCCAGCCAGGGATGGTGTAATTCCTTTAAAATAGGAGCTCAGCAATTGTCCAGGATACACACAACATATTTTAAGGGTGTGAAGTTTAAATAAAACAAGCTGCAAACTCTTGTTTCATTTTAAGGCACAAATGTAAAACTAAGTGTGTGGTTCTGGAGTTAATCTTTCCATTTCTGCCTTCCAAATACAGTATATGTAAAATTTGAATGTGGAATCTTTAAAAAGCTCACCATTAGTTTGAAAAGTCTTAATTTCTAATATGTTACAAATATTTGAACTTATTTATAGCTTTTTTTCTATAAATGTGTATTCTTCTTAGTTAAATAATTGCCTTCGATTTTCTTCTGAACCTTTCAATTTTGTCCCTATTTTATTCAAACAATACATTTGAAACAAAAAATGTCTTGCTACAGAAGTTTTAATGAACACTTTACGTAAACAACGTAGCAACAAAACATGCATTACAGTAGTTCTAATAATTACATCTATTGATACCATAGGTTGTTTTGCTCAGCTCACACTGAAAAGAACATTAACTCGCAGAACTGCTGTATTTGTAATTTTTTCATGCGCATATGAAATTTGCTGAGTGTTTTAACACCAACAACTGCTTCCTCTTCAAACAGATTCTGCACAATAAACACTTACACTTGTTAATCTTGTAATTGTTAACTAAACTGCTGGATAGTTCACAAAAGTGGCATTTTTCCTCCTCCTTTACACAAAAGTTACTTGGAATGTCCTGTAGTCACAGCCTGAATAATTACAAATCAACAATGGTTGTCTTTCTGCTTTGAGACTCTGCAATACTCCTGGTAAGTCAGTTTCACTTTTCTAAGATATGACATTGTTTTTACTGTATTTTGTTTTATACTCATGGCATGAAACACAACATATTAGCAACCTGTTAGATAAGATACTTACTCAGTAAATTGACTCAATATCAAAAGCACTTGTGATTTCAGTGCTCTATTTCTAAATTGTGCCCTCTACTCATCTGCAGTAATTCGTACAACAACCAATTGCCTACTCAATCCAACCCACTCTCTTAAGGGAAGTGACCGTTTCACTCACAAAATCTAAAGTCAGTTCACTACAGGTTATTCTGGTTAGCGCTTTGAGACATCTCAGTGGCATAATAAGTGAAGTCCTGTAGCTCAGTGGAGCAAGTACATTTTTAACTTATTACATGGCAAATCACTGCTGTTATGCTTTGAACTGGCACTTCTTAGTTACAGTTCTGGAACCACTGCTATATTTTGTATACAATTGTTCTTTGTGGATTTTTAATTGTTTTCTCACTGTTGTCACTCAAGCTTATAATAAAAAGCTACAATTATTAATACATATGTAAGCATCTTGCTGTCCTTGCCTGGTAGATCTCGGCTTGTAGTAATAAAACCAAGGACCTTCTGTTGTTCCTCCAACAGTCGTTGAAGCTGTTCCATCTGTTGCTTTTTCAACTGTTCCTGCTTTTCTTGTTGCCACTCTCTTAGCTATTGAAAACAAAAGAGATAATTGTGTGGCTTATACAGCAGTATGAATACATTGGACAGTAAAGAAACTATTGTTGGAGATTTTTTTTCTAAACCAATTATTCTGTCATTCTTATCAAGTAAAAAGTTAGAGAAAACTTTGATTTTGCATTAGGGTCTAAGTAAGTCTCAGTATGATAATGTGTAAATATATCTAAATAAATATATTGTTCAGTACAAACCTGTTCAAGTTTTTCCATGAGGGGATGATTGCAGATTAACTCATCAGAACTCTCAGGTTCATTAACTTGCTCCACTGCCTCATTACTGTATAGTAAACCACCTTTAACTGAAAGAAAGTGCTGGATCCCATCTGACTGAAGATCTAAAGTTGTAGCGTCATTTATGTCAAAATCAGATGGTTCCTCACCATTCAGTCCATGTACATCCAGCAGAGGTTCATATTGAAGAGAGTCTATGCTGATACAGCTACTGTTGGTTGAAGCATGAAGTGGCGAAAACAGAGGATTGAATGAATTAATTTCATCTTTGAGTCCGTGAGAGGGAGATGTGCTTGTATCGTTAAAACTGAAAGGTTCATTTAATATCACTCCTGCACGAGCAACGTTTGTTGTCCACTGATTCATGAAGTTTTGTGCCTGGTTGTTAAGAAGTGAGGACATTTTAAGATTCTCCATCCAGCTGCCTCAGTTGTGAAAACACTAAAACTTCTTGCTGGGCAATCTTAACCATTTGGACATCAAACTTCTCTCATCTTTAAAAATCAAAACACAAGTTATTTCTCTCAAAATATAGAATTTAAGAAAAGTAGATCTGAAGGAAAGACATTTTACATTTAAACATTTTTGTAAGCAACAGACAGTGGATAAGCAACGCTGTGTGCAAACATTGATGAGTAAAGAAGTTACAGAATAATTATCACAATTTGTGATTTTTGTGTGTTCTATAAATGTCATACATTTTTATGGATAATTTAGGAAAACAGAGTGTGCATATTAATATTACCCTTCTATACAAAACAATTTCACTCCAACTATATTTGTTAAAAAATGTTCTGTCAGTCAATTTTGAAATATCTAATGGAATAATAAAAAACACACAATCCACTAAGTAGGAATGTCTAAGAACAATGTACTATTTCTGCTGGTGGCCTTTCGCTTCAATTTCAAATCATGGTGTTTTTTCATATAACCTCAGCAAGCAAAATATATCCTGTGTACTTCAACATAATGTGCCGTTGCCATGTTTCCACACCACCATATCTGCCAATTTGTTTAAACTACACATACTGTAAAAAGAACATACACACATCGGCATTTTTTAACCTATTTTTCTGAAGCAATATCAAAAGAAACAAGAGAACTTTGCCAGATTTCCCCACTTCTAACCTGATTTTAACAAATTAAAAGCTTTTGATCCTGGTAGAAGTTCTCTTTACACAATGCTGTGCATTGGAAGACACCAACACTTAAGAGAATTAGACACCCATATTTCTACATCACAATGCTTAGGGATGGGCAGAATAAATATTATTTATATCGTAAAATATTAGTGACAACTTAAACATTAACCATAAATACTCTTGTGAGCTTCATGTCATCAGAAATCATTGATATCAAAGCCACTTGGTCTTGAAATACAAACAGTAAATCTAGAGCAGGTTAATCAACTAAAACAAGTGCAAAATAAGTTAACAGTTTGGATCAGATTAAAAGGTAACCATCCAAAACATTAACAAACTTTTCTCTTTCAATTCTAGTATATACTGGCGGTGATTTCCCTGTGAGAAACGAGATGTTAAAGTGAGGTCCCAACTGCCTGTTCAGGTGGACATTACAGATCCCATGGCACTATTCGAAAAGAGAAGGGAGTTTCTCCTAAACAACAATCCCCTGAATAAAATTGGTTGCTCAATCCATGGCTATGACATTGCTGTGCGCAATGTTGGCACACAAAGTACAGGCAATTCGTCTGTCTGACATCGAGTCCTGGACGAGAGACAGCTTTCTTCAGCTCAACGTGCGCAAAACTGAGGCCCTCCTGATTGGCTCACGTCAGCGCCTCCGCACCTCAGGCGCTGACAGCATCAGCATCCAAGGCTGCACTCTCCACCTCTCAAAGCCGTCAGGAACCTCGGGGTTCTGTTCGACCCTGAACTGTCCTTTCTCCCTCATATCCGCACCACAACTGGCACCGCCTTCCATCACCTCCGGAATATCACCAGACTACGGCACTACCTCACCCCTCACGCTGCTGAAACTCTGGTTCACGCCTTTATCACCTCAAGGCTGGACTATGCGAACTCCCCATCCCCCAGAGGATCGAATTCAAGATCCTCATCCTCACCTACAAGACCATTCACGGCCTTGCTCCCTCCTACCTCTCTGACCTACTATCCCCCTACCTACCTGCCCGTACCCTCCGTTCCTCTGGCTCCGGTCTGCTCCACATCCCCCGCCCCAACCTCCCTACCATCGGTGGCCGGGCCTTCAGCCTCTCAGCCCCGAGGCTCTGGAACTCCATCCCCAGTGCCTTCGCCGCCTCCTCCCTTTCCTCCTTCAAGGCCGGTCTCAAGACCTTTCTCTTTGACCGAGCCTTCAGCTCCCCTCTCGACTCTCTACCCCCTCCTCGCTCCCTCCCTTCCCTCCCCTCACCCTGACCATTTCCCCCCTCCTCGCTCCCTCCCTTCCCTCCCCTCCCCCTGACCATTTCCCAACGTGAAAGGCGCTCTATAAATGAAATCTTGCTGTTGTTGTCTATCCTGTGAAGCCCTTTGAGACGTCAAGAATGGTAAATGTGTTCGCTCGGAGGCCGCCAGCTCTGAGGGGCTCGTCAGGACATGGATACCCACAACGGTAGCACAAACAGAGGCGATGCGGATCAATTCACATCCCACTCGGAAATTATCCCTTAAAAATTTAGGGCGGGCAGAGAGCTGCCTGGGGCCGTCATACCTTTGAAGAGGCGCAGTTTAACAACGACAACAACTTACTTTTTTTGTGTGGTGGGGGGGGGGCGGGGAGGGCGCTTTCACGTCGGGGAGGACGTTCCGCTCTCTGCGGTGATGTGTGGGTTAGTGGAGCTCAGCCTCAGCCTCGGGTCACACCGCCAGGCCGCTGTGCAGTGCCTTTCCAGCACTCCCGGCCCCCGGCTCCCGGCTCGGGCCCCCCGGCCTGAGCGGCACAGCTGCTCACTCCTCACAGCTGCTTTTGCTGAGGGTCAGCCCTGGAACCGCGCCGGTTTCTCGCGGCTTCTCCCCTCACAGCAAAGCCCGGAGGGTTCGGCGAAAGCGGCACAAAGAAGCGCTCGGGGACGCCTGAGGGGCGCGGTGTAAATACAAGTTGTGGTGGTTGTTGTTGTTGTTGTTGCTGACAGGGACAAGGAGACCGCGCAGAGCAAACGCCCGGACCACTCGAGCAGCAACTCATCCCCTACAGTATTCTGAGGTACCTGTGACTTCGCTGTGACTGTTGTTGTGGTGGTTGCAGCAGCCGCACTGCCCTGACCTGACCGCCGCCGTCAGTTAAACTGCAGTTTCCAACGGTTCAGAACTTCGATCAAATCTACCGCCATTTTGAAACTTTCAACCGCCGCACTCAGTCCGCATGCGCCGGGGGAGGGAGGGAGGGAGAGGGGGGGGATGTGGCGCGAGGCACCCTGGGAATTGCAGTCCTCTTTCACCTGGAAACTACATCCCCCGCCATCCCCCTGGTGCGCCGCCTCCCACCCCACGGCCGCGAGCGCCCAACTGCCGCGACGCAAGACGTAACGTCGCGTCGTGTTGTGCAGCTCCTCAAGGCGGGAAGGAGGCGCCGGAATGAAGGAAAGAAAGATTTAAACGTTAGGCCTTTAAACGTCTTTTCTCCGTCGTCCCCGTGTAAATGTGGAGTCGAACAAAGTAACAGGTTGCGGAGATACAAAGTGGGGGGGGGAGAGGAAAAATGTCGGTTTACTTCAGTTGGCAGCGTTTTTTTCTTGGGGAGGGGGGTCAGAAGGTTTGGGGTTTAAGCCAACAACGACGACGACAACAACTTTATATAGCATTTACGTAGCGCGCGTCACGCGGGGTCGTGTCCCGGAGCGCTTGGCCGTGGTGCCGGAGTCTGACCCCGAGCCGGGGGCAAGGCGGAGGGATTGAGGGAGAGGGTCCCAGAGTTCCGGGGCGTAGTGACTCAATTCAGACTTGAGGTAACACGGGGCTGACACGACCTCGGATACGCCGGGCTTACAGATGTGACAGAGTCATCCTTGTGTTTGATTTTGCACCTAATCGTGTCGCCAAGCGGTCTCGAAGCGTTCACAAGGTTTACTGTAAAGTGTGGTGACTTTTGTAGGTGAACGGGGCAGCCAACTTACTTACCCACAGTAACGTCCCATAAACAACCGTCAATTTACCTGGGCGTTGTTGGCCATAACCACCGGGAGAAACTCCTTTCTTTTTCGGGATGTTGCAATGGAAACTTTAATGTCATCTCTAAAGTGATGTTAAAGCTGAGGTCTTGTCCACAACACTTTTTTTAAATCTTTACCCAGAAGCGAATTAATGGCACAAGCGGGTTGCTAGGAAAGATAGACGAGGACAGGACACTGGCCTTGTTATTTTAAAAAAAGCTTGTTACTGTTATGGGAAGGACATTGGCTGGATATTTTGGCAGGATGAGATCAAATAATAATAATAATCCTTGCATTTGATTATCATGCTTCTCAGAATACGCTGTGAAATGAATTGACTGTACATTTTGTGGATGAAACGCAGCAACCAATTGTGCACCTCCACCTCCCTCGGCGTTTTGTTCGACCCTGAGCTGTCCTTTCTCCCTCACATCCGCACCACAACTGGCACCGCCTTCCATCACCTCCGGAACATCGCCAGACTACGGCACTACCTCACCCCTCACGCCGCTGAAACTCTGGTTCACGCCTTTGTCACCTCAAGGCTGGACTACGGGAACTCTCTCCTCGCCGGCCTTCCCGCCACCTCCCTCCACAAGCTGCAGGTCATTCAGAACTCTGCAGCTCGTGTACTGTCCCGCACCAGGCTTCGGGACCACAGTACTCCCACCCTCGCTCGCCTCCACTGGCTCCCCATCCCCCAGAGGATTGATTTCAAGATCCTCATCCTCACCTACAAGGCCATTCACGGCCTTGCTCCCTCCTACCTCTCCAACCTACTATCCCCCTACCTACCTGCCGTACCCTCCGTTCCTCTGGCTCCGGTCTGCTCCACATCCCCCGCCCCAACCGCCCTACCATCGGTGGTCGGGCCTTCAGCCTCTCAGCCCCGAGGCTCTGGAACTCCATCCCCCAGTGCCTTTGCATTGCTTCCTCCCTTTCCTCCTTCAAGGCCGGTCTCAAAACCTTTCTCTTTGACCGTGCCTTCAGCTCCCCTCTCGACTCTCTTCCCCCTCCTCGCTCCCTCCCTTCCCTCCCCTCACCCTGACCATTTCCCCCTCCTCTCTCCCTCCCTTCCCTCACCCTGACCATTTCCCCCCTGCTCGGGTCATGACCCAACTGTGCAGCGCCTTGGGACGTCCTCCTGACGTGAAAGGCGCTTTATAAATGGAATCTTGTTGTTGTTGTTGTGCACAGCAATGTCCCACAAACACTGGATTGATTGACCAATTTTTTTTTAAAAAAGGGATTTATTATCCCCGGAAAAGCAATCCACCAATCGACTAACAACCGGGTTCCTACTTACTGCTAAGTAAACAGGCGTGTGGAGTAAGGAAACTTTGGCCCTGCCCAGGAATCAAACCCAGGTCCTCCCGCTTACGAGGAGAGTTCTCCAACCACTAAGCTAATGGATCAAAGAGCCCTGTAAAGTGGACTGGCTATTTTGTGGGCAAAATGTGGCAGCTGGTCCCACAGCAATGTCTCACAAACAACCATGGAGTGAGTGATCAGTTTTATTTTGGGGATTGTTGGCCAGGACACCAGGAGAAACCCCCTTTTTTTTCGAATATTGCCATGGGATCTTTAACATCCACCTGAGCAGGCAGATGGGAGCTTGGCTTAATGTCTCAATCCGAAGGATGGTATATTCCTTGTTATATAACATTCAACCCTTTTTCACATGTTCTGATATTGTAAGGTGAAGCAGCTTGTTCTGGATGCTGCCAAGTATGTCATCAAGATATTAAAAGTTAACCAGGTCACAAAGATCTTCCAGTTGTTTCAAGGCCTGAAGAGATTCCTCAGAATTCCAATGGAATTCATTTATAACCTGGATTTTAATACAAAATTTTGTAATTTTAATACACAGAACAAAAATAGAAAAATAATACTAATAAACCTTGCATTTGATAATAGTGATTCATGTAAGTGTTAATTTATATTCGTGACCCTGCGGTCATGTAAGGACTGACACAAATGTTGTCTGATTAATCACCGCGTAGCCTCACCCCTCGTCCAATCGACTGTGGCTGCGCGGTGAGTGACAGCGAGAGGGGCGGGGCCAGCCTTTCAGTGCGGACACAGGAACTATCCACTGACCGCCCAGACCCCGGAAGTAGTGCGGATGAGGCGGCCGACGTTGTGGCAGCGCAGGGCTGAGCGGTGTCGTGTGTCTGACTGATTTCACTCGCCATCGCTCCGGACTTTCAGCTGTTGAGGGCGAGAGGAATTCAACCCCAGGAGCTCCGGAGAGGTTTGTTGTTGTTGTTTGGTGGTGGTGGTGTTGTTGTTGTTGTTTGGTGTTGTTGTTGTTGTACCGCTCCCCGTGTTGTGTGGTGACCGTTAGCTGTGGAGCAACTGGAGAGGTAATTAGTATTACCAGTAGAAAAGTTCATTTTGCAATAAAGTAGTAACTATTATCGGGAGAGGGGTAACTATAACTAGTTGGAGAAGTCATCCCCCACCCCCACAAATCCCTTTTTTTTTAGGTCAGGCTGGTGTCTGACACTTGTGGAAACCCACCGCCGCGCTTACAGCAATCACAAACGGTCTCCACAGAGTCAGTTATACAGCACAGAAGGAGGCCATTCGGCCCATCGTGTCTGATCCGGCTCTTTGAAAAGAGCCATCCAATTCCATCCCACTCCCCCGCGCGCTCTCCCCAAAGCCCTGCAAACGTGTCCTCCCCAAATAATTACCTTTGTCGAGAAGTAATACAAGGAAATCAAACTTGTAGAGATTATGAGGAGACAACAAAAGAGACTCCATGAGTGTGATAGAACCTGCCAAGGGCCTGGGAGCTATAAGAGATTTAAGAGGGTTAGTTGACTTGCCGCTCGCTGTCAAAACATTGTGAGGCAGCAATAAACAAAGCAACGATCAGATAAATGCGTCAGAAAGCTTTTTGAGTTGGGGTGGATTCCTCACTCCCTCACTCACCATGTTATCAGGTGACACTACTCTCTCTCCCCCCTGCCCCCGACTGCCATACACGATGATGTTGATGTTATGCCCTGGGAGGGAGTGTTCGGGTGTGAATGTGCGGGGCTCTGCTTGCAGGCGCTTGTCGTGGAGCTTGGTATTTTATAACCAATGCTTCAGTGACTAGATTCGGGACTTTCGAGTTGGGAGGATAAAACCAGTAACCCGTTTATATTAATATAAAATACGCACTTCTCAGACAACAACAACATCCTAAAGGATGTTGAGACAGTGACATAGTTCCTGATACCTAAGGGATGTAAAAGACCGAAACAATACAACAAACAACAAAAAAAATTACATTTGTATAGCGCCTTTCAGTCAGGAGGACGTCCCACGGTGCTGGACAATCAGTGTTTGTGACCCGAGCTGGGGGTCGGAATTGGGGAGGGTGACCGAAGGCATGGTTGAAGAGAAGGGTCTTGAAGGAGGCAAGGTAGGGGGTGAGGCGGAGGGACGGTGGGATGGAGTTCAAGGGTGGGGGCAGAGTGGCTGAAGGCCCGCCTGCCAATCATGGTGCGGGCAAGGCTGGGGATGTGAAGTAGACCGGAGCCCGCTGAGTGGACTGGGCGCGCAGGTTGGTAGGCGTTTAGGAGGTTGCAGAGGTAGTGGGGAGCAAGGCCATGGGGGGGCTTTGAAAGTGAGGATCAGGGTCTTAACCTGTATCCTCTGTGTGATGGGAAGCCAGTGGAGTCGGGCGAGGATTGGTGTGATAGGGTCACAGAGCCTGGAGTGGGAGAGGACACGGGCTTCCCGAGTTCTCGATGATCTGCAGCCTATGGAGGGAGCTGTTGAGGAAGCAGGGAGCTTGTGTAATCGAGCCTGGACATTTTGAATGTGTGTATGAGGGTCTTGGCGGCCTGCGGTTTGAGACAGTGGAGGAGCCGGGCAATGTTGCGGAGATGGGGAAAAGCGGAGCGGGTCATGGCACAGATGTGAGGTATGAAGGACAGTTCACCCTTTGGGCACTGTCCCCTCTTGCCCTTCTGACCCCATCTCCCAGCTCGGGTTCAAAACCCCTGATTGTCCAGCACCCTGGGGACATCTTTCCAATGTGAAGGGTGCTATACAAGTGTAATTTGTTGTTGTTGAGTGTTGAACAGGACGCCAAGGTTGGCTCTATTGGCTCCATGAGATGTAGAGTGCATCCATGGCGGGAGATGCTGTTAGCGTCTGAGATATAGGCTCTGACAGGAGCCAATCAGGAGAGCCTCGGTCTTGTTGACAGTTGACTGCAGGAAGTGAGGAGAAGGATGGGGTCGAGGGAGCAGGTAGTGGGCTTCATTTTTGAGATGATGGAGGTGAAGGAAGAGTGGAAAACAGGGCCGAAGGTGTATAGGAAGGGATGGGTGAGGGCCAGGGCATGAGGAGGGGTGGCGAGGGTGTAGCAGTGGACGAGGGAGAGGTAGCTGAACAAATCATCTCGATTTTGGATTTGAGGAAGTCCAACATCTCCTCGCAGTTGGAATTGGAGGAGAGGATGGGCGAGGCAGGGGAAGGTGGACCATGTAAACATGAAGGTAACATTCTAACAAACATTCAGTTTCCATTCAAACGAGTATTCAATTGAGTTTGTGGTTCCCTGGTCACGATGTCACCACCGTCACAGTGGGAAATAAAGTTTGGGCGGATGTAAGTGGTTTGAAACATCTAAATGACGTGAAAAGAGCTAGGTAAAATGCAAGGATTATTATATCATTATATGTACGAGTTAGGTGATTGTAAGATTTATACAGATCAGACTTGTGCAAGTTTTACATTAGTGCCATGGAAAGAAAATATTGCGATGACCCATAAGTGAACTTTGACGTTTTATTATGATCTTTACTGGCTCTAGTTACAAATAGTGTTTTCACATTGTTTCTTCTCTCTTTGTAACCATTAAGCAATAGTGTTTACAAAGATTCGTATTGCAGTGAAAAAAGAAATACTCCACTTCAGTGAAATAATACCACAGAGCACTTATGTTAGATGTCGGCTTGGCCCAGCGGTAGCACTCTTGTCTCTGAGTCAGAAGGTTGTGGTTTCACGATCCATGGTTAGAACTTTGAACTGATATATTGTAGGGTGGGCGTTGCTTTGTTGGAGTTACTGCTTTAAGGTGACACATTGAACCAAGGTCTTGTCAGTTCAGTTAAATGTTAAAGATCCCACAGCACTATTTGAAAAAGGAAGAAAATTTCTCTCGGTGTCCTGGCCAACAAACCTCAAATAAAATTGGTCACTCACTTCATATTTGATTGATATAACAAATATAGCAAATTAAATTCCCTACGAAATAAACACTGCGTCTGGAATCGAATGCTTACTTCTTCCTGGAGGGACACATCCTGGTTACCTAATTTCTGAGGAGTATTAGCAAGAATCAATTATGAGGGTTTCTAAAGGGTGTGTTGTGGTACTGTTGGAGTTTAACCAACTAAGCAGTAGAGGTAGATAATGCCACCAGTTTTTGATCAGCTTCTATATCTGTTAAGGCTTGGCTTGCAAGGTTAAAATGAGTTGAATCTTGCTGGTCTGTCATCAGCAGTGTCTTGGAGCAGTGCAGACTCGCTTGTCTCAGGAATCCCAGATGTTCTAGACGGCCAAAGAAATTTCCGAGAAGACCCTGCTTACCTTCTCTCTCTCTCCCAATCACACACACACACGTGGTAGTCAGCTGTGTTTCTTAAATGAGATCAGGACACAGTCTGTTCTAGTGTTGCTCACATGATTTTGGGTGTAATACCAATTGCATTTTACATGTTTAGCATTTACCTTTGACTGTACCTCACATTACAATGCTGCAAACTATGTGAATAATGTCCTCCGGATCAGATGTTAAACTGTGATCCCGTCTACACTATTCAGAAAGAGAAGGTAGTCTTTCCCAGTGTCCTGGCCAACAAATCCCCCAAATCCCACTTCAGGCTGTTTATGGGACATTGTTGTGAGCAAACTGGCTGCCGCTTTTCGCCCACAAAACACACAGTCAAAAGCACCTTACAGTATGTCCTATGAAGCGCTTTGAGACGTCTCGACAATGTGATATCAAAGAATCATAGAATCGTACAGCACAAAAAGAAGCCATTCGGCCCATTGAGTTTGTGCTGGCTTGTGCAAATGCAAGAATTAAAAAAATGTTATTAAGTACAGTACTTTGCTTCTGTGCTGTCTTATTATTCACTGTTGGAGACAGTCATTGCATCGGCAGCAATGTTATTGTTTGTACAGCCCCATCTTATTGTGAAAAAGTACTGGCACTTTTTTTACTCAAAATCTAATAATAATCCTTGCATTTGATATTGCGCCTTATCACATCGTTGAGACATCTTAAAGAGTTTCAGAATATACTGTAAAGTAAATTGACTGTATACTTTGTGGGGGGAAATATGGCAGCAAATTGCGCATAGCAGTGTCCCACAAACAGTCGTGGATTGAGTGAGCAAATTATTATTATTATTACTTATTTTTGGAAGAGATTATTACCCTTGGAAAACAATACACCAATCGACTAACAACCGGGTTCCTACTTACTGCTAGGCAAACAGGTGTGTGGAGAAAGGAAATTTACCTAAGGTTTCTCCCTGCCCGGAAATCGAACCTGGGCAGGGCGAAATTTGGGTAATGCTATAATTTTGCCACCATTTACCGCCCATGGGTAGTTGCCTTGAGAAGGTGGTCCTGGGGCTTCTCTTTAATTCGCTGCAGTCTTTGTGGCAAAAGTGATCCCACAATAATGTTCAGTAGAGAAATCTAGGATTTTGACCCAGCAAGGATGAAGGAGCTGGCAATACATGTCCAAGTCAGGTTGTTGTGTGACTTGGACAGAAACTTGGAGATGGCAGTGTGCTCATGATTTAACCCTCAGCTCTTTGGTTTTGCAGCGGAGAGGAACCATGGGTGTATTTTCAGAGTGTGTGGTGGTTCTGGATGTGAAGCAGTTGCCTATAAAAGAGAAGAACAAGCTGAAGACTGCCATTAAAACAAATGATGGAATAATCTCCTACCTGGTCAATCAGCAGGTATGCCATCAGTCACCAATCATATTTAAATGGAGCTGATTTCTCTGATAATTTAACTTCTTTTTGTATTTGTAAGAGGGGATTATTTTGTCTTAAACAGTAGTTTTAGAATTTATTACAAACTGATATTTCACGATTATTTATTCACAACCATAATTCATAAGTGTAAGACGCAGATTGGAAAGAACTTGCCTTTTCATAGCACTTTATCATGTGAACTACTTGCATAATGGGACTTTTACTTTTACAGTGCACTCATTTTGTTGCTTCTGATATCAATGCTGTGAGCTCCAGCCGACTTAAAGCCATCCAGAAGTATAAGATCCCACTTGTCAATGCGACTTACATCACCAGTTGTATTGAGGCAGATCAGCTTTTGGACACCAACTGCTATAAGCTATGTGAACCTACTGCTGAAACGAGCAGCAATCTAACACCGATGAACAAGCATGATGCCAATGGTGGGTGTGAAAATCATGGCGTTATCTCTGCCGCATTAATTAGTTGAGAATAGTTGAGATTTAAAAATAGTAACAAGCTGAGCATTTTCATGTCATTCATTGTATTTTATTCATTTTGGACTCTCCAAGACTCTCCCAAGTGACAAAATTCTTTACTATTTTTGAACTGTTCCAATAAAAAAAATAGCCCAAGAATTGTTGTCTAAGGATCAGCAGAGGGTAGACCCTGGATCCGATCAATAGAAAACATTTCTTGGATCAGGGAGAGTGTGGATTTTACCTCTCCTTGAGGATCAACCAAATATTCTGCAAAGGAAATAGGTTACGAGCCCCTCTGGGACTACAATTTGCGATAATATTCATGTTGTGTTAAGGAATGTCTAAATGAAACCCTGGTAGGGGGTGCTGCCACCTAGTGGTCTTTAGGCCGGCCAGCAAAAATTTAGATAGTAACAAGGCTTATAAAATTGCAAACTTCGATCTATTGAGTGCAATTAAGCATAACTTTGAAGCTGACTAGAGAAATAACATAGGACCAGGGTCTTTTTGTACTTCTGTTTGCATGTTTCTCATTCTCAGACACTACAACATCTTGTGCGGTGTTCCTCAGGGCTCTGTCCTTGTTCCCCTCCCCTTCACCCTCTACATGCTCCCCCTTGGTGACATCATCCGCAGACATGGGGTTAACTTTCACATGTATGCGGATGACACCCAACTCTATCTCTCTGCCTCCACCCTCAACGCCAGGACTACTGGTGTCCTGACCGACTGCCTGTCCGACATCAAGTCCTGGATAAGGGACGACTTCCTCCAACTTAACGTCAGCAAGACTGAGGCCCTCCTGATTGGCTCTCGCCAGCGCTTCCACACCTCGGGCGCTGGCAGCATCAGTATCCACGGCTGCACATTCAACCTCAATAAACCTGTCAGGAACCTGGGTGTCTTGTTTGACCCTGAACTGTCCTTTCTCCTCCACATCTGCTCCATGACCATCACTGCCTACCACCACCTCAGCAACATTGCCAGACTCCGCCACTGCCTTACCCCTCAGGCTGCCGAAACCCTTACCCACGCATTCGTCACATCAAGGCTATATTATGAAATTCCCTCCTCATCGACCTTCCCAACTCTTCCCTTCACAAGCTGCAGATCATCCAAAACTCTGCAGCTCATGTACTGTCGCGCACCAGGCTCCGTGACCCCATCGCTCCCACCCTCATCCGACTCCACTGGCTCTCCATCCCTCAGAAGATCGAATTCAAGATCCGCGTCCTCATTTTCAAGGGCATCCACGGCCTTGCCCCCTCCTACCTCTCTGACCTGCTGACTCCTTATCAACCTGCCCACTCCCTCCGTTCAGCGGGCTCCGACCTGCTCCATGTCTCCTGCCCGACCCGCACTACCATTGGTGGCCGGGCTTTCAGCTTCTCTGCCCCCACACTTTGGAACTCCATCCCACAGTCCCTTCACCTCGCTTCCTCCCTTGCCTCCTTCAAGGTTGGTCTCAAGACCATCCTCTTCAATCGTGACTTCGGTCACCCTCCCACCTCTCTGCCTTTCCTCACCCCTACCCCATCCCTCTCCATTGCTCGGGTCCTGATCCCTGACTGTCCAGCGCCTTAGGATGTCCTCCCGACGTGAAAGGCGCTCTATAAATGTAATCTTATTGTTGTTGTTCTATCCCTGTAAACCTGGTATGTGTCTGTAACTATCTGGGATGATTATTTTCAATTCATTCCTGAACGTACAGAGGATCAAATGATAAATGTTCCTGAAGACCTACAAACAGTACAGACAGAATGCCGACAAAACAACAACATCCCCCAAGATGGGATACAAGATGATTCAGAAAACTTCAGGTACCTTTGATAATATTTATTGTATTGTTTATACAATACAAATGTGATCAATATTATTTTTTGTGTTTTAAAAAATCTATTTCTCCTCCTGAAGGTTAAACTGCAAGTCAATGCTAGGTCATGGTTTTACAGGGACCTCCGTTACTTTGCCCAAGTGACCGTGCGTAAGTTGAAGGCTGCCACAAGCTATGGACATCTAAGTCTGATCCTGTTGACACTTAGCATTCACAAGCACGTGCATTTTCCAGCAAGGGTCACACGATAATCATTAGAAGTAGGAACCTTGGCAGATTTCCACAAATCTAGACAAGTTTGCAGGGCTATGGGGAGAGCACGGAGGAGTGGGATTGAATTGGATAGCTCTTTTCAAAGAGCCAGCGCAGGGCTTAATGGCCTCCCTCTGTGCTGTATAACTCTATCATTCTATGAAATAACCACTGGATGGTGCACAAGAGTAGCTCTCCCTCTGACTTGCCTTCTTATGCGTGAACCAGTCTCAAGACTGTGCTGCTAAATACTGGTAGCATTACACTGAATGCAAAACACTACGAAAATAAACATTCAATTATTCCTATAACTGCACTGGCCTGTTAATAAACAAATTCTCCTTTATTAAAGACATATTAAAACATTTTCTTTATTTCTCCACAGAATGTTCTCAACACATGACAACAATATTCCTTTTTTTGCGCAAGATTTTGAAGTGGCAAAATATTCAGTGCTGGACAAGGTTTGTGTTTCCTCAGTTCATTTTTTTCCCCCCCACTCTTGTTTTTCGGCTGACAGAAAACATTTGGAGCGAGCTGCCAAAACGTAAAGGGTAAAACCAGGGTTGGCGGGAATTAGAAACAGCTACATGATGGGGTGCTATATACAGGTGGAGCTATATACAGGTGCTCCTTGAGTTTTGTGATGCAGTTCCCATTCGTGTTTCATCCCCTCTCCCCAAATACATAAACCATTGCCCTGTGTCAACTTGACACATTTGGTAGCACTTTTGTCTCTGAGTCAGAAGGTTTGAGCCCCATCTTGGAACTTGGAATTCATACAGTCTAAGTTGGCACTCAGTGCTGGGGATCTGCTGGATTGTTGGAGGTGTCGTCCTTCAGATGAGATGTTAAACGGATCCTGTCTGCCTGCTTACATGGACATTAAAGATCCCGTGGCATTATTGAAAAAAAGGAGAGTTTCTCCTGGTGTCCTGGCTAACAATCCTTGGATAAAATTGGTCTTTCTCTTCAGGGCTGTTTGTGGGATACTGCTTTGCGCAAATTGACTGCCGCATTCACCTACAAAACATAGAGTCACTACATTTTGTAATATATCCTGTAAAGTGCTTTGAGATGTGCTAGTGGGAGGCGCTATATCAAATGCAAGGATTATTGTTATTATTAATATAGGTGTCGCTAAACCCACCTATTCACATTGTTTTAACATCATTCTGCATTTTCTATCAGGATGTTGAAGAATTGGTGGTAATTGAACTGCAAGTTTCACAGAAAAATGCTCCCCTTCCTTTTCGAATCTCTTCTCACTCTGGTCAGAGAGGCAGATTTCAGGTCAGTAACCAGAACCATTCTGTGAGCTCTGTGTGAAATTTTTTGACACGTGTCTTCACGCAAGTCAAAGAAAGTACAGTAGAACCCTACTGTACCACAAGTAAATGTATGGACCATGATATTTACTTATGAAAAATTCCACAATTCAAACAAATGAAATCCAGTTCGCTTTAAGATGTCATTTCGGATCAAGGAAACTCTGGCCCATTTGATATCATGCATCCATGATACCGATCAGCCCAATACAGCATCATAATGTTGATATTTAGAAAACAAAACTTTACAAAAATCATTTGATTAAAAAAATTAGTTTTATAGTTCAACCAACCAAAGACTATATGTCATGCCAAGAACTTTGATTTAGTTGGCAAGGGCATGACAAGATACTTGTTTGCCTACTACCCAGAAATCCAACTTATGAGAAATCCAAATGATCTGATCTGAGGGCTGGTGTGAGGGCAGGAGAAGTATTTTTAGTACATGTGGTGCCTCTGGAAGCTGATTCAGGAGTGACAATGACATCAGCTCTGGTATAGTTTGTTCCCGGGCATTACCGCTCTCTATTTGTGATGCTGAGTGGAATGAGCTCCACTCGTGGGGAGAAAATGGGGCAGAGGAATGAGTGCATCTTTTTGGAGAGGTATGTAACAAATCCATTGACTGTATAGAAGCTTGTGTTTCCATGAAATGTACCGTACCTAATGATGACCGTTCTGCCTTCTGATATCTTTTCAAAACCTATTTTTGTACAAACACTATTATCTAATGCAAGTGAAGCTTTTTATCATGTAAAATGTACCAGTAAGATACAGTGCTTTTTGTTTTGTGGGATTTTAAAAATATATACACACTATGTATTAAATATATATAATATTCTTATAATAACAATTAGTACCATAATATATATTTGATTGTTCTGTGTTTTGACCTCCAGATTAATTATTATTTGGATTATTATACATATGAAGAAAATGTTTCTTTCTTTAAAATAAATAACATTTGTTTTTATGTCTAGACCCAGCAGCAGCAGTTTGTCTTCACTTCGACTGCTGAGGCAGCTGAAAAAGCCTATGAATGGTGTATAAAGAAACAAGTGGAGCAGAATTTCACAGTACAGCCCAACTGGCTGCCCACTGCACAGCCTTTAGCATCTGAGAAACTGCAACAGGTCAGACCAGTGTTTACAGCCTTAAAACATTCTCTTAATTATTGCCACATGCAAACCAGAGGCCTGAAATTCTTCAAATTCTTCCAAATTGACGTGAAGCAGGCCAGAGTGGATGGAGTAACCGGGGTTGGTAGGGTTTGAGGAGATCACAGAGGTAGGATGGGGCAAGACCATGGAGGGATTTAGAGATTAGCATCAGTGCTGCAGACAGTTCAGAATTCTGTAGCCTGTGTCCTTTCCTGCACTAGGCTCTTTGAGCCTATCACCTCTATCCTTGCTCAGCTTCACCGGCTCCCCATCCTCCAGTGGATCGAGTTCCAGATCCTCATTCTTGCATTCAAATTTCTCTATGGTCTCATCCCATCCTATTTCGAGAACCTCCTTCAGCCACACCAACCCAGTTACTGCCTTTGCTCAGCAGATACTGGCCTGTTATATCCGCCCTACCCACCCGCCATCAGAGGACAGGCTTTCAGCCGTTCTGCCCAACTCTCTGGAACTCCATCCCGAGTCCCTCCGACTCGCTTCCTCCCTCCCTTTGTTGAAGGCACGTCTCAAAACGTATCTCTTTAACCACATTTATAGTCATCTTTCCCCTCCCAACCTCAGCTCCACCCCCAGCTTGCAGTTCATTCCAGCGTTGCTAAGCACATTGAGACGTCCTCCTGACCTGAAATGCGCTTTGTGAATTGTACTGTATTTATAAACTGCAACTAAAATTCTGATCTTTGCAATGGTTATTTAAAAAAATTAATTGACATACTGATTCTTTTTCTTATTTTGGTCAGCCAAAAAATGATTCAGAGGCAGTGTGTACCCATATGATGAGGTAGTCTTGCACCAGCTGCACTGCAGTCTAACTGCAGCCGGTTGGAAGCAAAACATTGAAGCATTAGTAATTTTTTGCTGACTAGCTGCAGTTAAACTACTGCAAATAAAAGTTGATATCTTCTGATGTGACTACATGGGAACTGAAATATCTCCTCCTAAAACTGCAGTTACAAAGCAAAAGGCTGATTCAATGTCAGAATCACTTTGAATTATTGCAACTGGTGTAATAAATGGAGTATTATACTAAGCAGATTGGAACACCAGTGCACAGCATCACAGTGTTACCCACCAGGTAAAATACAGTACAGATGAACTTCTGCTTGTCCAAAAAAGATTTTAATTTCACCTTTATAATCAGACTAGATCGCTACTTTTAGTCATTAGAGCACGATAGACCCAGTGCATTTTTCCTGAAAAACACCAGAAGAGCAGTTGCTAAGAGTTTCGCCACTCCTCTGAGTGCTTGTACTCATTCTTGTTTTCTTTATAACAGCTCATCATCGAGGAAGCTCTGAATGTTGCCGACATTTCCGATGAAGTCAGTGTTTTTGTAGAAGCAATCTGGGCGGAGGCTCAGGGCTGCTTACAGGCCCAGCTGATCGACACAACCTCCATCACACTCAATGATGTAAGATGTTTTTTCCTTTTTTTCGCGTGTTGAATTGCTCATTGATTTTTGTAGGACAACGAGAGTATAGATGAATTTCAGGGTGTGGTTACATAACAACAGCAAATATATTTGAAATGAACTCTGGGCTGGAAAAATCCAACATTTGACATAATAATTATCACACCTGCTCCCAGTCACATCCAATTCTTGACTTCACTCAAATGGTTGGACCGAAAGCTACTTGCGACAGCATTGAGCTGGCTGGTGGTACCTTTGAAGCTGCTGATCACAGCATTTCAGTGCTGATCGACATTTACAGTTGAGTTAAACTAGTATTCTGCAAACCTGCACTAATGTGGCCAGTGGGCGGGAGGTTCAGTAGCAAGCGCACGTGGATTTAGGGCCAGCTATTCATACAGATTCAGGAAAATTGCTCAATGTGTTCGCTCGCATCGACTGGGACGTCTCCTCTGGTGGATAGTCTGCTGACCTAATACTTATCAATGTGACAATTATCACATCAATTTTTTTTGTGAAATGCTTTGGGGTCTTCTTCACATGATATGGGTCTATAGTTAAAGTGAGGATTATATAATAATAATTCAGCCCCTCAATCAACGACTGTTTGTGGGACACTGCTGTGCACAATTGGCTGCCGCATTTCACCGCACAAATACGCTTTGAGACGTCTTATCGACGCAATAAGGAGCTATATCAAATGCAAGGATTATTATTGTCTTATCCATATTATTCGTGTTTGACCTTTTCAGGTTACCAGGGCTGAGGGAGTGCTTCTGCAGCTGAAGAAAGCAATGGATGATAAAGCCACAACTGCCACTTTGACAGCTTTAATGTCCCAGTTCTATACCATCCTTCCATTCAAACCTGAGAGTGACACGACAATCACCAAGAAAAAAATAGCTCAAAAGCACGATCTCTGTCAGGTAATACTGCCATGCTGATGTTGATGGATCACTTCGTTCCTCAGCTGTTCTCTGTGTCTTGTACACTCACCGAATGTTTATTTTCTTGTCAAGTCAATTTGCAAAGGCAAAAATAGCTCAAATAAATAGAATGATGTAATAGCTTTAAGAAATATGAAAACTTTTGAATGAAAATGACAATGTGGCCTGACTTTAGAGTCCTGTCTTTGCTATTTCAGGTGATCAGAGATGTCTTGAATGCAAGTGAGGCCACTTCCTGGGCTCCCATGACTCCATCACTTGCTAAATTTCAAGCTCTGAGATGTCACATCGAGTGCGTTGATCAAAACAGTGATGAGTTCATGCGTATCAAAAAGCAACTATTGAACAGTAATCAAAGGTGATATTTTATTTTATAGATTTGGTTATAATTCAGTTACAGAGTGTGCTTTCCTCCTTAAGCCTTGTTGCAAACTCTTTTCAACCAACCAGCTCAATTCCACAGGTGACTCACCCATTCTCCCAATGGCTGACAAACTATCACAAGCTGTTGTTGTGCACTCTGGGTTTAGAATCTGAGATGTGGTTTCAAATCCAGTCCGTACAGTGGGCTGAATATCTCCTCTCTGTAGCTGTTACAGATTCTCTGTGAAATTAATCATTCTAAATCATTCCATTGAACGAAACAACTTTGAATCCAACACAATGGTTACTGATTCATAATCTTGCTCAGGGGAGACGTAAGGATAGACAATGGCATCTATTATGTCTGTTATTTATTATTATTATTATATTAATGTTTATTATGTAGTGTGTGTAGACCATATGTAAACCAACATCACAAAGAACTCGCTGGTGCCTTTATGTAATTAACAACTAATATAAAGGAAAAAAATAATCATAATACTTACATTTGATATAGCGCCTGTCACATCAGGAGAAAGTGCTTCACAGGATATACTGTATATATACGATTCCAGGACTGTTAATGTCCTGGCTAATTGTCTGGCTGACATCAAATCATGGATGAGAGCCAACTTCCTCCAGCTCAATGTTGGCAAGACAGAGGCCCTCCTGCTTGGCTCCTGGCAGCGTCTCCTCACCTCAGCCACTGACACTATCACCATTCATGGCTGCATTCTTCACCTCACCGAGCCAATCCGAAACCTTGGTATCCTTTTCAACCCTCAGCTATCCTTCAAAACCCCCATTCATGTCGTGACCCATTCCGCCTTTCCACACCTCTGCAACATTGCCCACCTCCACTACTGAAACTCACCGCAGACCAGCGAGAAGCTGATCATTCAACTTCTCTGCCCCCACACTCTGGAACTCTATCCCGCAATCCCTCCACCTCACCCCCTCTTTTGCCTCCTTCAAGTCCCGTCTGAAGACCTTCCTTTTCAACCGTGCATTCGGCCACCCTCCCACTCCCCGATTGTCCAGCCCCCCGGGATGTCTTTCTGACGTGAAGGGCGCTATACAAGTGTAATTTGTTGTTGTTAATTACATAATTAATTCCCAAGTGTTCAATGTTACAAAATGTTCAATGTTCGACACTCAATTACCATTCTTAACATTGATAAATGAATCTTACGCACCTCAATCTCATATCTAACCGTACATGATCACTTATTTATTCTACAAGGATTGATGGATATTAGTGTGATATTAATATACAAGATATTACAGTGTGCACCTATTATTGAAGATTACTGTTTAGACATGATCCATGCACAATTCTGAATTGAAATCACATGTTTACAGATTAATTTGTGTCTTTTAGTGGGTCTCCAGTCATGATTCAGCAGATATTTCATGTCGCTAGACTGAGTGAATCTAGACAATTTCAGAACCAGTTGGACAACATTAAGCCCCTGTACCATGCATCAGCCATGAGCAACTTTGTTGGGATTTTGTCTAGGTGAGTAAGAACAGTGTAAGTAACTTGTGTGTTTTACACAGTGCAGCTGTTTAGCTTATCTGAGTCACTGCAACTCATTCCCACAAGCAGAATAATGGAGTACAAACTGCAATATGTGATAATTATCATTGAAGAACACTTCTCTAAGGATTCCAAGCTCTGTGAGCCTATCACCTCCATCCTCGTCTGGTTCCATTGGCTCCCTGTCCCACACCAGATTGAGTTCAAGATCGTTCTCACCTTTAAATCCTTCCGTATTCGTGACCCATCGTACCTCTGTGACCTCATCAAACCCTACTAACCTGCCGTTCCCTTGGTTCAACAAGTACCGGCCTGCTTCGTGTCACTTGCCCTACTTGTCCCACCATCAGCAGGTGAGCTTTCAGTCTATCTGCCCCCACTCTCTGGTACTCTATCCCAGAGTCTGTCTGATTTGCACTCTTCCTTTCTCCTTCGTTCAGGATCCTTCTCAAGACATGTCTCTTTGGTCATCTTTCCCCGCCCCACTCACGTCATTTCCGACCCACAGCTCGGATGCCCAGCCAATACTATTACGCGGTTCGGGATGTCCACCCGACGTAAAAGGCGCTGCACAAATGTAAATTTGTATTGTGTTTGGGACTTAATCATTGGTGATAATTGTTGAATATTGCTGTCCCTCACCCCTACTTTGTTACAATAGTTTAGCACAAGAGCTCCAAGGGGAAAAAATACATACAAAAGAGCTTTGTGGATTGACATCCAGCACTGTACACCCTCACCCAAGATGTTATATAGTCATGGATGCTATGGTTCTGCTGTGATTTCATACAGGGGGCTGTTGCCACCAAACATAGTGGTGGAAAGTTACGGTGGGGAGCGAACAGATGTCGGCAATCTTGGAAGTGGAATTTACTTCAGTGATTCAATCAGGTCAGTCAGCTTTTCTTTAGGACGTTCTTATCAGTGGAACCGGGGTGTAGCTCACATGGTAGAATCTCACTAATACCTCGTAACTTGCTTCAGTCGTGCTATGAAAGTTTTATAGAAATGAATAGAGTCCATGCTCACCACCCCCTGAGTGTGGGCTCAGCCCCCTCAAATCTATCTGCAACTCACTTCTTTAAGGGGAGCTGGGAGGCAAAAATCCTGAGCCCTGAGGAGAATCACAGCCAGGTGTCTGGGCAGCCCCAACCCATGTCACCCACCCACCCTCTTGCCCCTTGTTAGGGGGGCCCGCCCACTGTCAGTCCGGCAGGCTGCTCGTCAAGGCTTCCTGACCTCTGATTGACCGATGGATCTGTCAGTTAAGCGTGTCTTACAAGGGACCAAACCTTTAACTGCGTTTTACTCAGCACGTTCCCCACCCCATTAGCCCCAAGAATATTTTCACCCGCTGAGTCTCTGCTCATCGTTCTGCTCATGAATCTGTGCTCAATAACATTCTGGGGCTCCATTCCCCACAGCCTCTCCTCCTCGTTCATTTCAATGCACGGTGAGGCCTTCTAATTAGTTATATATTTATTGGAACAGTTTGTGCCTCTATTCTCGTTTGTTGAGATATGTGATAACACCGTTCTTTGAAATTGTAGCACCAGCATTAAGTACTCGAAGCCCAGTACAACTGATGGGACTCGTCTCCTTGTCATCTGTGACGTTGCACTGGGGAAGTGTAAGCAGTACTACAAGAAGGACATAACTTTATCTGCCCCACCAGAGGGATATTCAAGTGTACATGGAGTCCACAAAACTGCAGACACCATCTCGGAATTTGATGTATGTCAGATGTGCAGAATTTTTTTTTTAACAATACAACACAAATTTACATCTATATAACGCTTTTCACGTCAGGAAGACAGTCCTAGCCTGGCACCTAAGTGAGGGTGGAAAATGGGGAAAGTATTGGGGCAAAAGAGAAAAAAAGTAGAATATGTTCACACTCACTTGCTTCCTGCACTCACCTACCGCCAACCCTTCCTCCCCACAAAAAAAAGTAATGCAAACACTTAATTGGGTAAAAAATGCAATTTTGCCAAAGAGATTTTAATGTGAAAATGAAAGCGCATCAGAAACAGTTGAATATCAGTTGATAATTAGTGACTTGTGTCAGATCTGAAACCTCCGATCCCCTCTCCTATCTCCTGACTTTGGCACTTTTTAATAATCCTGATATAACCCCTTTCACATCAGGGGGACATCTCAAAGTGCTTCACAGGATTTACTGTGCAGTGTAACGACTGTATTTTGCAGGTATATTTTGTATTGTGTATCTTGAATGCTTTCTCAGCAATAGCTGGCTGCCACATTTGTCTAGAAATATGCAGTCACTACACTTCACATTAAAATACTGTAAAGAGGTTTGAGACGTGGTAAGGCGCTATATCAAATGAAAGGATTATTATATGAATACTTCCAATGACTTTGGAGCCAACTTTGCAGGATACCTGTTAAGTTAGTAGTAGACATAAGAACAGAAAGGCTATTCAGCCAACACGCCAGTCTGTGCTGCCAATATTCTATGTTTAGCTGCACACGATCCATTTTGTGCATTTGAGAACACAAAAATCTTCAGCAGTTTTGCTGGTGCTGTTGTGAAATTTTGCATCGCTGCAAATTTTTGCTGCATATTAACTGTAAAAGATTTTTCTTTGTCTGTCATTTACAACTATTTCTTCTATTTCCTGGCAGGATGATGAGTTTGTGGTGTACAGCACTGACCAGGTTAAGATGAAGTACGTCGTTCAGTTCTGTGCTGGTGGAGAACAGCTCAAACCGTTCTCTCCTCCGGCTGTAATTACTGAAAATAAGTCCCCTCCTACATTCACATCCCCAATCCCATCCACAGGTACGGATTAGAATGATCTCATCATACGTTTAATTTGTCAACTGGTTTAACTATCAAAATTGTAGCCTCTAACAAAGGTGTTAGGAGATTTCAATTTATTTCAAGTTAATTAATGCAGTGAATGTTAATGACTAATCTTGCATCAGCTGGCGCAGTAATTGCACCAAGTCTCTGAGTCAGACCTCACAGCTGAGCTAACACTCCAACGCAGTGTTCTGGCCAACAAATCTTCCAAATAAAATTGGTCACTCACGCCATGGCTGTTTGTTGGACGTTGCTTTGTGCAATTGGCTGCCATATTTCACCCACAAAATACACAGTTGATCCTCTTTACAGTATTCAATAACGTAATAAGGGGCTACATCATATGCAAGGATTATTATTATTATCCTTGCAGTTAAACTTTTTCTTTCAATGTGCCTATTTTTGTTTACTCTTCGCTGGCATAACGCGGGCTTTGGGATCATGTGGGATCATTGGCAGTGAGTACCAAGGAGCGCCAGAAACCACTGCCACTGAATCACAGAGGGCACCTGGGTGTTGTACACTTGCACGACCAGCAGAGGGTACTGTAGAGCAGAAATACATAGGAACAAGAGGAGGCCATTCAGCCCTTCGAAGCTGTTGCCCCATTTAATTAGATCATGGCTGATCGGTACCTCAACTAATCCTTTCAATTCAAATTTCCCGCTTTCTCCCCATTATCCCTTAATACCTTGACTTAATACACTGGTTTACCTCTCCCTGTAAATTTAGAAACAACAACAACTTGTGCTTATGGCCTCCACACAGCAAACTCAGCACCGAGCAGTATTCGAACCTGATAGCTCACATTCCATAAGCTGCAGATCTATCCATTACGTAATTGGGACTGCAGTTGATTGCAGCATAGCGTGCCTCAGCACTGGTCAGCGAGTCAGTAACGAGAGCACAGGGGTGCTTACTGACATTTTTGTGCTTCATGCAGGAGGCATATGAAACCCCTGGCTCGGATCCTAATCGCTGACTGTTCAGTGCCTTGGGACGTCTTCCCGCTTAACAAATGTAATTTTGTATTGTATTGTAATGTGCTGCCAAAATTTAGAAATAGTTTTAACTATGAAATATGTATTTCCCAAATGCAGGGGTGGCAGTCCCATATCCCCCATCCCCTGCCTACCAACACCCCCCCCTCCCCCCCACCCCGGCCTCCATCAATATATCCCCCTTCATGCTGGCTTCAGTGAAGCCAGGTTGGATGTTTGACTGCAGCTCGCAGAATGCAGCATTCTGCTGCCATTTAGCTTCAGCAAGGCTGCAGCTTTTTATTAAACATAATCCTCCGAGTGAAGGCACAGCAAACTCACAGACTAGAACTTCTTCAGTCATTGAATTTTTTAATATCTCTTTCAATTTCCTCTTCTGAAGGCAATGGCTCACGTTGAGTATAATTCTACACATAGATGTAGCCCTCTGGCTGTTCTTCGTGTGTGAGTCCAGAGAGTATTTGACCATAAAGGGCTTCATGGTCCCTGTCCTGTCAGCAGGGGCTACTGTATAATGATGAGGAGTCACAATCCCTATTGTTTTTCGCTTTCTCGTGACCATGGCATATTATAGATCCCTTAGCAATCTCTCAGCAATCACCCAGCACAGGCCAGAGATCAGATCTGTATGGCTCAGCAACACAGATGTAATACATTTAATTACTGAGAGGAATACTCAGTTTGTTTATAATATTCAGCTTTTGGCCCAGACTGCAGCAACTCAGTTTATTTACTTACAGATGATTTTCAAGATTCCCAGGATCCTCTGAAAAGTGTTAAAGCTGGTCTGCAGGACAGTGCTGGCAATGTGATTCCTCTACAGGAAGTTCACGTAAAGGCAAAGTTAATGGACCTTGTTGGAGAGGTACAGCAGCAACAACAATTTACACTTGTATAATGCCCTTCAGGTTGGGAGAAAGTCTCAAAGAGCTTTACAAAGACTGAATGCGAACCTGAGTTAGCTGATAGCACCGTTGAAGAGGTAGATTTTAAGGCAGTACTTGAAAGCAGAATGGGAAGACATAAGGTGGAAAGATTTTGAGAGAGGGAGGAGACAAAGTGGCTGAAGGCTCACCTATTGATGGGGTGGACATGGCCAGGGGCATGAAGGAGGCCAAAATTGGTGGAAGGATGGCCAAGATAGAATCACAGGAAATCACAGAAATAGGGTAGTGTCAAGCCGTGGAGGATTTGAAGGTGAGGACGAGAATTTTAAAATTAATTTGCTGATGAGTATGGAGCCAGGGCATGGATGGTAGTGATGTACATACAGATTCTTGGGCAACAGGATGTGGGTAGTGGAGATTTGTATGGTCTGGAGTCGGTGGAGCTAGGGAGGTCATTGGAAAAGTTGAGCAGCATGTTTAAAATTCCGCTTACCTCCCCCAAATCCTGCCTAAACAGTGAGTGTCAATAAAATATTCAATTGGGGACGGGAGAAGGGGAGCAACCAAGCCCAAACTAATCTTAGTCTCATCTAATGTTTGTACAAGTACACTTTCCAGTAGAAAGCCCAAATGCTGACTGAGATCAGCTGAACCAGCACAAACTGGGAATCGCATCTTCCATCGTCTGACTTTATTGGCTTGTGATAACTGACCAATGCTGGGATATTGTTAAGACCTATGAAGTTTTTAAATAAATGTACCGTATCCTTTTGGGAGGGGAGCATTGACGTCAGGTGTACGTGGGACTAATACTAGTAGGCTTAGTAATATTTAGCACATAGTGAATGTATGTACATATGCCAAATACTGTCAGTAAATCCAGCTGCTTTCTTATCTTTGCAGGTTATTGTGTTCCAATCCTACACAAATTCCCACGTCTTTCCTATTGAAGCCAAATATGTATTCCCTTTAGACGATACAGCTGCTGTGTGCGGATTTGAGGCTTTCATTAATGGAAAGCACATTATTGGTCAGGTAATAAAGCAAAAATTGTTATATGTGGCTTTCAAAAGGAATCTGGAGATCATTTCCTCTAAAGATTTCTATATAGCTGACAGTTTGGTTCATATCCTAATGACCTGTTGAATATTCTTTGCATGCTATCGTCAACGTGGCTACTGTCTTAATAAGGTATTTGTTCAAGCGGATGGTTCGTTCTTACAAAAGCGAACTTCTGTGCTACCTGGATGTGGTGTAATAACCAGCTATGTTTTAATCCCTGTATTGATGGTCCCATAGGTGAAAGAGAAACAGCAGGCACATCGCGAGTACCGACAGGCTATTAAGCAAGGCCACGGCGCTTACCTCATGGATCAGTCTGCAGCTGTAAGTATTGAGCACTCATTTTCTATTATCGCAATAATTGTTAATAATCATGTTCCATCTTGACAATTGTTTGAAGCACTTTGAGACCTCTCAACGAAGTGAGAAGGCGCTATATCAAATGCAATGATTATTATTATGAATTTTCAGCGTGTTGTGAATTCAGGGAGTCCAGCCCTCGATCCGCTACAGTTGGCTATTATAATTCTGTTTTCTTTCTTTTGTGATTGGATATTTGGATAAACTTAATGCCGTTGTAAATATTATGCTTTATTTGCCTGCAATGTCTGAGGATGGGAGTCACCTGAACTGCCTGCAGGCTATTACCAATACTCCCTGAGGCCAGAGGTAGAAGCCTTGTAATTCTCCCATCTGTGCTAAAAAGGTGAAAAGAAGATTTCTTTCCACATCAACTTAAGTACAACCCTCCTTCCCCTAAGAAATATTATTTGTAACATGTGTCAGTCAGGATTGAAATTTCTGCATGCATTCAGGATTGGTTAATTAATCTTTGCATAATCCTTGCATTTGGTATCGCGCTTTTCATGTCAGGAGGATGTCCCAAAGTGCTTCACAGCAATGTCCCACAAACTGCCATGGAGTGAATGACCAATTTTGTTTGGGGGGTGGGGTTTGTTGGTCAGGACACCAGGAGAGAATCCCTTCTGTTTTCGAACAGTTACCTCAGGCTGCCGAAACCCTAACCCACGCATTCGTCACATCAAGGCTCGATTACGGGAACTCCCTCCTCATCGGCCTTCCCAACTCTTCCCTTCACAAGCTGCAGATCATCCAAAACTCTGCAGCTCGTGTACTCTCACGCACCAGGCTCCGTGACCCCATCACTCCCACCCTCGCCCGACTCCACTGGCTCACCATCCCCCAGAGGATCAAGTTCAAAATCCTCGTCCTCACCTTTAAGGCCATATGCATGGCATTGCTCCGTCCTACCTCTCTGCCCCCCACACTCTGGAACTCCATCCTACGGTCCCTTTCTCCTCGCTTCCTCCCTTGCCTCTTTCAAGGCCGGTCTCAAGACCCTTCACTTCGACCGTGCCTTTGGTCTCCCTGCCGCCTTTCTGCCTTCCCTCACCCCTACACCATCCCTCCCCCATGCTCGGGCCCCAACATCTGACTGTTCAGCAGTTTCGGACATCCTCCCGTCGTGAAAGGAGCTCTATAAATGTAATTTTGTTCTTGTTGTTGTTGACATGTTCATCTTTAACGTCTACCTGAACCGGTAGATCATTTACTGTCTCATCCGAAGGATGGAAGCTCCAACAATGCAACCCCTGCACCCAGCACTGCATTGGAGTGTCAACTTAGTCACATGAGTTGCAAGTGGGGCTTAAACCCACAACCTTCTGACTCAGAGGCGAGAGTGCTACCAATTGAGCAAACCCAACTTGCCTGAGTCTGAGGTGCAAAGCACTTTCTACGTTTCAAAGATAGTGTGTCAGTCTGGCTAAGATAGTCAGTTGAGGTCCTACCTGCCTGTTGGAGTGGACTTAAAAGGTTCAATGGTACTATTCCAAAAGAGAAGGGAGTTTGAGGGCCAAAAATCCCCTTGCTAACAATTGGTTATTCACTTCATGGTTGTTTACGGCACAATTCTATACACAAATTGGCTGCTAAGCTTGCCTACAAATACACAATCACTTTACAATAAAGTACAGTGAAGCACTTTGAAATGTAGTAAGGTGCTATATCAAAGGCAAAGATTAATATTATTAATGTGTACTCTTTTTATAGAATTACTGAAACTCCTGCCTTGCCTATCTTAGATCTGACAGTTTTCTGTATTTTGGTGATACGGCTATACATGGATAACTCTGTGCTCCACTTTTCAGGATGTCTTTACCATAAGTATTGGAAATCTACCACCTAATGCGAATGTTGTCATCAAAATCACCTACATCACTGAGCTCTCTGTGGACCAGCAATACATTTGCTTTCTGCTGCCGGGTAATGTGGCAACCCAGCAAAGGGATAAAGCATTGCAAGAGGAAACTCAGGTGGAATTTACAGTTCATTCCTTTCACATATCGCAGTCCTCTACAAACAGATTTGTACAGAAGCAAACATAAGTGCTCGCAAGCCAGGCCTTACCAAAGTTAGTTTTTATTGCTGAATCAATTATTATTCTCTCACCCAAAAAAACATTGTGGAATGAAATTGTGACATTTTTATCCTTGCATTTCACATGATAATTATCACATCAAGCCCATTACAAAATGCCACAACTTTCCTACTGATGCTTGATTATCACCAGTCTGAGGAACATCAGGTGGGGGTGGGTGAGGGGTGAGTGAGTGTGGGAGAGAGAAGAGAGAGGCAGATGTCTCAGAGTGCTTGTCAAATATTGTGGTAGCCACTGAGCAGGGGAAGAAACGGATTCAAAGGTGTTGATCAAAACCACGGTTCAGTCTGGTGCACAACCTTGCATTCCACTTGACTGTGACCTGAGTTTTAAACCCCCAGATCCAGCTCATTGTTGAGATCTCCTTTTCCATCTCCCGAATATAGCCCACCTCAATACCCCGTGCCTCAATCTCCCAACTGCATTGCGAAAGCTTGGAGACAGGTCACTGGTACGCTTTCTCGATTAGATCCAGTTAATTATCTGTGTTTAAAGAGGAACAGTGCACTAGTGCATCAGCATGGGGCACAGGTACTAATCGATGTTTGTAAATGTTTTCAGGAATCTGTGGAAAGAATCTGTGTGGAGGAACTGCAGACACCTACGTAAGTTTGTTAAGAAGCATTTGATAGCCTCTCTGGTCATTGATGTCAGCAATCTTAATTGTTTAGGGTAAATTAAAATTGCCAAGTCTGAGCTTTGCCAATCGCTTAGTGGATAAAGGTTAAGTGCACCTGTGGCCCCAAATTCCACCTAGACTTAGCCTATGAACCCCTGTTGTTTTAAAAATTTAAGATGGGAACAGAATTCACAAATTCAGTCTTCATGTGAAACCTTGTATCTTAAAATGTGCCTGTATTTTCTCTCTTTCGACATATGCGGTTTTAAACGAAAAACCCTGATGGAACACTCCCGAAATCCATAAATGGTTAACTGCGCATGCGTTACTCGCTCACCACCTCTCCCTCTCCCCTCTGTGTATACAGGAGTATCTGGTAACATGTTTGGAAGGAAGCACTCCGTTTGGTTAGGCTGCCTCCCTTCACCCTCTCCCCCCCACACCGATATCTGAATCTTCTCATGATAGTCCCCCACACCCACGCGCCCCTCCCCCCACCACCCACCCATGCTAAAAATAAACCCCTGGAAAATTAGATTTTTAAATCCCAAGAAACAGAAGTGTTATATATAACTCTGTTCCTGGTCCCCAGTCTCCTCGTGCCAGTGTATGGTTCCACGGACACTGGATGTCGTCTTGTACCCCACCTAATCAACAGTGTTCATGTGTTAACTTTAGAGTGAGCCTTGGACCACTTAACTGTAGAGTGCATCACAGTTAGGCATCACCTAACCTCCCCCACCCAGTTGCCACATGTGAGTAACACGTAGAGGGTATTGAAGAGAGATCAGGACCAGGAAACCTGGTTGATTTAATTTCCCTAACTCTGATAAAGGTTGAGACCAATTTAGCTTTCATATTCAGGCCAGACTGGAATTTGAACCAGCGAGACCCTGGTTCATAAACTGCAGCTCCAACCACTGACAGCACCACTGACTGACAGCTCTTTAAGAATGGTGGCAAAACAGGCAAAAAGCTGATGAAATAAGTCAATAGCTCGCACTGGTCTCTGGGTTGAAACTGCTTTCCTTTTCTGGATTCCCCACCTCCAGCCATGAATAATTATTGACTGCTTTTGTCCTTATTTTTTTCAATGTGATCATTATCTGCATAAAATGCCTCATTCCCCCCCACCCCACAAGTCAGTTTACATACATTAATTCAAAATTTCTATGGTTTTATCCAAATAAGCACTGCTTGATGTTATTATCAGTTTGTATTACATGCTGTTTGTGACACAAACTGACAATTTGACCCCATCCTTTAGAACTATATTCCCTTCGTCTCGCTCCCTCCCTTACCTCCTTCAAGGCATGTCTCAAGACTCTACTCTACGACTGCGCCTTCAGCCATTCTCCCTGCCCTCCACCTTCCCGGGTCCAAATCCCCGAATGTCCAACGCCTTGGAATGTCCTCCAGATGTGAAAGGCAAATGTCATTTTGTATTGCATTGCATTATTTCCTGCTGAATCTGAAAGCACAGGGTGTCCACGTTTACTAAGTACTGCTCTTTTATTTTTTTAAAAAGTGCTTTTTCAGTTGAATTATCCATTGAGATGCCGTACGAGATAAAGGAAATCAAATCTCCAACGCACAAAATCAAAATCAAGGTAATATTTTTGTTCGAAGACATATGCTTTTAACTTTTGAGAGTTTAAATGACCCATTGGATCTCACTAACCTGCTGTTAACTTCTCTAGCGGACAGATTGTTGGGCTGTGGTCTCCATGGAGCAGGACACATCCCTGGCAACCGGTTTCCAGCTGCTGATTTTACTGGCTGAGATCCATGTCCCCAGAATGTGGGTGGAGAATAATCCAGAGAAAGACAGTCAGGTATGTTCCTCTTTGACTGTGCCTTCAGTCATCTTTCCCCCTCCCCACTGTTAGGTCAGCTACCAAGCCAGCACTGTCAAGTGTCTTGGGACGTCCTCCATCGTGAAAGGCACTATCAATTTTGTATTATATGACCTGGGAGCTCCTTCAGCTGGGAATGTGTTGTATTACAAAGAATGCAGTTGGTTTAATGACAGGTTCCTAACCCTAACCCTGGAGCGGGTTAATCTGCTCCAAGGTGCTTAACATTCAAAATATAAAAGTTACCTTGGGGTTTGATAATGGACTTCCATTGTGTGCCCATGTTTCACATTTAGAATGTTTCTTAATTAAACCTTGCCTGCCATTCTTTTTATGATCTGTTTATTCTATCCCGATCCATTGAAAGCCACCAGATTCCCTTGCATGAGTTAGCTCTGCGATCAGCAAATTTTACAATGTTATACGTATCCTCTTCTAGTGGGTAGCTCTCAGAAACAATGATCTGAATGACCTCTTTCTGTAATTCTGTATTATTATGAATAATGTAAACTGATCCCTCTGGAAATCGACTCCTTACTGCCCCCTCAGACAGTTCCAGTTCCATTTATCATCATCCTCTGTTTTGGTTGCCAAGCAGCTCTCAGCTTTAATATTTTATAGGCTTTTCAACATTTTATTGAGATTTTAAATGAATATATATGTTTGTACAGAGAAGATCCTGCATATAATGGTACATTATACTCAGACACTGTTTAATTATTGAACAGACCCAAGTAGAATTCTGATTGGGAAAAAAAACTATGCAGATGTACAATACAGTACTAGGATGTGATGATTGGTGCATTTGGAGGGAATACTATAGGTCAGATCTTTCAATCAACATTTAAATTTTCACTATAACAAGTGTACAGAATGTAGCATATTGATCCACATGGGTAAAGAATAATATTAGAAATACTAACTTGTGAATTGGAATGCAATGAATCTATTAAACACTGCTAAGGCTGACAATTAGATGCCAAGTAGAGGTTTTATTTATGAAGAATGACTGGAGGAACTGGGACTGTTTTGTCCAGAAGGGAAAAAGATGAGAGGAGATCTAATTAACATTTTCTAAATTATGAGGGATTTTGACTCTGAAAGAAACAGGAAGTAAATGTATCTACCGATCGGTGAGTCAGTAACTCAATTTAAGGTAATTACCCAAAGAGCAAAGGGAGAGGTTAGCAGCATTTTATTTTACCCAGAGGGTTGTTAGGACATGGAATGTTAGAAAGATGGATGAGTCGGAATCCATTATTAGCTTTTAAGAGGAAATTAGATAAAGGTCTGAAAAGGAAAAATATAAAAGGATGTGGGGGGAAGGCAGCAGAATAAAACTGGCACTTCGGGACTTTGAACTTGCATATTCGAGGCTGAAGATCCAATGCAACCCTGGGAGTGTGCTGCATTGTTGGAGATGCCATCCTTCGTCTGAGGTTCGTCTGCCTGTTCAAATGGCCTTATGTATACAAAGGGAATTCCCAGTGCCATCAAAAATATAAGTGACACATGAAAAGGAATTTAATTAATGACAAGAATTAGTTACCTAATTAATAATACATTGGCGTTGGCTGTTAAGTGCACCTGTAATTCCTTCCGTACACACGTGTTTGCACGTTGTTTGTACCCTGATAATACACAAGGTTTCCATATAATTTTTACAACTTGCAACTAGACCCAGTTCAGCAAGTCACAGGAAGCTTTGAAAATGTCTTGTGATCATTAAGAGAAGCACATTTCCTTTTATTTTCCTGTAGAATTAAACGTACAACCTCACTGAATCCAATTTCCTTTGTTGTGCTTTGTAACAGGCCTGCATGCTGGCATTTTACCCAGAATTTGATGTGGGCACCCTCTCTGACTTTGAGGCTATTATTTGTCTGGATTGTTCCTGCTCTATGCAAGGCCTGGCTTTTCAACAGGCCAAGAAAATAGCCCTTCTAATACTTCAACACCTTCCAACCTCCTGCACCTTCAATGTCATTACCTTTGGTACAGGTAATGTTAAACTATTAAATTTGTGTTCTGTCTGCATCTTGGTATTCTGGAAGGATGAGATCAGATGGCCAAGAACCTTTTCATCCAAATTAATCTTGTAATCTTCATCTTCTTCCTATTGTTGTGTTTAATTTGATCTACTTGCGTAAGAGCCATTCATGGCTTGAGAGTATAAAATGCAGAAAATTATACGATCGGCAAACAATTAATACACATTAAAGTTGTGTTGAGGAGCAAAAAGTTAATACAGTGGGTCGACTGCCCTCCGACTCAAGTAATTTTCTAAGGGTCTATAGGTGAGAAATTGCAGGTGATTTTAAATTTTTAGTCTATTTATGCAGCAATTTAGAGCATTTTTGTAAGTTTATTTTAAGAATGGCAGAAAACCAGCCTCAAAGTTCAGACTGAATTCAACAGTTTGCCAAATTTAGGTTGATTACTTTGAATGACTTCAACACAGTTCAAAAAAAACTTACCTGTAATTAATGCTGCTGTTGAGCCTTGCTGAGACATTAATATTCACTGAGCTGTGTTTTTCTTATTTTCGTACCTCAGGATACAAGGAGCTCTTTCCCTGTTCACAGCAAAGAAATTCTGAAGATGCAGCCAATGCAGCCCGTCACTTTATCCTGGTAAGCAGATTTGAAAGTCTAAAGGGAGAGACTTGTTATACTGTATGGACTCCATCTGTTGATTTTCATCCTTTCTCAAAGTCGGCACAGAAACCCATGGGGAACACGGATTTCTGGAGACCACTGCGGAGCCTGAGCTTGCTCGCCCCGTCCAAGAGACTACGCAGCGTGCTTTTGATTTCTGATGGGCATGTCCAAAATGAGGATCTCACGCTGAAAACTGTGCAACAGAACGTCAAATATAACCGGATATTCACCTGCGGCGTAGGGTGAGTCTCTGCTTCAAAGCAGTTGTGTAAGAAATTGATTGGCATTGCCTGCACGTAGCCACTTTACACCAGAAGTTCAGTGGCGTACTGAGTTCTTGGAGTGAAAGAAATCTGGAAAGTCATTGCCAGCTGTTACAAACCAAAGATTCTTGTTTCCCAATGAGAGAGAAAAAACTACATGGATTGCTCTAGCAGGTTATCCCTCTGTCCTGCACCTTACCTCAGCCAGGCTTGGGGAAAAGTGTAGGGGCATCTATTAGGAATGGGACGAGAGATAAAACGTTTGCACTTAGAATACAAAATATTCAGTCAATTCACTTTACAGTATATTCTGTGAAACACTTTGAGACATCTCAACGTATCAAATGCAAGGATTATTATTACATCAGATATCACTTGAGCAGAGAACCCAGCAGTATGAAGAGGGAACTGAGTGAGGTGGAATAGGGTGAGAATTCTGTTAAGAAATTTGGTGAGAGTGGGAATTCTTCAGTAAGACTGATACTAGAGAACAAGAGTGAACTTTTTGATTCAGCAGACAAGTGGGAAATCTTTCTTGAGGTAGAGGCAATCTTATATTTAAGCAGGCAAATGAAGTTGGGGATTAATAAATTTGATGACCAGTCAAAACTGGGTGCTTTTGTTTGAGTCTTATATAAAGGGGAAGACTTGCAAGAGCCTCACTTGAGCAGAGAGCCCAGGGTGAGGAGGGATTTAGAGCTCCAAAAGGATCTCCATTTTCTCTTTCTCAACACATTGAGTTTTGCCCTGGACAAACAGGTGTGTAGGAAGTCCAGCTGCTCGAGCTTGAGCTCAGGGTTTCTGAGCTTGATGAGAGGCTGGTGTCACTACATAGCATATGGGAGGCTGAAGAGTTCGTGGATCGAATGTTTCAGGAGGTGGTCACCCCACAGCCACAGAGCGTCACCGAGTGGGTGACCACCCGGCATGGTAGGAAGAGGGGACGGGCAATGCAGAAATCCCCTGAGAGTGGCACTCACAAACCTGTTCTCCGTACTGAATACCAGTGAGGGTGCGACACGTCTGAGGAGAGGAGTCAAAAGCAAATGTATGTAAAGGGGAACACAGGGAAGAGTGTCAATGATTATTATCATTAGACAGATGTTTCTGTAACCAAAAACGTGACTCTCGCATGGTATGTTGTGAGGGTTGAAGACATCATTGGACGGATGCAAAACATTCTCCAGGGGGAAGGGGAACATCCAGAAGTCGTGGTCCATGTTGGGATCCATGATTAGGGACAAAAGGGCTGAGATCCTACAGGGACAGTATCAGAAGCTAGAGAAAAAGCTAAAGAATAGGACCTCCAAGGTGGTGATCTCTGGATTACTCCAGGTGCCTCATGCAAGTGAGTATCAAAATGGCAGGATCAAACACATGAATCGATACTCTTGCCCCCATCACTTCCCGCACTGTCTCCTACTCCCGCTCCTCCCCCTGGTACACCACCCACCTCCGCTCACTGAAATGCCAGGTGCGGGCTGCTGAACGCACCTGTGTCAAATCTGGCCTAACGGTCCACCGACAAATCTGGCTGGACCTCCTCAAAATTTACCGCTCCACTCTAGCCTCGGCCAAGTCGTCCTTCTACTCCAGGATAATCCTGGAGGCGAAGAACAACCCCAGGCTACTGTTTTCCACCACATCCCGACTCCTCCGTCCCCCCCGCCACCCCGCGCAGGTCATCTCCTCCAACCTTCACTGCGAGGAGATGCTGGATTTCCTTGAATCCAAGATCAAGGGAATCCGCTCCGCGGTCACTTCCCCTCCAACTTCCACCCACCACCCACCCCTTCCCTCCCACACTCCGACTCCTACCCATCCTCCCCTACACACCTTCGTACCCGTTTCCCCACCCTCTGTCACTGAACTCATCCTATCCCTAAAACCAACCACCTGCTCCCTTGACCCCATCCCCACTCCACTCCTTATCTCCCAGCTCCATTTTCTTGCCCCACACATCACTGACATCATAAACCTGTCCCTCTCCTCTGGCTCTGTCCCCATTCCATTAAAAACTGCCATCATCACGCCCACCCTGAAAAAACCCTCCCTTGATGCGTCGCAGCTATCAAGCTACCGGCCCATCTCCAACCTCCCCTTTCTCTCCAAGGTCTTGGAAAGAGTTGTCGCCTCCCAACTGCGCTCTTTCCTCTCCACCCATTCTCTTTTTGAACCCCTTCAGTCAGGTTTCCGTGCTGCTCATAGCACAGAAACTGCCCTGGTCAAGGTCACCAATGATATCCTGACTATCTGTGACCAGGGCTCCCTCTGTCTCCTCGTCCTCCTCGACCTATCGGCAGCATTCGATACGGTCGACCACGCTATCCTACTCCACCGCTTGTCCTCCCACCTCAACCTTCAAGGCACTGTCCTTGAATGGTTTAGCTCTTACCTTTCCCACCGTCTTCACTTCGTCTCAACGAATGGCTTCTCCTCCACCCCCCGTACTGTCTCATGTGGTGTCCCTCAGGGCTCTGTCCTCGGTCCCCTCCTCTTCACCCTCTATATGCTCCCCCTCGGTGACATCATCCGCAAACATGGGGTTAACTTCCACATGTATGCGGATGACACCCAACTCTACCTTTCCTCCTCTACTCTCAACTCCACGACCACCGATGTCCTGACAGCCTGCCTGTCCGACATCGAGTCCTGGACGAGAGACAACTTTCTTCAGCTCAACGTGCGAAAAACCGAGGCCCTCCTGATTGGCTCACGTCAGCGCCTCCGCACCTCAGGCGCTGACACCATCAGCATCCAAGGCTGCACTCTCCACCTCTCAAAGCCAGTCAGGAACCTCGGCGTTTTGTTCGACCCTGAGCTGTCCTTTCTCCCTCACATCCGCACCACAACTGGCACCGCCTTCCATCACCTCCGGAATATCGCCAGATTACGGCACTACCTCACCCCTCACGCTGCTGAAACCCTGGTTCACGCCTTTGTCACCTCAAGGCTGGACTATGGGAACTCTCTCCTCGCCGGCCTTCCCGCCACCTCCCTCCACAAGCTGCAGGTCATTCAGAACTCTGCAGCTCGTGTACTGTCCCGCACCAGGCTTCGGGACCACATCACTCCTACCCTCGCTCGCCTCCACTGGCTCCCCATCCCCCAGAGGATTGATTTCAAGATCCTCATCCTCACCTACAAGGCCATTCACGGCCTTGCTCCCTCCTACCTCTCCAACCTACTATCCCCCTACCTACCTGCCCGTACCCTCCGTTCCTCTGGCTCCGGTCTGCTCCACGTCCCCCGCCCCAACCGCCCTACTATCGGTGGTCGGGCCTTCAGCCTCTCAGCCCCGAGGCTCTGGAACTCCATCCCCCAGTGCCTTCGCCTTGCTTCCTCCCTTTCCTCCTTCAAGGCCGGTCTCAAAACCTTTCTCTTTGACCGAGCCTTCAGCTCCCCTCTCGACTCTCTTCCTCCTCCTCGCTCCCTCCCTTCCCTCCCCTCACCCTGACCATTTCCCCCCTCCTCTCTCCCTCCCTTCCCTCCCCTCACCCTGACCATTTCCCCCCTGCTCGGGTCATGACCCAACTGTGCAGCGCCTTGGGACGTCCTCCTGACGTGAAAGGCGCTCTATAAATGGAATCTTGTTGTTGTTGTTGTTGTTGTTGAATGCACGGTTGGAGAAATAGTGCAGAAAGGAGGACTTCAGGTTCCTGGAGCATTGGGACCAATTCTGGGGCAGGTGGAACCTGTGCAAGGTGGTTGAGTTACACCTGAGCAGGGCTGGGACCAATATCCTCGCAGGGAGGTTAACTAGTGCTATGGGGAAAGGTTTAAACTAATTTTGAGGGGAGAAGGGAATCAGGATGTATTATCGGGGGGCAGATACAAGTTACGTAAGGGCTGGGAGAGACAAATAGCAATGTAATAAGGGGTAATCCAGAAAAAGGAGGGATTAGACAGGGGAGAAATGTAGAGCAGACTCAGTCGGTCTTGGAATGCTTGTGCGTAAATGCACGGAGTGTGACAAATAAGATTGGTGAGCTGCAGGCTCAAGTTGCCACATGGGGTTATGATGTAGTGGCAATAACGGAGACCTGGCTCAAATAAGGGCAGGAATCGGAGCTGAATATTCCTGGCTACAATGTATTCAGGAAGGATAGGGAAGGAAAAAAAGGAGGTGGGGTGGCAATATTGATTAAAGACATGGTTAAGGACCTTGAAAGACACGATGTGCCAGAGGGTCCCAAAACAGAATCTATTTGGTTAGAGTTAATGAGCAGAAAAGGAACTGTTACTCTATAGTGGGAAGGAGATAGATGAGCAAATCTACAAGCAGATTTCAGAAAGATGCAAAACCAATAGAGTAGTGATAATGAGGGACTTCAATTATCCTAACATAGACTTGTAAAATAACAGTGTAAAGGGCAAGGAGGGGGAAGGATTCCTGAAATGTGTGCAGGATAACTTTCTGGATCAGTATGTTTCCAGCCCAACGAAGAAGGAAGCAGTGCTGGATCTAGGTCTGGGGAATGAAGTGGGGCAAGTGGAACGGGTTTCAGTAGGAGAGCATCAGGACAACAATGATCACGAAATCATTAGGTTTAGAGTAGTTATGGAAAGGTACAAAGAACAATCAAAGGTGAAGATACTCAACTGGAAGAGGGCTAATTTCAATGAGTTAAAAGGGACCTAGCAAAGGTGGACTGGAAAGAAAGATTGGTAGTTAAACAGCTAACGAGCAATGGGAAGTGCCACATAAGAGACTTGTAAGCAAAATAGAAGCCTACGGTATTAAAGTGACAGTGCCAACGTGGATACAGAACTAGCTGGGAGACAGAAAGCAGAGAGTGGTGGTGAGCGGTTGTTTTTATGACTGGAGGGAGGTGTGCAGTGGTGTCCCACAGGGGTTAGTACCACTGCTATTTTTCATCTACACAAATGACCTGGACTTGGGTATAGGGAGTACAATTTCCAAGGTTGCAGATGATACTAAGCTAGGAAAAGCAGTAAACAGGGAGGAGACTAGTAGCAAACTGCAAGGGGGACATAGACAGACTGGTAAAATGGGCAGACACGTGGCAGATGAAGTTTAATGTGGAGAGATGCAAAGTGATGCATTTTGGGAGGAAGAATGAGGAGAGGCAACATAAGCTGATGGTAGAATCTTAAAGGGTGAAGGAACAGCGTGACCTGGGGGTTCATATAAGTAAATCTTTGAAGGTGACGGGACAGGTAGATAAAACTGTTAAAAAATAGCATACGGGATACTAGGCTTTATAAATAGGGGCATAGAATATAAGAGTCAGGAAGTTATGATGAACCTTTATACTGATTCATCATAACTGGTTAGACCTCAGCTAGAGTACTGTGTTCAGTTCTGGGCACCACACTTTAGGAAGGATGTCAAGGCATTGGAGAGGGTGCAAAGGAGATTTACCAGAATGGTACCAGGAATGAGAGACTTCAGTTATCAGGAGAGGCGAGAGAAGCTGGGATTATTCTCCTTGGAGCAGAGAAGGTTAAGAGGAGACTTAATAGAAGTTTTCAAAATTCTGAGGGGATTTGATAGGGTGAACAAGGAGAAATTATTGCCACTGGAGGGTGGGTCGGTAACCCGAGGACACCGATTTAAAATTGTTGTTAAAAGAAATAGAGGAGAGGTGAGGAGAAATTTTTAACACAGCGAGTTGTTCGGATCTGGAATGCATTGCCTGAAAGGGTGGTGGAAGCCGACTCGATAACAGCTTTTAAGAGAGAAGTAGATAATTATTTGGGGAGGACAAGTTTGCAGGGCTATGGGGAGAGAGCAGGGGAGCGGGATGGAATTGGATAGCTCTTTACAAAGAGCTGGCACAGACACGACGGGCCGAATGGCCTCCTTCTGTGCTGTATAATTCTATGAGAAGTAGGTTTCGGCCCTGTAGATTGCAAGCTCTAGCTGCTCACTGTCAAATCCTGCTGCTATTTAATCTGTGAAATGCTTTGAGACGTCTCGAAGATGTGATAAAGCGCTATATCAAACGCAAGGATTATTATTATCCAAGGTGCCTTCTATCAGATAAGGCACTAAAAGAGTTTGCCTATTGAGTTGGATCCTAAGACCCCATCTCACTATTGGAAAAAGAAAAGATTTCTTGGGTATCAATCCTCTAGATTCATTGTTCATTCATCTTATTGTTACAAAAACAGTCATTAATGGTAATTATCTGTGAAACACCTTGAGACATTTTGATGTGATGGTTCCTTCAATCCAATGGGCTAAAGGGCTTTCGCACCCGCATATCTGTTGTGAACATTTTAATGAATATACAAGACTTTAGCTTTCTCCTCATGAGGGAGCTATGAAATGGGCTGAAGCTGTGCAGACGGCAGATATCGCTGCATAATGCCTGGTGAAATTGTTGTATTTTTCATTAGATCCACAGCAAATCGACATATGCTCCGAGCCTTGGCACTATATGGGGGAGGAGCCTATGAGTATTTTGATGAAAAAAACAAGTTTGGCTGGACAGCAAAGGTAGACTTTGGTATTGTTTTAAGATTTCTTTATGGTAAGCAAGTGGACGTAAGAAATGTTCTTTTGTGTGTTTGTGCTGAGGGGAGGGGCTCTGGAGGGGAAACGTAAGCTGCATGCACATCAAGGCAATGAATTAAAAGGTCAATAGAATATTTGAGTGGGGGGATGTTGGGAAATGTAATAATTATCAATGAAGTGAATGTTGTTTTATGGACATTGCAGCGCACAAATTGCCCCCGCAAATGGCCTACAAAATACAGTTACTACACTTTTCAGTGAACTCCATGAAGCACTTTGAGTTGAGAAGTCAGACAAGGTCCTTCAGCTCAACGTGCGTAAAACTGAGGCCCTCCTGATTGGCTCACGTCAGCGCCTCCGCACCTCAGGCGCTGACAGCATCAGCATCCAAGGCTGCACTCTCCACCTCTCAAAGCCGTCAGGAACCTCGACGTTCTGTTCGATCCTGAGCTGTCCTTTCTCTCTCATATCCGCGCCACAACTGGCACCGCCTTCCATCACCTCCGGAATTTCGTCAGACTACAGCACTACCTCACCCCTCACGCTGCTGAAACTCTGGTCCACGTCTTTATCACCTCAAGGCTGGACTACGGGAACTCCCTCCTCGTCGGCCTTCCTGGCACCTCCCTCCACAAGCTGCAGGTCATTCAGAACTCTGCAGCTCGTGTACTGTCCCGCACCAGGCTTCGGGACCACATCACTCCCACCCTCGCTCGCCTCCACTGGCTCCCCATCCCCCAGAGGATCGAATTCAAGATCCTCATCCTCACCTACAAGGCCATTCACGGCCTTGCTCCCTCCTACCTCTCCGACCTACTATCCCCTACCTACCTGCCCGTACCCTCCGTTCCTCTGGCTCTGGTCTGCTCCACATCCCCCGCCCCAACCGCCCTACTATCGGTGGCCGGGCCTTCAGCCTCTCAGCCCCGAGGCTCTGGAACTCCATCCCCCAGTGCCTTCGCCGCCTCCTCCCTTTCCTCCTTCAAGGCCGGTCTCAAGACCTTTCTCTTTGACCGTGCCTTCAGCTCCCCTCTCGACTCTCTACCCCCTCCTCACTCCCTCCCCTCACCCTGACCATTTCCCCCCAATGCTCGGGTCCTGACCCAACTATACAGCGCCTTGGGACGTCCTCCCGAACGTGAAAGGCACTCTATAAATGGAATCTTGTTGTTGTTGTAGTGATGGGTACTATATCAATAACAATAATCCTTGCATTTGATATAACTCCTTATCACATTGTTGAGACGTCTCAAACAGCTTCACAGAATATACTGCAAAGTGAATTGACTATATTTTGTGAGCGAAATCAAATACAAGGATTATTATTTAGTCAATCTACGTAATCACTTTTCCCAATCATTCCCAGAATAAACGCAGAATCAAAATGTTTTCATTGTAGTCTTATTTTTAGTGGCATGTTTTAACCTGCCACGTTTTACTTTTCATGACAGGTTGAATCTCAGGTGGATCGAGTGACTCAGCCAGGGTGCAGGTCGATCTCTGTTAACTGGCAGCAATTCAATCAGAATAAACCTGACCCACTCCAGGCCCCTGCACAGATTCACTCCATATTCAGTGGTTCTCGACTTCTGGTTTACGGCTTTGTCCCACACTGTACTCAGGTGAATTAAACTGTCTTTTTCCTTTTACCTAAATTACGTGAAGCGCTTTGAAACATCTCAACGATGTGATAAAATATTACGTCAAATGCAAGGATTATTATTATAACTAATTTAGGCTGAGGAGGAAAATCGTGATTTCCATTCCTGGTTACTGTTTGTTTAAATGTACCAAGTGAAGATAGCATCAGTCTAGACCATACTATCCCCTCACTGACATTAGCTGTTAAGCTCACACACCAATAATGGCAGGTGGAATTGGTACTTTGGCCAGAGAACATCAAAGGTATGTGGACCTACACAGAAGTAAAAGGAAAGGAGCAGCCAAACTCCTTGAAGAGCAGAGGGAAGGAAACAATAGTGGCCAAAACAAAATCCTAAACTGAAAAAAAATTTAGACTCAAAAGGAAAATATAAACATTTGCTGTTGTCCCTGTTTTCTATCTTATTGTGTGTTTTTCTTTTTAAAAATTACTTGATTGTTTGTTATTTAATACCTATTCCGATACGTTTTTCTAACTTTTTAAAAAGATATTTCAACTCAACAGGATCTGGACAAGTTAACTCATCTATGGTGCTCAAAGGGTTGGAATGGTGGTGAAGTGGGGGAAAGGCAACTATTTATCCTGTTTGATAGTAATCTCTCTTGGCTCCTTCAGTTGCTATGAATGTCTTGGATGGATTTTTGAGCACCGGTAGCACATTGCCAACTCCCTCTGTCAAATATTACAAAGTATATTTTTTTTGTTTTTTGGCCAGCCTGGTGTCTGACACGCTTGGAAACCCATCACTGTAAATAAGAGCATTCAAACCAAACTACTCAGTGTTCCCCATATGCGTGGAGATTTTTGACATTCATACTTTTTCTTTTAAAATTGAAGTTTGGACTTTTATGTACTGAGCAAATGTAGAATGAAGACATTTCTTCCCAGAGTTTACTTTCATTTACCCAATGGGTTGGTCCTCAGAAACTTCCATCTTCTGGTGATTCTATTAGGAAATCAATCTTTGTTTAACCAAATGTTGGAACTTATTTCTTTGTTATTGAAAACTTTTTGGTGGGAAGAAAAAACATTAATGTAATCACATTCTCTGCTATGTATGTGAATGTTCTAATCACTGTTTCTTTATGTGCCTCAGGCCACACTCAGTGCTTTGATCAACAACCAGGAGATTAAAACCATGGTTTCTACCACTGAACTACAGAAGACAAAGGGCAAGGTATACAGTCATTATCTGGTTTGTTGCAGTGTCTAAAATGAACTCAATATCGTTGGAAAAAGAATAAGATTAAGTTAGCGTTGTTACACCAAGTGGCTCAGCTAGTAAAGCTACTGAATGTGAAGCGTATTGGTTAGAGCACTTGCCTCGCAAGTGGGAGAACCTGAGTTTGAATCCCCGACAGGGCGAAATGTTAGGCAAGTTTCCTTACTCCACACACCTCTGTTTACCTAGCAGTAAGTAGGAACCCGGTTGTTAGTCGAATGGCATATGGCTTTTCTGGGTAATAATTCCTTCAAAACATGAACAATTATTTGGTCACTCAGTCCACGACTGTTAGTGAGCATGCTGTGAGCAATTAGCTACTGCATTTCGCCCACAAAACATACAGTCAATTCACTTTGCAGAAAATTCTGTGAAGTGCTTTGAGACGTCTTGAAGACATGATAAAGCGCTATATCAAATGAGAATTATTATTATTACCACTCAGAGTACACACAGGGTGGCTCCCGAAGTCTGCCCTGAGTTAGCTGTTTTCAGCCAGTGCAACAGTAAAGGCACTACAATTAGCCTCAGCTTCCAAGAGTTACGGAACAAAAAAACAGATTCGCACAATTAACATTGGACCCTGCGCTCCATCTCCACTCAGTTATACCTGCATCTTTAAAGCAAACAATATAGATGAAACCATTCTGAAATTCTGTTTGCTTGTAACCTGTAAGACCATTTTGCCTCAAAATTTAAGATCATGCAGAATTCTGTGAAATTCTTCCGTTCAGCATTAATATAGAAGCTAGTTGTTTTAGGAACTTCAGAAAATTTAGGTCTTGGAGTCTAAGACTCGATGGAACTTTAGCTCTCGGTTGCTTGCGGGACGTGACAGCCTTTAGTTCTCAGATTTAGTCCCATCATACTTGGATGTTTGGTGAAGGAGTTAACATCTAGGCAGGAGGTACAACTTTAAAAAGACGGTTTGTGTGTAAGTTCTTGGCAGCTCATGTGATTAGTTCAGAAACCATTTTGACTCTACTTAATTTAAAAACATTACTTTCATTTTTTAATTTCAAAACTGTTTATGAAACTGGAGGCTTTCAGCACTGAAACAAAATGTATTTTTTATTCCTGTGAAAGCTATTTTAATATTTCAATAGAGTCCTGTAGCTCAGTGGCTAGAGCACTTGCGAAAGACCTAGGTTTGATTCCTGGCAGAGCGAAACATTGGACAAGTTTCCTTATTTCACACCCCTCTGTTTACCTAGGAACCCGGTTGTTAGTCAATTAGCGGATCGCTTTTCCGAGGGTAATAATTCCTTCCAAAAATAATTATTATAATAATAAATTGGTCACTCAATACACGAGTGTTTGTGGGACACTGCCGTGTGCAATTGGCTGCCGCATTTCGCCCATAAAATATAGTCAATTCACTTTATAGAATATTCTGTGAAGCGCTTTGAGACATCTCGAAGACTTGATAAGGTGCTATATCAAATGCAAAAATTATTATTATCTGAAACAAAACCAGTTTTAGCCGTTAGTTTTTAGAGTACATATGAAACAAAAGACAAGATAATGTCTCAATCGCTCTTGAACGCTACCATGCATGAGGGGCTATATAAATGCAAGTTGTTGTCAACAGACTGATGCCTCGATATACAATACAAAATTACATTTGTAAAGCGCCTTCACGTCGGGAGGATATCTCAATGTGCTGAACAGTCAAGGATTAGGACCCGAGAGGGGTGGATGGTTTGGGATCATGGAGAGAGCGGAGGGTAGGGTGGTGGCCGAAGGCACGGTCGAAGACGAGGGTCTTATAATAATAATGGTTAGAGCACTCACTTTGCAAGCGAGAGACCTGAGTTCAATTTCAGGCAGGTCAGGGCGAAACCTTGGGCAAATTTCCTTACTCCACACAGAGCCTAATAATAATCCCTCCAAAACCAAAAACAATAATAAATTGGTCATTTTCAATCTACGACTGTTTGTGGGACATTGCTGTGCGCAATTGGCTGCCGCGTTCGCCCACAAATATACAGTCAATTCACTTTACTGTGTGTTCTGTGAAGCGCTTTGGGACGTCCTCCCGACGTGAAAAGCGCTATATCAAATGCAAGGATTATTATTATTATTATTATTATTATATTCAAGACTGAGATAGATAGATTTCTTATTGTAAAAGGGATTAAGGGATATGGGGATAAGGCAGGGTCAGGTTATTAGCTGGAGTTAGATTAGAAGATCAGCCATGATTGAATGGCGGGGCAGGCTCGAAGGGCTGAATGGCCTACTCCTGCTCCTACTTGTTATGTTAGGAGGTCTTCCTGACATTCAACTGTGGAAAGTTATCTCTTATCCAGGACTTCAAGTCTGACAGACATTCTGTCAGGACATCAGTGGTCCTGGAATCAAGGGTGGAGACAGAGAGGTAGAGTTGGGTGTCATCCGCATACAGATGGAAGTTGACCCCATGTCTGTGGATGATGTCACCAAGAGGGTGTTTTGTCACCAAGAGGGTGACTTCATTCTATATGCATAGAATGTCTCAGAATGTCTGTCTAGTTCTGTATCAACCACTTGTACTTATATAAGAAGCAGTTCAAATTGATTGCTTTTATCCATATTAGCAGATACATTTATTCCACTATAACCATAACATTGTGTGGGGATATAATGCAACTGTCCTAATAAAACTTTCTACTTTTCCAATCTTATCATTATTATTATCTTCCATTTTATAGATGCTTCACCGACTGACAGCAAGAGCCCTTATTGGTGATTATGAGAATGGAAGTCTACACGCAGATCAAAGTGAGCACGAGGTCGGTAAAAACACTTTTGGGGGCAGGTTTTTAATCATATCTCTGCATTATCTTTCTCACCTGGAATATGACATAGCGTTTGCAACAGTTAACAGTTTTGAGGGGATTTGTATCATGCTTGTCAGTGTTCAGATAATAGAATTAAGAGACTGGATGGAGCATCAATCTCCTTCCATGATGCTGGTTGATCAAACAGAACAAAACTAGGAAGCTGTTTCTTTGGTTTGACAACGTGGCAATGGAATATTGAATTGATTTGGTCCTCCATAGGTGTGAGATGATTGAAATTTAGAAGTAATTGCCTTCAAAGTTGAGGACAATTTCCCAAAGCACTTCTTTTATCATTTTAAGTGTTGTGTTAAAGTGCGATCTTCAAAACTAGTTCTGAAATCTAGCATTTCTTTGTCCTGCCATACCTTGAACTAGCGAGCCAGTAGGTTTCCAGCGGTGAATGGTTTCTTCCTGTAACTTCAGTATCTTTCCCTTGCAGATGAAAAAGTCCATTCAGAAATCCTACATCATTGAACTCAGCAAGGAGTATTCAATTGTGACTCAGTTCACCAGCTTTGTAGCTATTGAAGAAAGGGTGAGTGAAACCTTGATACAAAAGAAACAATACCACAACCAGCTTAATGACAAGCTTATGTTTCTGTTTGGTTTCTGAAGAAAAGTTTACAAAATGCTGTTTTTGTCTCCAGTAATAGTATCTTTTCCTATGGACCAGAAATCTGTGGATATGGCTTTTTCACCCTGGCTCAGCTGGTAATATTTTTGCCTCTGAATCAGAAGATTGCAGGTTCAAACCCCACATCAGGTCCTTGAATTCACATAGTTTAGGCTGACACACCGGCGGAACACTACATTGTTGGAGATGCCATCCTTCGGATGAGAGGTTCATCCAAGTTTCCGTCCTGTTCAAGTGAACGTTAAAAATTCCAAGGCATTATTCATAAAGAAAAGTGAGTTTCTCCTGGTATCCTGGTCAATAATCCTCTGGAGGGAGGGAAGGTAAACTGGGTTTCCTTGGAGCTAAACTGATAGTCACTACACTTTACAGTGAATCCTGTACATTAAATGCAAGTTTATACAATCTAAACTGACTAGCACAGAACCAGGGAGAGGTGCACCCTTTGAAAGGAGAAGAGAATTTCTCCCAGTGTCCTGGCCAATCATCCCACAAATTAAATTGGTCCTTTATGGGAAATGGCTGTGCACAAATTGACTGCAAAGTTTGCTTATAAATATAGTCACCACGCTTTACAGAAAACTTTGTGAAGTGGTTTGAGATGGTTCAACATAACGGGTGCAATTCAATTCCAAGGATTATTATATAAAATCATTACTATTACTATGACCTTCTAGTTTGTTAATAATGCACTTTTCCTGTAAACCCATTGTTACCAGAAATGCGGTATATTTTCAGCACAGACCAGCCAGGTGACCGCCTTCCAGGTGTTTTAAGTCACACTGACATTTTGTCCCATAAGCTGTGCATGTGCACCATGTGAAGGACATGCTGCTGATGTCACTTCCCAAAGATATGACGTTGCGGTGCGTCCTGCACATGGGACACATACAATATACAGGAAGTGGCATCAGAGTCGGCCTAACAATCCATAAGATGGCATTTTTTAGGCGGCCTCCCTATAATCTGGGGTCATACGTTATTGATTCCAAACCACTGTGTTATAAGATACAGTGTAGAATGTTCTGTGTTATAACACAGAAGCGAATCATTTGGCTCAACTAGTCCGTGTTGGTGCAGGAGATAGCAGGATCACTCTGTACTAGGGTTTACAAATTCTGATGGCATTATTGGGCACATTGCTCAAAAATGTACCAGCATTCAGTGCAAATCCCACTCTGTAAATCAAGAATAAGTTTTATATCATGAACCAAATGAAATTTGAGCTCCAAACACCTTTGAATTCAGGAACAAGATCTTGTATAATGTGCTAAAACAGTGGAGAAATTAAATTTTCAGCTCTTTTGTGAACAGTATTGATACTGGTGTTTTCTTTTTACAGGATGACCAGGAAACCGAGGGAGTTCAAGGGCCTTCTGTTCAGGAACTCGCAGCAAAAGAGAATGTGGATATTCTGCCATATCTGGACTGGGAAGAACAGATGCTCAGAAAAAAGGTAAAGATTTAGATTTCAGCAAATTAGATATTTTATATGGAATTAAGTTAGCGTACAAGTGTCAACTGCCTTTCGGAATGCACTGTTATTATTGAGAGTAAGAACACATTAAATTTCTATCATGATTATGTATTTGACAGACCAAAGTCTTGATAGTATTTTCTCATTTGTTCTGGTTAAATCCAACATACGGATGACTAAGAAAATAATGGGATTGTAACTATTTTCTGGTGTGTGTGTGCTTTAACTGAATTGGATGTTTTATTTGTGCCAGTATTTGTATCTGCCAGCAGATGGTACCACTGTACTTTTAAGTCAATTCATAAAATTCATAAATTGTTCAATAGATATAGGAACAGGAGAAGGCGATTCAAGCCCACTAAGCCTCTTTACAACAGATAGCTTATTACTGTTGAAATCATAGCATTATTTTGAATCAAGAGTCTTTCGTCAATGTCTGGCTCTCTTCAATCCTAGGGTCTTCTTAATTGTTATCTGTCTTCATTACTGGGCTCCTCTCCATGCCGGGCTCCCTTCAGTGATTTCAGTGTTTCCCTGAAGTACAATTGAAACTAAGAACTAACATCACAGGGATTCACAGACTTTCCGTATTTTGGGGCCCAATGTGTTGGTTCACTAACATGCTATACCCTGCACTGCTGTCTTAACATTGTTTGACATTACTGACCATTTTTATGCCTTGTTGTTTCACTTACAGAGATGTCGGAGTGCACATGCCACAAAATTCCGAAAGCCAAACTATAACAAAGATTATGTTGGACAAAACAAAGAAAGTGATGGATCTGTGGTAGATGAAGAAGAGGTTATGGATCAACGGGGAGATTTATTGGATTGTGCTTCATTATTTCCTTTTATAGCTCCGCTTAAATCTGCTGACCGTCTTGAATCTTCTGATTCTCTTGATTCTGAGAATAAATCAGAAAGTGATAGTGTCATGTCATCAACTATATCTAGTGATGCATTGCCAGCAATCTCTGGACTGTATTGCGATACTAAAAATGCTGTATTTTTAAAACCTTTTGGTGGTTCAAAACTATTACTTTCAACGGTGCCTCTGGCTGATTCTCAAATTTTATTCGGGAATCATTCCCTTCCTTCAGTGATTTCAGATCCTCCTCCTTCACCTACAGACTCTGCCAGGGAGTTCATAAAAGATCTTCGAATGGATGCAGCTCCCGCTTCAGTTAGTTTTAGTTCACATTTACTTGATTTTGGGTTAGATTTATCTCCTCCAATGGCTTCGGTTTGTTCTGACTCTCCTTCTCCAATGGCTTCAGCTTCTTCTCCTGATTCTTTTGTCTCTCTTTCTCCAATGCATTCAGCTTTCTCTCCTGTTTGCTCTGACTCTCTTCAAATGGCTTCAGCTCCTCCTCCAGGTGGTTTTGAATCTCTTTCTCCAATGGCTTCAGCTCCTCCTCCAGTCGATTTTGGTTCTCCTCTAATGGCTTCAGCTCCTCCTCCAGGTGGTTTTGGTTCTCCTCTAATGGCTTCAGCTCCTCCTCCAGTTGGTTTTGGTTCTCCTCGAATGGCTTCAGCTCCTCCTCCAGTTGGTTTTGGTTCTCCTCGAATGGCTTCAGCTCCTCCTCCAGGTGGTTTTGGTTCTCCTCTAATGGCTTCAGCTCCTCCTCCAGTTGGTTTTGGTTCTCCTCGAATGGCTTCAGCTCCTCCTCCAGTTGGTTTTGGTTCTCCTCTAATGACTTCAGCTCCTCCTCCAGGTGGTTTTGGTTCTCTAATGGCTTCAGCTCCTCCTCCAGTTGGTTTTGGCTCTCCTCTAATGGCTTCAGCTCCTCCAGTTGGTTCTCCTCGAAAGGCTTCAGCTCCTTCTACACTTGTTTTTGACACACACAGTCCAATGGCTAAAGCTCATCCTCCTTTAGCTTGTTATGTTCCTCAAATGACTGCAGCTCCTTCTAAAGTTGTTTTTCCTTCTCGTCCTCCAATGGCTAAAGCTCCTTCTCGTCTATCAGTCGGTTTGGGTTCACGTCCTCCAAAGGCTGTAACTCTTATAAGCGGAGGTTCAGGATCGTTTTATTCAGATTTCACAGCTAAGGTCCTAATGGATGAGATTCAAACAGTGGAAGAGTCAGTCACAAAGGAAGAGGGAAAGAAAAGTAAAGATGGACAGGAGGCAAAGTCCAACAGATGCTATGAATCTGATATAAACGTAAAAGTCGCTGGGAACATGCAGAGGGTCAGGCAGCATTTATGGAAAGAGAAAAATAGGTTTGACTTTCAATTAGAACAAGAACAGGAAATGAGCGGGAGAGTAAATGAGAGATTGAATGTACTAGCGGAAACTGAAACTCTTGTTTCCCCCCAAAATGATGATATAGTGCTTCAGAGTTCCTCTAATGTAAAAAGACTTGATCCTGTGGCTTTAAGGAAACATAAATATCCACATCTTTCTATGGTGTCTACTAAGGAAGATGTCTTTTCGAATCGTGTTTTACCCTTGATGCACAGGAGTTCACTACGTTGTGGAATAAGGCAATCTAAAGATTTTAAATTCAGGTAAATGTAATATGCATTTTTATTATTTGTATCTATTTGTACTAATTAGGACTGGCCCTATTATGAAAACAGTGTAGATAAGGTCATATGTAATACAATGTACAGCACTAACCAAAATCTGCTTCCTTCAGGAGTTATACTGTCATATACATATAGTATATATAGAGTCAGCCCTCCTCTTTGATCGCATCGCCTTATCACATCTTCGGGACATCTCAAAGCGATTCACAGAATATACTGTAAGTGAATTGACTGTAAATTTGTGAGCAAAATGCTGCAGCTAATTTGCACAGCAGTGTCCCACAAACAGTTGTGGATTGAAGTGACCAATTATTTTTTGAAGGAATTATTACCTCCGGAAAAGCGATCCGCCAATCGACTAACAACCGGGTTCCTACTTACTGTTAGGTAAACGGAGGCGTGTGGAGTAAAGGAATTTGCCTAACATTTTGCCCTGTGGGTAATCGAACCCAGGTATCTCGCTCGTGAGGCAAATGCTCTAACTACTGAGCTACAGGACTCAACAACAACAAGATTCCATTTATAAAGCGCCTCACGTCAGGAGGACGTCCCAAGGCGCTGCACAGTTGGGTCATGACCCGAGCAGGGGGGAAATGGTCAGGGTGAGGGGAGGGAAGGGAGGGAACGAGGAGAGGGGAAATGGTCAGGGTGAGGGGAGGGAAGGGAGGGAGCGAGGAGGGGGAAGAGAGTCGAGAGGGGAGCTGAAGGCACGGTCAAAGAGAAAGGTTTTGAGACCGGCCTTGAAGGAGGAAAGGTACTACACTACTACACAAACACTATACTTAACAGGTTATTCCGTGAAGAGCTTTGAGACATCTTGACGACAACATAATAAGGCTCGATATCAAATGCAAGGATTATTATTATCATAATAGTTAGAGCCACTGGTGGTCACATTGAAGGAGGCTGTGTGCCCATACTCTTGGTTCCAAGCTTCAGAGGATTGTAGTCCCTGTCACCCCTTCCATTAAAGTATATACTTTGTGGAGTCTCGTAGCTCAGTTGTTGGAGCTCTCGCCTCGCAAACTAGAGACCTGGGCAGGATGAAATGTTGGACAAGTTTCCTTACTTGAGGCGTCTTGAGATGTTTCAAAGATGTGATAAAGCACTATATCAAATGCAAGGATTATTATTATTTATTATACACATGATGACCAAAACATCTTATTTTTCAGCTACCCTATTATCTTAAAAAAAAATTCTTTAAAACTTATTAGACATTCAAATGGTATCACAACTTTTTGGTCACCCTGTGCAAAGAAAATAAATTTATTGTATATAGTAATAAACAGAAACAATCTGATGTACTATGATCATTTCTTATTGTCTTGTTAGTAAATGAGATTTTAAAAAATGTGTTGCACTCCCTGCATTCTATATTTTTCCCTACCTTAGATACCAGAGATGATAATATTCAAGAGACCTTGTTGAATAAATTAGATACAACTTGAAATTGTTTATTTGAAACCTGCAGTGCTAAGTTATATGACATTTTCTTTCCCCATTCCCCACTCATGTGAAGGTAGAAACACCAAATTGACTGTAATGTTTCTTAACTATTGTTTTTGTAACTGGTTTGTAAATGTTGATAGAAACTGATTTACATGCTGATAATGTCTTGCAGGGGACATACAAGGTTGGAAAAGGAAAATGCAGAGAACATGTTAAGAAGCAAAAACTGTACACTACCTTGGAAGCTGCTCTTTGGACATCAGAATGAGGTCATTCTTTCTCATACTTTGTGGTTGAACATTGCTAAGTTATTCTGTTTTTACTTCTCCCCTCTGCCAGCAACCTTGCTTGCAACAAATTGTACTCCTATCAAAGCTGTCCTTGCCAGGCTCAATTTCCCTAACTTCAAGTTCCTCAACTATAAATGCCTTCATACCCTAGTACCTCTAACTTTATGATCTTTGTTTAACCCTTCACTTGGCTCCCTTGGGCTTGTTATGTGTTGCACACCACCATCAATGGCCAAGCCTTCAGCTACTACCTCCTGACCTCTGGAACACTCCCTCCATTTTGCCCTGTCTTTAAATCATGCCTATGAGGGTTTCTTTAGTAATCTCCCTTTGCCCCATCCTTTCTTCAGCAACTGACCTCGTCACTGTGAAGTGCTCTAACATATTGTCCAACATGAAGAGGACTATTTAAAGAGGGCAAGTTGTTTCTTTAGTTACATATGACCTGCATACAACCTACTAACTAATAATTTCATCCTACAGCATGTTAACCACTGTATGCTAATGAAATAATAGTTTCCACTGAGATTCTGACTGTAATCAGTGTAGAGTTCTGTAGCTCAGTGGTTAGAGCACTCGCCTTGCAAGCGAGACACCTGGGTTCAATTCCAGGCAGGGCGAAACCTTGGGCAAGTTTCCTTACTCCACATGTCTAATAATAATCCCTCCAAAAAAAAAAAACAATAATAAATTGGTCATTTTCAATCCACGACTGTTTGTGGGACACTGCTGTGCGCAACTGGCTGCCGCGTTTCGCCCACAAATATACGGTCAATTCACTTTACAGTATTCTGTGAAGCCCTTTGAGATGTCAAGAAGACGTGAAAAGCGTTATATCAAATGCAAGAATTATTATTATATTACAATCCTCAGGATTTAGATAAATACTAGAGCACTTCATTAAATCCTCTTGGAATGTTTTACAACCTTGGTGCTTGACTAAACGCAACTGTTCACTTCTATTGAAAATTAAACTCTTTTCCACTCTAAACATTTGTCCCTAACTACAGCTTATAGGAGTGTAGAAGAGAGGCTTCATTATCGTTCATGATTGTTGCTCATAACTGCTTTCTGTTTCATTGTAGAAGGGATTTTGGCATTTTACATCGGACCTGGGAACCCTGTTGGAAATTAATCTGACATATCTAACTGATTTTCTTGGAAAGAAAGGCATTAATTCACTAGGTAATTACATCCCCATCCTCACCTGGCTCTCCATTCCCCCAGATAGAGTTCAAAAGCCTTGTCCTTGCCTTCAAAAACCCTTCACAGCTCTGCTCCTCTTTACCTGTGACCTGCTAACTCCATATAGACCTGCTTGCTCCCTCCGCTGGGCAGGCTCCGGCCTGCACCATGTCCCCCGCCTGAACCGTCCCATCAGCGTTCGGGCCTTCAGCCTCTCTGCCCCCACCCCTTGGAACTCCATCAAACAGTTCCTTTGCCTCACCTCCTTCAAGGCCCGTCTCAAGATATTCCTTTTCATCCGCGCCTTCAGTCACCCTCCCTGCCCTCCACCATGCCTGATCTCAACCCCCAGCTCAGCTCCAAATCCCTGACTGTAACAAGTGTGATTTGTTGTTTTTGTTGTAGGTAATGTAAATTGTATACATCAGTATAATCAGAAACTGAACTGCAGCGGCTTTCACTGTTGAATGAGTCTCCAAGTTCTCAATTCAACCTTTTTGGTTGGCCAACAAAATAATCATAGAAATAACAATAGCATTTAGAGTTATTCCATAAATCAATAAATATTCAATCAAGAAACATTTAGCACCAAATCTCTCTTCATGTCAACTCCCCCTTCGTTAGCCTCCCACATTACTTCCTTAGTGTCAATCTTCTTTTGTATCACTCCTTTTGAGTGTTATTGCACGTTGTATTACAGAATGGTGGAGATTAAGGGATAGGAGGAGCCATACCTCCCGGAATGAGCCATTTAGCTATTGAGTCTTAGCTGGTATGAGATCAGATGCAGATATACATCACATCGCTTAGCGTGGACCAAAGATGCATACTGTATGAGAAAGGGGAGATAAAGGGATCAGGATCACTGCTGAATCCAGGTCTTTCAATGAAGAACAAGGGATCACTGCTGAATCCCAGCTTTGGTAACATCCAGTGAGTTGTGAATAGAAGCCCATAATAAACAAGCAGCAAGTCTGCTGAGATGAGGAGGTGGGCTCCACAAATGAGGAGGTGGGCTCCAAGTATTCCCAGGCTGTATATCTACTATTGAGTACAACTAAATGGAATATGTGAAATACAAAATATCTGAAGGTGTGTCATTTTTAGCTGCCATTCCACAACTTCAGCCAACCACCTAAATGTAGCTGAAGTAGAGAAAAATGGGGCTGTTCTCAAACATGCCTCTTGGCAATAGACTGAGAGCACAACTACTCCACCCTTTCAGGATAACACAGAAAACGCTTCATATGGCCCAAGAGGAACTGCAAGGGATGATAAAAGAATAATCTAAGGAGAGAATAACTGTGGGTCCCAAAGGTTGTGGTCACTTCTTGAACACATATGTTTTAGGTGCAGAAGTGCTACTGATTTCACCTCCTTTGCAAAGTGACCTCAGCAACATTTCCCACACGGGTGTACAACATGCAGGAAGTATCAACAGCGACCTGACAATCCCGATGTTAGCCATATTTTTTAATGTGGGATACAGCTAGTAGTGCCAGAAGTTGGGAATGCCATGCTTCCTGTATAAGCGCAGGTCCATAGCAGAACTCGCTAAGCCAACTGTGCTCTAGCAGGGGCTGCCTTGGAGTTAGAGAAAAACTGCACTGAAGTGGTAGATGATGTTTCTGTTTGAAGAACTTTGAAATTGCGAAGAAGTAAACACTGATTAGTATTTTTCCTTTGAAAGGTCACCGAGCAGCTGAAGAGATTGTATCGTTGATCATCACACTCCTGATCCTGCAGTTGGTTCGTTACACACAGCAGTTAAAAGGGATTAAACTGAAATCTCTCTTTAGACTGGAAGAGTCATTGGATTGTGGGTCTGTACAACTTTGGGATTTTTTATTATTTACAGCATCAATAATACTGTGTGGAATTCTAAAATTAATGGTCAGCAGGATTTGGGTGAGGATAATTTTGAAATAAGTCATATTTAATAATGGTATAGGATTAATTGACTCTTCATAACATTTTTGCCCACAAAATATACAGTTAATCCACTTTACAGTATATTCTGTGAAGCGCTTTGAGACATCTCGAAGTGATAAGTACTGTATCAAATGCAAGGATTATTATTATTTTGAATCAATTTAACATTTAAATTTATTGATAGAAGGTAGGAATATCAGCAGTTTGTATTTTACAATTATGGGGTATTTGCATAAATTTTAGGATTGCATATTCCAAATTCATACTTGTTTAATTATTTCCATAATGGTGAATATTGTCATTTGAACTGGCTTTCCTAGTAAGTTGTGTGAAATAGATCATGCCTGTGATTCTTCAGAGGAGAAATTCTCACATTTAATCCACCATTCAGGCTTCCTCAAATTGAGGGAATATTGGAGGACCCGTTACTTTCCCATTCCCTGTATCCTGGCATGCTTCTATTTACATCAATGGGAACAGGTGCCTTAGACCACCCCAAGGGCCAATCCAGCGCCGCTTGATCCTGTAAAATAACTTTATTCAATGAGAATGCAGCAATATGCAATTGGTAACTGTTTTCCTTGGTCAGGAGTTCTTTTATCAGTGCAATGACATATACAGTTCTTCCCTACCAAGTAGACCCAAAGGTTGACAACATTTTCATAGTAGTTAAAATATATTATCTATAATATTTCCTGATAGCCCTGGGGGAAGCTCTTTGAACAGAAAATATTTCATCTTCTGCATTCTGCACCATCATAATGGGGTACGTTTTTTTTCTATTTTCAGAAAATGGGTTTTCAATTTCATTTTCATTCAATATATTTCATTTTTGGGTTATGCAGGCCTCCCCACTGGGCACTAGACTCTGTCAAGAAAGCTATAGTATGGGCAAGAGCCACAGAAAGACAGTACCCAGGAATCTACAGTCGTCTGGAGCTCGGAAGAGACTGGGAGTCAGCTACTCGTCAGCTGCTTCAGATTGACCCACTCAAACTGGGCTCACCGCTTCAACAGATACTTAAAAAAAGATAAATTAACAGAATTAAAAAAATGAAGATACTGTTTTAAAAATACAGTGGAAGCCAGATGCATCTTAAGCCTGTATATGAGGTTAACCAAATTAACTCCTTCCTCCCATTGCCGTTCCCATAGGATGGGAAGGAGATCAATTAGCTATAGCTCCGTGGTGAATGACTGCTTGGAGCCGCTTGTGAATGGCCGGAGTCCATTGTCAATTAATCGCAATTGACTCCTCCCATCTCCATGCTGGAGTCGCTCACGGCGAGTGAATTGACCCGGATGTCATTTTATCCGGTTTAACTGATCTTTGTTCAAATTAACCAGTATATTTAAAATGGATAAGAATACAAATGAATTTACCCAGCGTCTGGGGTTAACCAGTGTCCAGCTAAAGCGGCTTCCACTGTATTGTAAATAGGCTATTCATTATATTTCTTGGATGAGTGCAAACTTCCTGCAGCTGAATGTGGACAAGACGGAAGCCATATTCCTTGGCTTCGGTCAACGTCTTCACTCCTGCCTCCGCTTGACTGGCACCGGCCTCCTGTTCGTCCTTGCACCCACTGCCCCACCATCGGAGGTCACGCTTTCAGCCACTACGCCTCGAAACTCTGGAACGCTCTCTCCCTCAATGCCACCACCTTACCCCCTCTCCCTTTTCAAGGTCCACATGAAAACCTTCCTCTTCGACCGTGCTTATGGTCACCTCCCCCCACTCGAGTCAGGCTCCGCCACTGTTAAGTGCTCTGAGACACTGCCCTGCATGGAGAGCACTATATACATGCAAGTTTGTATTTCTCCGTTCTCCTCAATGTCCTACCGGCTTGGACTCAGAGACGTCCTTCCAACATGGGTGGCACTAAATAAATGTAAATTGTTGTTATTCTGAACAATGGATCTTTTAGCTATAAGATTCCAGTTCAACACAATTTGCACTTGTATAGTGCACTTCATGTAGAGAGGATATCTCAAAGCATAGGAAGCTTGAGGGCTAAGGGGCTTTGAGAGATTGAGAGAAAATATCTTGCAGACAGGGATGAGTCATGACTTAGCAAGTTAGGGCTCTTCGGTCTTGAAATTAGATTTCTCAGAAGGCACTTTTTAGAGATTTTTAACTTTTAAATGGAATTGAGAAAGCAAACCCAGAGCAATATGTTCAGTTGCACACTGTGGAACAAGAGAATTAAGGATTAGAATTACAAAGGGCATTTCAGGACACACACCAAGATAACTAGTGAATAGTATTCTCACCTCTGAGCCAGAAGGTTGTAGATTCAAGGTCCACGTTTGGAATTTGAAATCACAGTCTCGTCTGCGACTCCAATATAGTGCTGGTGTACAAAGTACAGTAAACTCTTGATAAGTCATCCCTGGCTTAACTTGTCACTACCACTTAAGTCATCATGCTGTCACTATCCTGGCCACATTTATTTATGTATTTATACATAAATATAAAAGCATGGAGTCCTGTAGCTTAGTGGTTAGAGCACTCACCTTGCAAGCAAGAGGACCTGGGTTTGATTCCCAGCAGGGCAAAACATTGGGCAAATTTCCTTGCTCCACATGCTTGTTTACTAAGCAGTAAGAAGGAACCTGGTTGTTAGTCGATTGGCGGATCGCTTTTCCGGGGGTAATAATTCTTTCAAAAAAATATGGTCACTCGATCCAGGATTGTTTGTGGGACACTGCTGTACTCAATTGGCTACCATGTTTCACCCACAAAATATAGTCAATTCACTTTACAGTATATTCTGTGAAGCGCTTTGAGATGTCTCGAAGACGTGATAAGGCTCTACATCGAATGCAGGGATTATATGCCTAATTCACCACTCAGGATAACTCATCATTGAGCCTTTTCCCCTTGGAGTGAAGGGGATTCAAAATGTCTAAATCCCTCAACAGTGTAAATTGATGCAATTTGTTTGTGATTTGATGTTTCGTCTCTGGGTCTGAGATTATTAGGCAGATACTTTTGCAGTTGAAAGTAGAATGACTTATACAAAGAATCCAACATTCCTTATTCGACTACAGTATCTTCCTCAGCATCCCTATCCTATTCTTTTGTCTAGCTACAACATGAACTTTGTCCACTTGCTTTACAGAGAACCTAGACAGAGAGCAGATATCATTGGATCAGAATTTCCAATATTTAATACTTGGATTCATAAATTGACTCCTGCGGTAACCCATGGTGCATCATGCTAACTCACGAGATCTTTGCTGGGAGCAGAGTTCCAGGTTGTTGGGATGCATTTTTGATTATAGGCAAGAGTTGTTATTCAGTGATTCCAAATTGTGACTATTATAATTTTTAATCCTACTAGTTTCTAATCCACCTCGGTTCAGTTTCATTCAAACCACTTGTCTGAAGCACCCTGGAGAAATTGTTCTTGGCATAAGAATGATGCAACATGGGAATATATATGCTATTGCTAAGCTTTGCTAGTATGAAACATATATTTGTAATCATTTTAATATTAATGACCATTTTACTCTGTTAAATTGATTATTTTGCTGTTTTATGCATTTGCTTACAATGGTAGTTACTTAAATACTATATATGTTTAAATGAAAATCTATTGAGAACCTTTGTAACCTTGATGGAACTGAATAGTGTCTATTTTTCCTTTATCCAATCTCCTTTTGTAGTTATGGAGAAAAGAGATGTGAGAATAGAGAAGCTTTGGCATGCAGAATTGGGAATGCGTTGGAGTAGTCTCAAACGTTGAGAAACAGACTGTAGTAGCAGAGAGGGTAACCAATGAGTTGTTTGAAATCTAACTTCTCTTAAGTAGAGTATAGCATGGGTTGATGGTCAAGCACAGCATTTGACATGTTTGTTTAGGATGCAAGTATTGATCACTAGCTAGCCTAATGTTGAAGCAACTTCTAGAAGGAAGAAGACAATAAAGGAATAAAGACACTCTTTTCTGGATTGGTAAATATGTTTTTCAGCATGTGCACATTGCCTTGGGACGTCCTTCCGACGTGAAAGGTGCTATACAAATGTAATCTTGATATATGAAGGTTTCTGTAATAACACAGGTTATTGAAGAGCACTTATCTCTGTGAGCTTTCTTAGCTCGGTGTTTGAAACCTAAAAATTATGAATTAGTTTTAGTTAAAATAAATATAATACAGGATTGACCCATTGCAGTCAATATGTCCTATATGTGCAAATCCAACTTTCCTTCCTCACATCATCTGAGACGAGAACTTCCTTTTATTCCCCGTCCTAGCCTAGTCATGTTTCCTGCAACATTTGCGTCCTTATCCTTACCTATCTACGCACATGGATAAACTCTGCCCACTTCTTTTATAGAGCATAGAAATAAATGCCATTGAGTTACATAAGGGTATTTGCTGCATGTGTTTTCTTAGTTTCTATAGGTTTACTATGCAAATTCCTCCCTAATTTGCGTGGCTAGAGGAAAGGCTGAAACTATGTTTGTAAAGAGTAGGACCTCTTGTAATTCCAAGACTATCTGTAGTCATTTCCAAATTTTCAATAAAATGTACCTAATTTGCCCAGTACTATAGTGGCATAAGTCCTGGTGGAAGAAATTTTGATTGAATTATGACAAGACATTGCATTGTATTTTGTTTGATGAAATGATAGTGTGGATGATATCATGGTCTCTCCTCTCTGCACAGTTAAGAACAGTTAACTCGATCCAGATTGGAGATTGAATCTGCTAAGTTTGTAGCTTTTATGGCAAATCTTTAGCATCCATCAAGCATACACAACTCAAATAGTTCTATTTTTGTTATTTTAACTTTTACGTATCTAAATAAATGGGCAATGGTAATATGTACTTTATTTCAATGAGAAGTCAACCAAGTACCACCAAAGCAGTATTTTGTTCCAATAGAAATCACATTTTTCATGACATTCAATAAAAGAAAATTAGATAACATTTATTTTGATTTAATGTAAAAAATGTGAACAAAATTCTCCAGTTCTTCAGTTGTTGTGCTCCTTATAACTGCACCCACCCTCCGAAAATCTCAGTAAGTTCCTACAGTATGCTCGTTTTTTGGCCATTACAGTATTTTCAAAATGTTTTAAGTTATACCCAGGGAATATTGTGTAAATTAATTCACAATGTTGCATTTGAACAATCTTGGTCAAATATGTTTTTCACACCAAAAATTGTTCTAATTGGACACATGAACCATTGTAATAGAAAATCTTCTGACTTGCTTCCACCCTCCCCTTGTTCAAGGTATGATTTAAAACATAGCTCTTTGATTGTGCTTTCGCGGTCATCTTTACCCTCTCCTCCCCACCACTTTCTTTGCTCCCATCCCCAGCTGACGTGCACATCAGCTCTGTCAAGCGCTTTAAGATGCCTCTCAACGTGAAAGACATTATATAAATGTAAATTGTGTTGTGATATCTGGGTATTCCACTTTATCTTAATTCCAGTCATTGTTTTTTGTCGAAGGCATTTACTTATCAGAAGGTAAAATTAGTGAACAGGTGAAGGAGAGGTGAATGTCTCACTAAATGGGGAATTTGGCAGGTTGGTGTATTGGGTCTTTAAAAATCATACAATATTAAAACATTACAGGAAGACCCATTATCTTGTGGGAAAGGATGGCTCAGTTCATAGCAATCTTACTTCTGAGTATTATCATCATTTTCTCCTCTCCCCTCCAAAGAGAATCCTTCAAACAAGCCACTTGATCACAAGACCCATCTTGAATTCTAATTGATTAAATTAATAATTATAATTAATTAATACATAATTGGAGTCGAGGTACAGATCAGCCATAATTAATAGAATGGCAGAACAGGTTGGAGGGGCTGAATGGCCTACTCCCCACATTTTTTGAGAAATACAAAATCTAGTTTAAATGTGCTCCGACTTGAAACGATAATAACGAATGCTCGCACACGGCGGGATGCAAAATGGAAAGCCTTTCCTGCCAGGGATCATTTGAGACATTTCTGTGGAGCAGTCAAAAATGGGAAGAGAGGGGGGAATAATGGAGTCGATAGAGAGGGGGGGAAAAAAACCGGACCTCAAAACCTCCGCTCCGTAACATGGGAGAGCGTTTTGAAGCCCTGGTGGAAATGGAGGGTTTCTCTGCTGCTGTTCCACAGCAAGTCAGAAAATACACGGCTGCAAATGGAGTTGGGGGATCACGGAGGCCAGGAATTAAATGATGTCCTGTAGCACAAAGCCGACCAAACACGAGCCCAAACGTAGCCCAATGTTACGCGTTGCCTTCCCACGGGGCAGCAGCGGCCGATTTAGAGGAACGTTTTTGAAACTGTTAAAAGAAAAGGTCTTGAAAAGGGAGGGGGCGCGGCGCGGGGGGGGTGGGGGAGTTCTGCAGGTTTAAATTAAAATATTTTTTAAAAAATTAAAAGACACGCACGCAAACCACAAACCCGCCCAAATTGGGCGCGAACCCGCCCGATCCGGCCACATTGCCCGCTCGGGAGCTGGAACGCAGCCCCGGGGCCCGGGTCGACTCGCAGCTCGAGCTGAACAGTCCGCGCGGGGTCACGCGCGGGTCACAACTGCCGTTGAGTTTGTGTGTGGGGAAGGGGGTAAAACCATCAAATCACCCCCTTTCTCGCCCCTTTCCCGGGACAAGTGCAGGCCAAGTAACACAGGGCCAGCTCCTCCTCCTCCTCCTCGCGCTGATTAAATCTGCTCCTTCCACGGAGAGCTCGTAGACAGTCAGTCACAGACAGACAGCGCGCGGGGAGGAGGGGTAAGGCGCCCGTCATGGCGTCGCAGCCTCCCTCGCAAGGTAACGGCTTTAATAATTAACGGTTATTAACGGACCTAGTTGATGGCGTGTCCTGTTGTTCGAAACTTTTCGCTATCGTTAATTTTTTTTAAAAAAATGTGCACTCTTATTGCGTCCCACCGAAGTACAGACATAAGTACTGATCCACCTCCTCGCAAATTTTCCAGTCACCCGATCCCCTCACCTGACAAACCCGAGCGAGACTCAAACCTTCTCAACCGCCGCCAAAAGGGCGGCTTCAACCGCGCCCTTTGATCGGTTGGTCCTCTTGTCAATCACAGACACTCTGGGGCGTGATTGGCTACGGGTTATGTCAACCTCACTCAGCCACCGCCCTAACCGCCTCCCAGTGGCAGTTGGATTTCCATTGGAGGACAAGGGTGGGCGGGCGGGGGCGGGGACTGGCGCTGACGCCGGAAAGTGTCAATCATCACGGGGTGGGTGGGGGGGGGAGGCCGCTCGCTAATTGGTCCAGAGGGTGCGTTGCGGGACATAAAGTAGGTACCGCCCACATTTCCGCCCCGCCCCCTCCTCGCCTGTTCTGGAGATTTCTATATAATACAGCAGTGGCTGAGCTCCCGGTCGGGCAGTGATTAGTGGGTGCGAGCGAGTTGGCCACTGGGACAACAGCGCCAACAATCATGGCGGCGGTGACTGAGGACAAGTCGGAGCAGGAAAGCGAAGCAGAGGAAGACGTGTACGAAGTGGAAAGGATCGTGGACATGAAGGTTTCCGAGGTGAGGATGAGGAGAGACAGACAGACGGACGGACGGACGGAGCTGTGTGTTTGTTTCCCTCCCCCGCTGGAGGTCGCAATGTTGTTTTTCAAAAAAAAATGGGGTGGGGGGAGAGGAGGAAAAGAGGAGGTGAAGCCGAACCAACGAATGGCGAGGAGGGAGCGAGGCGAGTTGTTTGTGTAATGAGGCCCTCAGCCTCGGCTCTGCTCTCGTCTCTCCCCCCCCACACCACCCCAACACACACACACCTCCACCTCTTTTCGGTTTACACGGGCAAGAAGTCATCTTGAGGGAAGACATTCACCTGAGGTGCGCGCAAAAAAAAATATATACTCCTCCCCCAACTCCCAGGAAAAGATGGTTGGCGTTTTCTCATTTAGTATTCTTATGACAGGAAAAATAATCTGTGATCTTCTCGCTGCACCGAACCTGGAGAATTAGACCTCATGTGGCGATCGATAAAGAAATGAATCGATAAGTAAATCAGTGCACGAGTGATAAATCAGAAGCTATCTGGCTAACCGTCACTTTGGGCAGGGCCACTTTGCTCATGTCTTTTGGTTTGCGTACGTGCGTTTTGGCAAACGACCACTACGACTGCATAAATACATTTTGGTTGACGAAGCCAACGTGCTTTTTATTCCAAATGCATGTCGTTAGGTTACATTTGGGGTTTCGAAATGGAAGCTGCTTAAAATAGGCTTTCTAATAATGGATCCCTGATTATTAACTATTGTTAACTCCTCCTGAAGGAAGGCGGTGCCTCATGCTGGGATACAGTGATGTGTGTGTGTGTGTTTACTGGCAGCCCTTTACTGTCTCGCTCAAGTGCTCATTCTTCATACTTGACAGTGAGCGACCGCGCTATTAGATTATAATAATAATAATCCTTGCATTTGATGTAGCGCTTTTCACATCTTCTCGACGTCTCAAAGCGCTTCACAGAATAGACTGTAAAGTGAATTGACCGTATATTTGTGGGCGAAACGCGGCAGCCAATTGCACGCAGCAGTGTCCCACAAACAGTCGTGGATTGAAAATGATCAATTTATTATTGTTTTTGGTTTTGGAGGGATTATTATCAGGCGTGTGGAGTAAGGAAACTTGCCCAAGGTTTCGCCCTGCCTGGAATTGAACCCAGGTGTCTCGCTTGCAAGGCGAGTGCTCTAACCACTGAGCTACAGGACTCCACAAGATTGGGGGTGGAGGTTGGATAACAGCCAAATCCAGAATTTGAGAATGCTAAAATCAGTGTTACCACTCCCTGCCTCAATACACGTGGAGACTAAAGCTGAGAAATTTCGTGGTCTGCATAGTTCACAAAACCATATAGTAAATTTGCTCAGTCATTGGGCTGCCCTGATTACTTGTGAATGTTGTATATTAAACGTTAGGTGCTACTGTGTTTTGTTGATGAATTTAAACGTATGTTATGAATTTGACTATGCAAAAAAAAACAGCAGTGTAGAATTCTAGCAGTATTTTTGAATAATTTGAGAAACTATTTCCAGTCTTGCTCCCAGTTCAGGAAAATGTGCAGAAACGCAGATAGAAAGAAGACAATTAAATTGGCTTGTTTTAGTTCTGGTGTTGAAGCTGGGTTCAAGATATGATAGATTAACTAGATGAGTTAGGTGACATAATGTATTGTGTATGAGAAGTTTGATGCCAAAGAATGTTGCAGCCCATAACATTTTAGTTTTATATTTCACAAAGAATGGTGAAATACTTGGTAATTGGCCATTTTAAGAACCACCTGAAGAGATTTAAGATTCCATCAAATCTGTTCCTTAAACAATATGTGGACATCTACTGTACCATTGGCTTCTTATGCCCTTTCTGTTCATTCTTAGCTGCTTTATATGGAACACAGTTTCATTGAGCATCAGTGTTTTATAATTCCATAAAATAGGAAAATACAATAGTTTTTCATTTATATCTGGAAATTATTTTTGTTTAGTCCCTCAGTTGCATTACTTTTAATTTTGTGACTAATCAAAACAAAATCAGTTTCCTTCTCTTTATGTCATGTAGGCCATTTACCATGCCTACATCCCAGGCAAACTCATGTAACTGGCCTTGGGCTCCATAAGGTTTTTGGTTAGAATCTAAAGGATGCATTCAACCCTTCACTATATCACTATACAATAAAATCTGTAGCTTGTTCTTGGGGTGTGGGAGGAATGCTCTTGGAGCTGAGCTAGCTGTACTACAACAAAATTACATTTGTAATTTCACGTCGGGAGGACGTCCCAAGGCACTGGACAGTCAGTGTTTCAGACCCGGGACGGGTGGAGGGCATGGTTGAAAAGGAGGGTCTTGAGAGGGGTCTGGAAAGAAGCAAGGGAGGGGGCAAGGCGGAGGGATCTTGCACTGTATCCTCTGTGATAGGAAGCCAGGACAGTCGGGCGAGAGTAGGGGTGTTAGGGTTGCAGAGCCTGGTGTGGTAGAGGACAAGGGTTGCAGAGTTCTGGATGATCTGCAGCCTATGGAGGGAGTAGTTAGGGAGGCTGACAAGCAGTGAGTTTGCAAAGTTGAGCCTGGATGTTATGAATGCGTTTATGAGGGTCTCGACGGCCTGCAGTGTGAGACACTGGCGGAGCCGAGTGATGTTGCGGAGGTGGGGAAAGGCAGAGGAGTTCATGCCACGGATGTGGGGTATGCAGGACAGTTGAGGGACGAACAGGCTGCTGAGATTCCGTATTGGTCCATGAAATGTAGAGTGCATCCACGGAGGGAGATGCTGTCTACGATAAAATAGCTGGAAAAGTCGGGCTGACTTTGCAGTGCAGACATGTCCTCAATCCTGTTCGACAAAGCTCTGATGAGTTGCGAGTTTTCAGTTACATGCATTGTGTATTACAATATGGTTGTTGGCAGCATTCTGCCTCTGGGTCAGAAGGCTGTAGATTAAAGCTCAGTTAGAACTTTGAGCCCAAGGCCAAAACTGACCCTCAGATAGAAATTAAGATTTTGTAACATTCAAAAGGGAGAGTGTTTCTCAGTTAATTAGGAAACCGTCTTTCCAGATAAGTTAGTTATTCACTTCATGGTTGCCTATGGGTTATGGTGTGCAATTTGCCTATAGCCCAATTTTTTGTAAAAAAAAAAGAGACATTTCAATACTATAACCTAACTGTAGGGTTTATTATATCACAAGCAGTTTTTAAAATGAAGGTTATAATATTTACTCTTGAGATCAGAATGTTAATAACAGTGCCAGCCAGAAGTTTAACCATTTCAATCTTTTTTCTTTGGGATGCATGATCTTTAACATTTGAATTCTAATCTTTGAAAATTGTGGCAGTTGACATCTTTTTAAAAATGGATGATGATCCTTACATTTGGTGTAGTATCTTTCACATTGTGAGGACATCTCAAAGCATTTCACATGATTTACTATAAAGTGGAGTGACTTTCTTGTGAGCAGACGTGGCAGCTAATTTGTGCAAAATTCCACGTTATATCCCATGACATTATTCAAAAAGAAAAGGAATGTGTCATTGTGCCCTGGCAAACAATCCTCCAGATTGACTCCAAATGTTCGCTTACACTTTACACTGGACAGTAAATCCTATGAGCTACTTCGTGACGCCCTAAGATGTGATAAGGATTCTTATAATTAGATTGAATGACCAATTTTGTATCGACAGAATTGTGATCCAGTAGACCGTGAGAAACTCCCTACTCGTGGACTCATCGAGTCCTGTAGCGTTTTGGTTAGAGCGCTCGCCTTGCAAGCGAGAGGACCTGGGTTCAGTTCCATTGCAGGGCGAAACCTTCAGCAAGTTTCCTTACTCTATACACCTCTGTTTACTTAGTAGTAAATAGGGACTCTGTTGTTAGTTGATTGGCGGATCGCTTTCAAAAATAACCCCTGGTCACTTAATCCATGACTGTTTGTGGGACACTGCTGTGTGCAATTGGCTGCCACGTTTCACTCACAATATATATAAGCAATTCACTTTACAGTAGCATATAGCACGAGTAGCCCTGACCAAGGATGAGTGAGAGGGAAAAAAGAACTTTGTTAAAAGGTGCATTTTTTTCAATGGGAGACTGGAAGAAAAGGTGTTTTGGAGCGCTTAACAGTGATGGAGCCTGGCGCTGAGCTGGAGTAGAGGGAAAGGGAAGGTCTTCAGGTGCGATCTAAAAGGACGGCGGCAAGACGGAGATTTGAGAGAGAGAGTTCCAAAGCTTCGGGGCACCTGCAGGAGGCTTTTATTTTTTTTACACAACACTATCATTTATTTTTATCCAACTGTATTTTGTTCACTTTGTAAACCTCTTCGCTCTCCCCCCTCCCATACTTGTTACTGCAAGTTTTTTTTAAATGTTTTCGTTCATCCTTTGGAAACAGTCAGCAGTGCAGAAAGTAATAATCCAACTCCTGACTATCAACGTTGAAGTGGGAGTTACCGATACTCCTTTACTGCTTGGATAAATAATCATTTGTTCCAGAGCAGTTTTCAATTTCTGTACAATTCTGACCCTCAATGTTTCCTAAAGCCAGCAGCAAAGAGTTGGATGGCAGCATCCCACCTCACTGGTGCATTGTGTTGGGCCAGGTTTGATGTGCTTAATGATCTTAGTGACAACTGTTTATAGTAACTATGAAAACACTTGAGACCAAACATGCACAAAATAGTTTCATGGTGGTATGCGCTTGAAGGGATATAGTTGAAATCCGAAGTGTATTTCAAATACATCTGTATTTGGCATCCTTGGAGCTTTCCAGTTAATGTGGATTTGATGACTTTATTATACAGTTGAATAACTGGGAATATTAATAGGTATGAGGAGTCGGAGAGTGGCATGAGATTAGATGGTTCATCTGGAGAGGAAAAGAAAACAGCAGCACAGATAGTTTGAGTAGTTACATTTTGTGCAATTGCAGTAAAATTATACTGCTTAAGCATGAAGATCAGTAATGGAAGAGCCTCACTGAGATTGAAGAAAATGGGCTGTATGCCATGTAGACTGCTAAGTGGGGGATTGAGTTGACTCCCAAGATTTACTGTTGAGCCCATGACTTAATAGAAGTATAGTATTAGATATTATTTGGAGAGATTTGTGGGAATGATGAGTTGCCTGCAGCACTTATATAATTGGAAATGGGTACCCACCTATATTACATTCCCATGCACATGCCTTGTGATGAAATTGCAGATGTGAACTGTATTTGTAACTCAGTCACCTGTAATAGCCTATACTGCATATGTATCATTGCTTTTGAAGTTTGTGCTTGCTTGCACTTAATATACTAGACTGGTGCTGCAATGGCTTTGTCTTGTTCAAATGATTTAGGTGCATTTCTGACCATATCCTATTATCACAGCTACTAGTCACAGGCAATAGAACCTTCTTGCCATTACCATTTGGCTCATTTACAGATATATAATTCAGAATGATATGGTTGTTGTTAGGACAGGTACCTGAGCCATTTCAATTGTCAGATTTTTACACTGGTGAGAATTTCTTTCATCACTGTAAACCATTCTATGGGGTTATTTGCATTTTATGCTCCTCTGTATTTTGCTTGGGAGCCTGTTCAGTAACTTAACATTTCCTTCTCTTAGTCGTAAATGTCTTCATAAATTGCTCTCTTGTGGCCAGCTGAGTGCTGAGGTGATTGTGTACAGTGAGAGCAATCAAGGAAAGCTGAAGTTACAAACAGCCATTTGAACCATAAAGGTGAATCCAAAATACAGTATAATAGGATGTGAAATTCAGCTTTGTGTGGTTTCTGAGTGGGGAGTGATAAATATGAATTAATATGATTTAGATAAACCAGGAGTAATGGCACAGACAAGTAGGAGCAAATGGTCTCCTTCTGTACAAATATTTCTGTTTCTATATTCCTATTCACTGCTGTACTTGGTAATTTATAAGCTGTGGTACAAATGATGATTCTTATTCTATCTACAGGGTCAGATCTTGTACAGAGTGCACTGGAAAGGCTATTCTTCTGATGAAGACACATGGGAGCCAGAGGCTCACCTAGAGGACTGCACTGAAGTGTTGCAAGTTTTTAAACGGAAATCAGTAGAAAAAACAGCTATAAAAGACAATCGGGTGAGTTTTTAGCAGCTTACATTAGCTTTTTACACATGTTAGGGCTGAGGCATTTGTTTTCAAGATGATATCCTTGTTAACTTTTCAAACTAAACATAGTGTGTTTTCTGTTTTTCTTTTGTTATTTATTGCTGGAATCCAGCTCCCTTTTTCTGATGAGGTGCCTGGAGTTGCTGGGTGCCTCTTCAAAGCAATGTTGATAATATTCATTTTTTCACTATTAATTTGTTTCTGGTGGTAACTAGTGTTGTAAAATGGACATTTCCTAATATGATTTTTTTTTTAAAAATTGAGTTGGATCTTCAGTTGGGGATTGCACGTTACTGAAAATCTCAGTGCCAGAGTGAGTCATCCCAGTGATCTTCCATATGTGTATGGACATCTTGATATCGTCAATATGTATGTATAATGATATTAGAATACCTTCTTATGATCTTACCTAGCCAAATAATAGTAGTGGAAATGTGAAAGCTGGGAGCCTGTTCCCACCCACCCCAGTGCATCTGCTGGGCAATACTACCATTATTTGCTAGTGAAGATTACCACTAAAATTTTTTAAATGGCAATCAGTGTATGCATGAACATAATTTTATTGGGATACATGGATCATGACTTCCGCTCAGATCGCATCTCTAGAACTTGTATGAGAGCACTGATTCCACTTCGTACCAGAGCCTCAAGAACTTGGAATTACAACTTAGTTCTGATTCTAGTTTGGTGTAAGTTTGTCTTAGTCTGTAGCACTCTCGAGTGTTGGAGGTGCCCTACTTTGGATGAGATGTTAAGCCGAGGTCCTATCTGTGATTGTTTCGAGTGCATGTTAAAAATCCCGTGTCAGTATTTGAAAAGTGTGAGGAGATTTTCTACCAGTGTCTGAGATTTCTTCTCTGATGAAGGACTCAGTCTCTCAGTTTTTTTCTTCAGTTTCTTTAGATCAGCTGGACTCTTCCCTATATCATCTTCGGAAAGCTCCTTGACGTTTCCTGACCAGGTGTCCCACAGTTCAGTTTCACTGTTTGACCTCTCTATACTTTTCAAAAACCCAGATGAAATTCACTTCATGGCTGCTTATGGGATATTGCTGTGTGCATATTTACTGCCGCATTCACGTACAAAATACAGTCACTACATCCTCCCAACAACAACAACAACAAGATTCCATTTATAAAGCGCCTTTCACGTCAGGAGGACGTCCCAAGGCGCTGCACAGTTGGGTCATGACCCGAGCAGGGGGGAAATGGTCAGGGTGAGGGGAGGGAAGGGAGGGAGCGAGAAGGGGGGAAATGGTCAGGGTGAGGGGAGGGAAGGGAGGGAGCAAGGAGGGGGAAATGGTCAGGGTGAGGGGAGGGAAGGGAGGGAGCGAGGAGGGGGAAGAGAGTCGAGAGGGGAGCTGAAGGCACGGTCAAAGAGAAAGGTTTTGAGACCGGCCTTGAAGGAGGAAAGGGAGGAGGCGGCGAAGGCACTGGGGGATGGAGTTCCAGAGCCTGGGGGCTGAGAGGCTGAAGGCCCGACCACCGATAGTAGGGCGGTTGGGGCGGGGGACGTGGAGCAGACCAGAGCCAGAGGAACGGAGGGTACGGGCAGGTAGGTAGGGGGATAGCAGGTTGGAGAGGTAGGAGGGAGCAAGGCCGTGAATGGCCTTGTAGGTGAGGATGAGGATCTTGAAATCAATCCTCTGGGGGATGGGGAGCCAGTGGAGGCGAGCGAGGGTGGGAGTGATGTGGTCCCGAAGCCTCCCAATGTGAAATCTCAATGTATATCAAATGCAAAGATTATCAAGAATTGCGGTTAAACTCTCTCTTGCATTCATGTGGTGTCCTGTAGCTCAGTGCATTTCGAGCATTCGCCTTGCAGGTGAAAGACCTGGGTTGGATTTCCGGCAGGGGCAAGTTTCCTTACTCCACACGCCTGATAATAATCCCTCAAGAAAAGAAAACAATAATAAATTGATCACTTTAATCCACGTCTATTTGTGGGACACTGCTGAGCTCAATTGGCTGCTGTGTTTCACTCACAAATATACAGTCAATTCACTTTACAATATATTCTGTGAAGCGCTTTGAGACGTCTAGAAGATGTGAAAAGTGCTGTATCAAATGTAAGGAATATTATTATTTTAACTTCCATTAATTATAATAATAATAATCCTTGCATTTGATATAGCGCTTTTCACGTCGAGAGGACGTCCCAAAGCGCTTCACAGAACACACTGTAAAGTGAATTGACTGTATATTTGTGGGCGAACGCAGCAGCCAATTGCGCACAGCAATGTCCCACAAACAGTCGTAGATTGAAAATGACCAATTTTATTATTGTTTTTGGTTTTGAGGGATTATTATTAGGCTTTGTGTGGAGTAAGGAAACTTGCCCAAGGTTTCGCCCTCTGCCTGGAATTGAACTCAGGTCTCTCACTTGCAAAGCGAGTGCTCTAACCACTGAGCTACAGGACTCCACATGAGTTCAATGAATTATGAGTTCAAGATCAATCCTCAGAAGTTGTAAATCTTTGTTTTTTGATTAATGAGTTTTCCAGTGGATATTAATGTCACACCAGTGCCTAATTGTGTTTAATTTTCCAGAAATTTCTATTAGATAAAGATATTTTTGAAGATGATTTTGGTGAAGATGACGGAGGGACGAGAGAATTCTCACCACTGAAAATAAAAAAGAAGAAAAAAATTAGAGCTGAGCTGGACATGAATGTTGATAGTTCTAAAAAGGAACAAAAAATGAAATCCAAGTCGAGGTCAAATAGTGAAACTGAACTGAAGGATACCTCGTCAGGAAATGTCAAGGAGCTTCCTGAAGAAGATATGGGAAAGAAAAAGTGTCTAGCTGATCTCAAGAGACTGAAGAAAAAGACTGAAAGGCTGAGTTCTTCATCAGAGTCGCTCACACATAATGATTTAATGGTTGAAGCGAACCTTGAGGAAGACAAAGAGCAGGAAGTGGATTCTAATGAACCAATATTTGGTGAAAGAAGTGAGAAAGCAGTCAAAAAATTGGCCAGGCCAGACTCTGTTACAGCTCCAAAAAGATCCCTGGATAGCTCAGAGGAAGACGACCTTGAACATAGAGTGAAGAGAAAGAAGAAATTGAGAGTAGATGATGCCAAGCTGGAAATTATGGCACAGAAAAAGAACCAGAAAGATGATCATACAGAGAAGAAAAGCATAAGCAAAGAGAACAGCAGTCAGGGCAAAAAGCACAAAAGTCATGAGAAAAGAAAGGAATCTGTATCTTCTATAAAATCAGATGGATTGGATATCAAAGTACCAAGAAGTCCCAAATCATCCAAAGTTGAAGATAAAGGCAGAAAGTCATTGGATGGTGAAAACAGCACCATTCCAAAATCTGATTTAGGGAAAAATGTAGTGATTAAGAAATTAATGAAAATGCACAATGTGACGACTGATGGTTCTTTAAAGTCTGGTTCTGCAAGTACCGAGCAGGTGTTTCAGGGTTCAGAATTCAGTGTAACCACTTCAGGGCAAACTTCTCTATTTACTGAGTCCAGCAGTCTCTTTGACAAGTTAAGTCTGGTCTCTGAACCTAACAAAGGAGAAAATGTGAAGCTGGCTGACAGACCAAATTACTCAGCAACAAATACTGATGGGAAACTGGAAGTGATTAAAATCTCAGCTCAGGTAAGAAAATATGTTTGATTTGCAAATTTCATGGTTGGGTCAGTGGATTGAATAAAACTAACAGAAATACTGTTTGCTGTTAACTTTCAAAGGTACTTCAGGTTAAAAGCTAAGAAAAAGGTGTTGTACTTGCGCAAACCTACTTTACATACATAATTGGATTCATGGTTCCTTATTGCTTAACTGCACTATACTGCACAGTGTACATAAATATATATAAAAATAAATTTATTATTTTTATATAGTGTATGTGGAAAAAAAAGCTACCAGGAACCAGAAAGTACCAGTCTTGTGACTTGCTCTATGCTAAGTTTCTGTTCTTAGCCAAGATGACAATAGAGGACCAAATAGTGACCAATAAAATTATCATTGCATGGATAAGCACTTTATCATGTCGTTGCGACATCTCAAAGCACTTCACAGGATTTTGTGTTAAGTGTAGTGACTGCATTTGTAGGTGAACATTGGGAGGAACTCCCTTCTCTTCTGAAAAGTGCCATGGAATCTTTAATGTCCACCCGAACAGACAGACTGGGTATTGGACTTCCAACAACGCAGCACACCTCCAGCACTGCAATGGAGGGTCAGCCTATATTATAATATAGTAGTTATTATATATAATATAATATTATTATAATAATCCTATTAATAATCTTTGCATTTGATATAGTGCCTCATCACATCTTCGAGCTGTCTCAAAGCACTTCACTGAATATACTGTAATGTGATTTGACTGTATATTTTGTGGGTAAAACGCAGAAGCCAATTGCGCACAGCAGTGTCCCACAAACAGTCATGGATTGAAGTGACCAATTTATTATTTTTGATTTTTTTGAAGGGATTTTTACCCCCGGAAAAGCCATCCGTCAATCGACTAACAACCAGGTTCCTACTTACTGCTAGGTGAACAGATGCGTGTGGAGTAAGGAAACTTGCCCAACATTTTGCCCTGCCAGGTCATTTCGCTTGCAAGGCGAGTGCTCTAACCACTAAGCTGCAGAACTCCATTATGAGTTCAGAGTCTTGATATGGGGTTTTAACCCACAACCTCCTGATCCCCAGCTGTCGTTCTTACCCTGACCCTGACCAGTCCTGTTTTCCTCCACCATGTTGCCCATCGTATCTCAGATGTCTCAAACCCTCATCCATACCTTTGCCACTCCCACCTTGAATTCAAACACACTCCTTGCCTGCTTCCCAATCACCATCCATAGGTCCAGCTCATTCAAAACTTCACTGTCCGCATCCTCACCGATACAAAACTCAGACCCTCGGAAAAGCAATCCGCCAATCAACTAACAACTGGGTTCCTATTTACTGCTAGGTAAACAGAGGCAAGTGGAGTAAGGAAACTTGCCCAATGTGTCGCCCTGCTGGGAATTGAACCCAGGTCTTTTGCTTACAAGGCGAATACTCTATCCACTGAGCAACAACTTGCATTTATATAGTGCCCTGAATGCAGAGTAGCTTCTCAGAGCGCGTACCAGTGGCGGAACCTGACTCTGAGCTGATGGGGGAGGTGACCGTAAGCAAGGTCGAAAAGGAAGTTTTTCAGGCAGGACTTGAAAAAGGGGCAAGACGGAGGGATTGAGTGAGAGTGTTCCAGAGTTTTGGGTCGTAAACTCATTGGACTAAGCAAGTGTCCTGCTCACACTCATTTTGAATGCTCACATAAGCTTGGGATGGGGCCCTGAAAGGGTCTGTTGCTTGTGGAATAATATGATAGCACCTCCAGAAGAATAAGACTTGAATATTGGAGAGGAAGAGGTAAATGAGGGAATTTTAGTTCTGTCAGTCCAGGCTAGTGTCTGGAAAACTAATGTTTGTGAGGAGAACCTAGAGGAATTTTATAACTGAATAATCTTGCTTAAAATATGGTACCTATTACTGGGGCTCTATCAGGACAAGTAAATCTCTGGAATTTAGGCCAGTTTTGAGGTCATTTATGTGATTTTAATAGACTGGAAGAGAACATTTTGTTCTGACTTGCACAGGATTCCTTCATCCCTATAAGATTTATAAATTGGCTTGTTATCTTGTCCAGGTGTACTGACACACAGGGTAATGGGACAATGTGGGATCAGGCAGCAATGTTGGTGAATTTACTGCATGCCACGAAAGTGCATTTCCAACAGGAGAGTGCCAGCCCGTGTAAATCATTGAAGCCGTGCTTGCTTGTGTTACCATGTGGGCTTGTTCTCTTGTAATTTCAAATCTTGTAGGCAGTTCCTTGGGAATTTTGAATGGAACATTACAGAGAATCTCACATTCAAGTACCTGATTTTAGCGGAATAATTTTTTCCCTTTGCTCCAATTGAAAGCAACGTGGAGTGAATGCATAGTTGGAAGAGAAGCCAACATTTTAACAAATAGCAACTATCGAAGAAACTTCCAAGGGACCATTTGAAATCACAACTGGAATCTATTTACTTTACAGTGGGGAAATCAAAGAGCTAGTGAAATCTTCCCTTGAGGTAAATCTTGGCAGCAGGCTCCAGTGCTGTTGCTCAGTTTTTTACATTGTGATTATTCCAAGTTATGTGCTCTTAAACTGTCTGCCACTGTTGCTCTTAACTCAGTTGGTAGAAGTGTATGAGAATAACACGTAGCAACTTGCCCTTTGGTATTTTCTCCCTCTCAGCTGTGAGGACTTATCTTGCAGTTTAGGTTGATACTACTGTACAAACTTGCTGCCTAGCTTGATACTTTATGGCAATATTTTCCCCACAAAATGACACTCAATTCACTTTACAGTATATTCTATGAAGTGCTTTGAGGCGTCTCGAAGACCCGATGAGACGCCATATCAAATACAAGGATTATTATTAATATTAGGGAGCCTGCTGCACTAGGAAGAATGGGCTTGATAAATTGCATAGCCTATGCAACTGCTCTGTTGGAAATTCCACCAGTGCATGTTAATTGCTGAATTGATTATCTTTTTAGTGTTGTACCAAATTCCAGTATTCTGAAACTAGTGGATTTTGAGGTCTCGTTAATGCCTCAGGACTTCTATTTTTTGTGCTGTATTTGTTCTACATTGAACCCAAAGACCACTTATATTAACAGCTAAACTTGTTAATTCTACAATGTTATTGTTTTGCAGTCATGTTCTCGAGAAAAAGTGGGCAAGAAAGGTGAAGCATCCAAAGATCTCTTTGATAAAATGTTGGACACGGACAAAGGGGAGAAAGGTCGAAAGGAGCAAAATGCAGAACGCAGTAAGTAAATGTAAATGCCGTGTCTGAGAATGGTGAGAAATTGCTCAAATAATAATAATCCTTGCATTTGATATAGCGCTTTTCATGTCTTCTAGATATCTCAAAGCACTTCACAGAATATACTGTAAAGTGAATTGACTATATTTGTGGGCGAAACGCAGCAGCCAATTGTGCACAGCAGTGTCCCACAACCAGTCGTGGATTGAAGTGACCAATTTTATTTTTTTTTCTTGAGGGATTATTATCAGGCGTTTGACGTAAGGGAACTTGCCCAAGGTTTCGCCCTATTGGGGATCAAACCTAGGTCTCTCGCTTAGCGAGGCGAGCGCTCTAAACACTGAGCTACAGGACTCCTAAACACATGGCTTGCTCAATGAGTCAGCACACCATTTGACCATAGAGCTGAACTCGATCTTTTCTACATGAATGGATAGCAGTCATAATGGGTAACATGGATCAAAAGCCTGGGATAGTGAAACTGATTGTGCATCACACTACCTCCCCAGTTGAGATTGTCTAACTCAGGATATATAATTGAACTTGGAGAGTATTTAGTAATATTTGTATAATAAGCAGCTAAATTGAAAATTAGCTTCTTTATTTAGCAGGAATTTTCTTGGAGCCCCAAATATTATTGAAAGTTTTTCTTTATGCAGAGGGTACCATTTTGTCATTATGCTATAGTTTGAAAATTGGCGTAGATTTGAAATTGGCAATTGCAGTGGTTTGTATATGCTCACCTAACATTGCAGCATTATTGGTTTGTTTCATCAGTTTGTGAAGTTGGTTTGTTTACCCAGGTCCACTTCTTACAAACCAACCTTGTTTTACTATTGTTTTAGCATGCGTTGTACTGTGGTTTAGGCTGCTTTTATTTGAATTTCCAGATCAAAATCGTACCAAATGTGACACATGGTCTCACCTTGCAAATATTCTGTGAAGCTCTTAAGATTTCTCAATGACGTGATGAGCTGCTATATCAGATGCAAGGATTATTTTTGGCATGCATTGAACAAGTTTTGAATGGATCACATGCAGAATACAGTGCAGAAAGTTGGGAGAAGCTGATTGTTCACCCTGGGACCATCAGTTTCATAGAATCATAGAATTATACAGTACAGAATGAGGCCATTTAACCCATTTATGTCTGTGCCAGCTCTTTGAAAAGAGCTATCCAATTCAATCCCACTTCCCCGCGCTCTCTCCGTAGCCCTGCAAACTTGTCCTCCTCAAATATTATCTGCTTCTCTCTTAAAAGCTGTTATCAAATTAGCTTCCACCACACTTTCAGGCAATGCATTCCAGATCCAAACAACTCGCTGTGTTTCTTACAAAAAAATTTAGCTGCAGTATTTGGGGGTATTTTGGGCTTAACTAAGTGATGGAGATTGCACTCCTACTATTGACAGATATGCAGGAGGCCTGGACAAAATCTTAGTCCTTTGTGTAGTAGTTTTGTGAAGCACAATGCATTTGATTAGTTGCACATCGTCCAGTGATCTGCACCTCAGATCTATTTCATGAATGCAAGTGATGTTTAAGTGCCATTTGCTTCAGTAATAATAATAATAATAATCTTTGCATTTGATATAGGGCTTTATCATGCAGTTGAGACATCTCAGTACGCTTCACAGGGTATATTGTAAAGTAGATTGACTGTATTTTGTGGGCGAAACCCAGCAGCTAATTGCATACAGCAGTGTCCCACAAACAATCATGTATTGAGAGACCAGATGTGTTTTGGGGGGGGGTTATTGTTCCAGAAAGCAATCCGCCAATTGACCAACTGCCAGGTTACTACTTCCTGCTAGGTAAACAGAGTCGTGCGGAGTAAGGACACATGTGGTTTATGGCCCCAAATGGTAATCAATCCCGGATTGACATAGTTTTCTCTTTTTTGAAAAAAACACGTGTTGTTCTAGATAATCGAGAGATGAAGGGTCTCTTTGACAAATTCATGATCCCTCTGAATGAGGTACCTGACAAAGAGGATCGGGAAAACAGGGAGGATGGGGTTTGCCAGGAACCCAAATCAGAAGACACTCGAACGAAAGAGAAGCAGCAGCTCCAAAAGGACAAAAAGAGTTTGAAGGAAGAGAATGATGCCAGGTTACACAGCGCTGTTACTGTTGAAGAAACTCAAGAAGTTTTGGATACTATTTGCCAGACTGAGGAGAATGCAGGTAATTTGAAACTTAGAAGTTAATTAAGCCAGACTAACTCTAGGATAAATTCCTAAAGATAGTTTTAGTTTAAAAAGAAAAAAACAACAAAAGTTTATATACTGTTTATGTATCAGTAAAACTAGGATTGCTATTTTTATATGTATTATTTACCATTTTTAACTTTCTCTTTACTCACTAATCTTTTGTTTCATTGCCAGGACTACCAGCTTTGAACATTTATTTGTCCTACAAAATGTGCTGATCAATGTAGATCTTACGTTATTAAAACTAAGGGCAAACATTTCAAAGGTTACCACAGTTTAAAAAGGACCTAAGCTATCTGTGTGTTGCCTGATTCAGCACTAAATGCTGGGTCCTGCCGCTGAGTTCCCTGTCTCGCTGCGTAACACAAGCTCGTATCACTGAGGTGCTTCACATCTCATGGCTGGTTTGAGCAGTGTGAATGAAACTTAGTCATGAGCTGGGCCAATAGAAAAGCACAGACATGTTTGCAAAAAAAATTGCAGAGCACCTTGCGGGGAATTGCAGAGGCCTTTGCAGAGGGAGTTGTGGGCGTTGGTTGGTGCTATTGAGGTAAATTTTACTGCTGAATTTTTTCACTTTATTGATTTTTAAAAAAAGCTATCAAAAAGTGGGGAATCCAGCGAGGCTACAGGAGCTCTCCACCTCCTGCCTCTCAAGACTGCACACAGACATAGACCAATAGAGAGAAACACACACACACAGATGCACACTCAGACAGAGAGACGCACTTGGAGAGAGTCAGAGACACACAGAGCGAAACGCACACTCACAGACACATTCTGTGAGAGAAACACACACACAGACACAAAGGGACATACACAGACAGAGGAGACATAGACACACACATATAGAAAACGCACACAGACAATCACAACAGCTGGGTCTCTGAGTGTAGCCCATTTGCCACTTGCGCCGCACTGCGTGTCCGGAGCGGCTCCGCCCACAGTGATGTCGGGTAAACAGTGTGAGCGGCCCACGGGCCAGAAACTACATTTATGGCAGGTTTGTAGTGGACGGGGATCGTTGTTGGGGAAAAGGTGTGGCTGCACTTTCTATTGACCCAGGGCATGAGGTTTACCCAGCTAAAAGAGAGCAGAAGAAATGGGAGGGGGAGGGAACTTGGAGGATACCCTAAACTCCATACCCCAAACTATTTTGCTCTAATAGTAAATCTACGCAAAAGATGTGAATGGCTGCAAGAAAATGTTAACTGCTGTTCTGTTGGATTATGCCATGCAAGCACTAGAATGTTGAGCTTTTCCTATGTTTTGTTTTAAGGTAATGCAAATTGGTGAGCTATGTCTGGATCCCAATCATGTATGGCATTTTCCTTTTACCAGAATGGGAAGTGGGGGGTGGGGGTGGGGGCTATTTAACACAAAGACATCTCTGTGTGCTGTGCTTCTGCTCCAACTTCCTGGAGCCTGCACCAGTGCTGAAAGTCGTAGTCACAGAGCAGTCTTTGTACATGGTGTAAGGATTTGTTTAAAGTTAAAATCCCTGCAAATTAAAATAGAATTATTAGGTTTCAATTAAGTGACCGAGCTATTAGAACTTCCATTTAAGTATTGAACAAGCCAGTTACAATGGTAATTTGTGAACTTTAAAATGTACATTTTAAATCTTTATAAGGAATTCAAGGTGTGATCTAATGTATTTGGATGGAACCGTTGTGAGTTATTAAATAGCTACTTTTTAAAATTGAATGTCCACAATATACAGTTGTAGCAGCGTTCACATTGGGAGGATGTCTCCAAGAACTTTACACACTCCAAATGCTGACTAGGATCCAAGTTTGTGGGTGGGGAGGGGAAAGATGATCAAACGCATGTCAAAGCTAGATCATCTTTAAAAACAGGAAGGCAGTTGGCGAGGTGGACATGAAGCAGGCCGGTGCTTGCTGAGTGGTAGGAGCAGTCAGGGCAGTTGTATTGTAAGAAGTCGCAGAAGTAGGCTTGGGATGAGGCTGTACAGGGATTTGAACGCGGGAATGAGGTTATGGAATTCAATTTGCTGGGGCACAGGAAACCAGTGGAGCCCAGTTTACTGATCATATTCTCTGTAGACTTGATTCATTTGTGACCTAAAATGTTGCACTTAAAGTGTTTGCATACTTGATTTTAGCATGTTAATAATAATAATCTTTGCATTTGATATAGTGCCTTATGTCTTCGTGACCTCTCAAAGCGCTTCCACTGTAAAGTGGAGTGACTGTATTTTGTGGGTGAAATGCGACAGCCAATTGCACACAGCAGTGTCCCACAAACAGCCGTGGATCTAAGTGACCGATTTATTATTATTTTATTGTTTTTGAAGGGATTATTACCCCCAGAAAAGTGGTCCACCAATCGACTAACAACTGGGTCCCTACTTAATGCTAGGTAAACAGAGACATGTGTGTGGAGTAAAGAAACATGCCTAAGGTTATCCCATGGCCTGCCCAGGAATCAAACCCAGGTCCTCTCGTTTGCAAGGCAAATAATAATCCCTCCAAAACAAAAAACAATAATAAATTGGTAATTTTCAATCCACGACTGTTTGAGGGACATTGCTGTGCGCAATTGGCTGCCCTGTTCGTCCACAAATATACAGTCAATTCACTTTACAGTATATTCTGTGAAGCACTTTGGGACGTATTAGACGTGAAAAGCGCTATATCAAATGCAAGGATTATTATTATCATATATAAGTGCTCTTACCACTGAGCTACAGGACTCACAAAAAAAGAGTGTGTTTCCTGCGCAGAACCCAGGAGCCTGGCCTGAATTAAGTTGATGAATTTAATTCAATCCCATTTGTATGACGCTTGTGATCTTTACACCTTTCCTAAATATCCTTGGCTTTCTTTTCTTCAAAAAGCTGTTCCTCGCACAAATCATTGGGAATTCATTAACATCATATCATGGTTATTCTGTTAATTGTTATGATAATCAGCAAACGCATAATATGTGGAGAATGAGCAAATGAAAAGAGAGTAGCATTATCTATCTTGGTTTTGTTCATTCTTTGAGAGTCATTTAAACTTTCCACCCTCCGTTTCCATCACTGCTATTTTTTGACTTAGACTTGTAATGTTGGTAATTTTTTCTTTGCTATTCAGTCATAGCCTGCACTTCAGGCTGCCGCTGTCAGAGAATTGGCAACTGGTCAGTTGTTGAATGGCGAAAAGATAATATAATTTCGAAGTACAAATTCTGAAGCAAAGACTTGCTCAGCAGGTTGTCCTGAGGTTAGATGGCCATCTTGACAGTTCAAGGAGAATAAACTACATTTAAATGTAACGTGACGGCCACATGAAGGTGGAAAAATAGTTTTCTTTTGTTACAGGCAATGGAATACCTACACGTTTTCTGATAACTTGCTTTATAACTCTGACAAAATTGACCACTTGTGATTGATACTTAGATAGCAGACCAGAGGTGCTAAAACTGGGTGTGGATCTACAGCTTGATTGGATGACCCTGGAGGAATTTCAGAAACATCTGGATGGAAATGATGATTTAATTTCTTCAGCAAAAAACATAACCAATAGTAAGAAATCAAGCTAATTTCTTTGTTATTGTTTTGGAAATAGTTTATGTAAATGACCAATATTGTAACTTAAAACGTATAGTTAACTTGTAAAAAACGTTTGTATCAAACAATATAAATTGTTAATTATAAATGGGAGTATTTTTTATCTTGATTACATTTTGTTCAGTGCCTTGAAATGTCCTCCTGACTTGAAAGGTGCTATACAAATGTAATTTTCTATTGTATTTTGATTACCTTTTCCCCTTCTGACTCTTACTGGGTTATGTTTTCATATTGCCAACAACAAATTGCATTTATAGAGTACACATTGTGAAGCAGCCATGCGGGAATTTACATTCTCCCAAGTGACTACTTCAGGCATGAGCTGCATAGTATTGGCAAAGGTATTCAATTGTGGTGCACATCACACCTGATACTGGTCCTGTCATCAATGTTCATACATGCAAGCCTACTATAAGCCACTGGATAAGATTCGGGAGTTAGCCAGGCTAATTTCAGCAGCAGAAATGTCTCACTGGCTGTAGACCAGGAATCCAGTTTATGACCTGGTCTTTATAGTTTAGATCTACATTAGACAATATATTTAACTTCTAGGGTTTTCACAATTCCTTTGTTTGATTTCTAAATGTATCATCTTGCAGGTGTGTTGCGGGATGCAGTAAAGAATGGAGACTATTTGACAGTGAAACGGGCCCTGAACTCGAATGAAGAATATAATCTGGATCAAGAGGTACTTAAATGTGCAGTTTTTGATGTAATCCTCAGATGGCATTTTCAAACGTACTTGTATGTCCTTACTTTAATCATAATCGACTTTAAATAAATTCACAATGAAAATTTTGCTAATAGAAATTGAGAAAATGATTTCAAAATTGCTATTGGCATTGGCTATACTATCTGCCTGTAGATTTGGATCTATTAGTTTTAAAATTGCTGAACAGTGAAGAGTTGCACTGGTTGAGGTGTGGCATGTACTTTACATTGTAGAAAAATTTATAGTGCTGCCCTAAGAGGAAAAAAAATACTATTGATAGTAAAATATCCTCTATAAAGGTTGTAGTTGAGCAATTAAAGCATGAAAGCCTAGGCAGATAGTTTTTTGAAAAAAAATTCTACATCATATTTGACTGAAACTTAAATCACCATACTGAACACAGATTCAAATCATAGAAAAAAAAGGAGATTCTTGGCTAATTTTATGTGGCCTTTTCAAATGCTCAGTAACAATGGAAGTAAATATTTTATTAACTTGAGGGAAAAGGAAATAGAGAGCTGGAGGATCATGTGGAGCATCAACGACTTGGCACTAATTGGGCCGAATAGCATGTTTCTGTTCTAACGTTCTATGTTTTTCCTGACAAACGTGTCTGTTGCAGGACCCTAGTGGGATGAATCTGGTCATGTTTGCAGCTGCTGGGGGACAAGATGACATCCTTCGACTACTTATTAAGAAGGATGCAAAGATCAATTCTAGACAGAAGAATGGGACAACTGCATTAATGCATGCAGCTGAGAAGGTTGTATTTGCTTTTCATATTTGTTCATTCTTCAAACTGATAAAATAATCAGTAGCTCACCATCCTTCTCGTCCTGTATGGCATCTTTAATAATTTATTGATCAATGTGCACTCTAAATATTTCACAATAATTTACATTGGTTATCAGGTGTCAACCTGGCCTGGTTGCCTCTGAATTAGAAGATTGTGGGTTCAAGACCCACATTGGGACTTATCATGCTGGTGGAGTGCTGCTGGCAATCACCCAGAGAAAATAGTTTCTTCATGACTGTTTGTGCGATATTACTGTTTGCAAATTGGTTGCCCCATTAGCCTACAAAATACAGTTGCCACACTTTATAGAAAATCCTGTGAAGTGCTTTGAGGTGTTTTATTGCTTTCTGACGTGAAAGGTATTCTATTGAAAGCAAGGATTATTGTAATGGGGGAGGGCGACATTCCATCTGAAGAGGATGTATAATATATTAAGCACAAATGTATGCCTTAACATTTCTTTTTATCTCCTTTTCTGTGTAGAATTATCTTACAACTGTAGCTATTCTTCTGGAGGCAGGTTCTCAAGTTAATGTTCAGCAGATCAGTGGGGAAACTGCATTAATGAAGGTTTGTCTTTGTGCTCTCACCAATATTATGGAGTTGGTATGAATATGCAATGTGCCTTATTTCAAACTGTATAGCTCTACAACTGTTCTAAAGGTTAGAGTCGCCCATCTTGATTTTAGGTGTATTTTGTAGCATGTTTCTCCACATTGTGCTGGAAGGTATTAACCTGGCTCAGTTGAGAATACTCTTGCCTCTCAGCCAAAAGAGTGAAGTTGAGAACACTTGCCTCTTAGACATTTAAGCCCCTTGTAAAGACTTGCGCTAATAGTCTAGATTAGTACTTCAATACAGTGATGAGAAAGCTGTTTTGTTCTTTGGGTGAGACATTCATCTGAGATCCTGTATTCAGGTTACTGTTAAAGATCCTGTGAAAAGTTAAGCGAGTTTCTCATGTTGTCCCAGAAAATAATTTTCAAATTAGTCATTCACTTCAGGGCTGCTTGTGGGACTTGGTTGTGGAAAAAAATAACTACTGTTTTTCCTACAAATAGTCATTAAACTTGATAGCAGTTACCTGTGAAGAGCTTTGAGATGTTTCAACATTGTAGGTGCTGTATCAAACAAAGAATTGTTATAAATGGATAATTTTATTAATCTGCATTACAGTGCTTGCCTTCAGACGGCTCCAGGAGAGAAACGAGTAGAAATTAATTATTTTCCAGGCAAGCAGAAATCAAAGAGGGAGCAGCACAGATTTCCCAGCAGCTAGCATAATAACATTTGACAGTGGCTTATGGATAGATTAGGGATTGTGACTTTGAGGGGCTGAGTATGTACAGGATGAGACATTGAAAAAGCTGTGGCAGATGTGTTGTGGACACTGGATAAAAACAAGGGGGAAGAAAGCAGGGAATTGGGATTATAATTGGCTTCAATGGAGTACGTAGTACTGACAATAGATTGGAGAGTTGAATGGCCTATGCTGTAATTTCTACAAAAATCAAATCCTATTCTGTAATTTGCTCCCTACAGGCCTGCAAGAGAGGCAATGCTGACATTGTGAGGCTTTTGTTGGAATATGGTGCAGATTGTGGCATCCTTTCCAAACATCAGAACAGTGCTCTCTATTATGCTAAACAGAGCAATAACCTACTGGTATATGACCTGCTGAAGAACCATGTGGAAACGTAAGTCAGTTACTGCCAGTAAATTTATTGTTAAAATTTGTATTCGCTTTATTACAGATTTCTGTTCTACTGCTATCTCTACTGCTATTTCAGCAACGCAATGTACAGATTGCATTGCTGAAATAAATCTAGTTTAGTGATGTACTACATTAATTCAGGTGACCATTTTTTTTCCCCAGAACCATGCAAGTTTCCAGCATAAGACTGTTGAGCCCATCAAGCCTATGTTTGCTCCTTGAAACAGCTATCAGTTTAGTCCCCTTTCTTCTGTCTTCTGCCTGTACAGTTTCACATTTCTCCACATGAGAGATTTTAATGGCCCCAGTTCCCCGTCTCCCTTCACAAATAAAACATCTCATCCCTAGTACGGTATTAGTGAATTTCTCTAGAGCCCTAGCTTCCTTCCTATACTGAGGTGCCCAGAACTGAATACAGTACTCCACCTACAGCCTAACTAATGTTTTATACAGGTTTAACATTGCTCCTTAAAATACAGTCACACCTCCTGTTTGGTGTTGTATTTTGAATTTGAGGCAACAAGGTAAAGTAAAAGCGGCATTAGTCTCTACACAACAGTTCTATGCTAGTGTGTAACAGGCCTCTAGGAAAAGCTGCTGAAGAAGCTCCTGTAAAGAATTGCCTGAGAACTTTGCTGAGATAATTAACTTGGAATTGGGTTGATGCCTGTGATTCTCGCACTTGCTCTGCGTTTTATTAGTTCGGTGCTCAAAAGCTTTACAGCAGTTGTCACTTAAGCAACGCTTTCAATCACAGACCACAACGCTGAATGTTTCTATGATATATTGATTACCTGCTACTGGGACTGTAGTTAAAAAAACAATATTTTTCGCTTTGCCTTATTCTTTCCTCTCTTTACAAAAGTGATGAGTAAAATGAGAAAATAAGAAATCCTTGTGTTTTGCTGTCTATTTGTGGCGGTTTTCACTGATGGGTATCAGTACATAATTTTAAATCTCTAATAACCGTTAACTGTTTTGTAAAGGACTGTTGTGTGCTGGCAAATCTATGGAATGTTTAAGAAGATACAAGTTAATACCATTCATTTCCCTTCCTAAGGAGTCCCCTGTCTACCCAGGCAGTGTCCATGCTGTGCTTGAACAGCCTGCTTTAAGGAATCTGCCACAGCTCAGTAGCTGCTGGGATCTGCTGTGAGCAGCCCAATATTTAATCCCTCCGGTTTTCCTTTCTGCCCTCCCTGTGGGGAAGCACAGCCGCTCTTCAGTACTTCTTTACAACACGGTAGTTCAGATGAGTCTATGTCGGAGATCATGCAAACAAACCTACATCTGCCTAAAAGCAAATGTATTCATGCGTAAATTGTCATTTCTTTTGTTAATTTTTCCTCTACCAGAGATGATTAATGTGTCGAAGGGAGAAAAGAGGTCCAATAGTACACCACCAATGTTTTATACAATACTGTTTTTACCCCAATAGTGCATTTGGTGTGATTTCCAGATGATTTTAGACTGAAGAATTTAGAAGATGTGCAATATTATTTTTCCTCCTAGTATATCCAGAGTGGCAGAAGAGACAATCCGAGATTACTTTGAGGCACGCCTGACATTACTGGAGCCTGTGTTTCCTATAGCTTGTCACCGGCTTTGTGAAGGGCCAGACTTTGCAATGGATTTCAACTTCAAACCTCAGCACAATTCAATTGAAGGTTTGTGAATATTGGTCCAACACCAAAATATCTTGTATTTAAATACTAACTTCATATAGTTAGCACGAGTATTGGATTTCTAGTAAATCATCAAAAACATTGATTTAATCTTGTTTGTAAATCAGTTTATTATCACTAGGGCATTTATATACATATTGTTTGCTACCAGACAGAATTGCCCCTCTTTCCTCTCTCTTCCCCCCCCCCCCCCCCCCCGTTAGTTAGTGGAGTAATAGGAATTTACAATACAGGAGGCCATTTGGTTCACCGTGTTGCTTGTTAGGGGAGATAACTAAAGTGGAAGTATTTTTCGTGCATTGTTGCTTCTCCACCATTTCGCTACCCTGACAAAGAAAATGCACTGTTCCTGACTCTTGTGCTCCATTTAGTTGATTGATTGGGACCAAGTAAAAGTCGTCCTCTTCAGAGAAATTTTAAGTTTAAAAGTAGATTTTAATTCACATGAAAGCCCTTAGAATAGAAGTGCAGCACTCTACCCCAGGTTAGCCAGATTGAGTTTTGAAAAGAGAAAAGCATAACTTCACCTCAGACATTTTTGAGATTGTACAATTCTGGCAATTTACTCATTTTATTTTAAATAGCTATTGCAGTAAATAGCCTCCAAACTGTATTAGATTTTAGAATTAAGACTAAAAAAGAGGAAAATCTTCACTTATAAAATTGTTTGTCTCTGGTTGTGCTATATAGAAAATCGATCTTTACTTAAAAAAAATGCGGAGAGGGAGCTCCCCTCCCCTTTGGTAAAGCCACTGTGCAGAGACATTATGGTCACTTTTAGAGCTTAGTGATCACATGCTCAAACACTAGGGTGTCCTGACTTCAGCTGGAGCAGTAGTAGAGTTGCTATAATTGTCCTTGGATGTCCTTGTGCTAGAGAAAATCAGTTGCTTATTTGTTTCTGATTGTTATCCAGTTACGTCTGCCATAAAATATGTGTGTTGGACTTGGCTGCGGTGTGTTCCCTATGGTTGAATAGCCTTTCTTCAGGCTGGCACATGTCAAATGACTACTTTGACAAGTACCATATGGCACCCAGTACCAATGGAACTGTTCCCCCAGATTCAATGTATGCCTTCAGAAGGAGGTGGAGTGTATGTGGGAAGGTAGCTTACAGTGAATGACTGACTTAAAATTATTTGCTGTTTCATTTGGAATGTATTTACTTGCATTTAACCTAGATATCAATGGATCTGACTCTGATAGTCCTTTTCCTCCAGGAACTGGGATTCTTCTCTTTATCTTTCATGCAAACTTCTTTAGCCATGATCATATAGTGGCTAAACTCTGCGGGCCCTGCAGTGTCCAGGCTGTTGTCCTAAATGATAAATTTCAGCTGCCTGTATTCTTGGTAAGTACATCCTCAGTTTTCCAGCTAGATTAGGTTATTTCTCTCCCACCCCCTTCCCAAAAAGATTTATTTTCTGTTCTATCAGCATAGTTTGCTACATTTCAGTGCCCAGTGCTGTTCCTTATTCAGCCCACTAAAAGGAGCATTTTTGCTGCAGAGTAAAAAAAATCTCAAAAAAATCATTCAAAAGCAAGTCGATCAGGTTTGGTGAAATTCTGCCAAGGGGAGTGGAGTTTCAATGTTTATCTTGGGTGTCCTTCTTGAAAATGTAGTTTATGAAACTGGCAGCTCGCTGACTTTCTTTTGAGGACAAGAAATTTGATGGTTTTTTTAAAAGCCTGAATAGGATATATTCTGTTGGTATATTACAGTGCACCCATCACTGAGTGATTGGATACAGGTTCAGGTCAAACATTAGCATAATAGAGATTTGTTTTTTTTAAATCTTCAGGTGAATAATCTCTGGTAAGAGCACTTGCAGGTGAGAGACCTGGGTTTGATTCCCGGCAGGGCAAAACCTTGGGCAAGTTTCCTTACTCCACACGCCTGATAATAATCCCTCAAAAAACAATGATAAAATCGGTTCTTTCAATCCACGACTGTTTGTGGGACACTGCTGTGCCGTGTTTGATTCACAAAATATAGTCAATTCACTTTACAGAATATTCTGTGAAGCGCTTTGAGGCGTCTAGAAGACATGGAAACTACTATATCAAATGAAAGGATTATTAATAAAATGCTGTATTTATGGTATTGTTTGATGTAGATTCAGCTTTGAATTTTTAGAATTCTATGCAAATTTCACACTCGTTTTTCTTTTTAAAGAAATATCTTATACTGTAGTAACTGGATAGTGAAGATTTATCAGCAGTGTTCCTATAAAATGGATCTTGTTTGGAAATTAATTGTTACGCTCAGTGTTTGGAAGGTCTGCCCTGGATAAAGTCAGAATTTCACCTGTTTTAGTATATTATGGTCTTCTAGTATTTTTACGTTTAAAGTCTGAATGAGTAGGTTATCGATTTAATGCAAAATGTTGAGTCACTTGTTGGAACGGCTGCTCCAAAAATATTTAAAATGTTTTTTGACTGACAAATACTACTCTTCTTGTCTTTCCAGGATAGTCATTTTATTTATTCCTTCAGCCCAGTGCCTGGCCCTAATAAATTATTTATTAGACTTGCTGAAGCACCTACTGCTAAGGTGAGTATCTACTAATGACATATTGTGATATAAATTTGTCAATAGCTAAAAGACTTGTGATGTTGAAACATGAAATACATATATCATAAAATTGGTGACTTGTAAATCTGAAGCTAGAGGTGGGCATTAAAGATTTCATGACAATATTTTTTTAAAAAAGCATGGGTTTCTTCTCCAGGGCACACTAATCAACAATCCTCCAGGTTAATTGGCCATTTACCTCATGGCATTTAGCAGCAGTGCTTAATAATACTAACACACCTTACATTTGGTATTGCGCTTTTCACATCAGGAGCACGTTTCAAAGCGCTTCATGGTGTATACTGTAAAGTATATTCTGCAGTTTGTAGGCAAAATGTCAAAATCTAAAGCACTTGCCAATAAAGAAACTTAACAAGTTACTTGTGCAGCATTTTGAGATGGGTCATTATAAGCTACCATGAAGATGAACCAGTTCTTTCTAAAGACGTTAACTTACTTGTGTTGCCTCGAGTTCCAATGGTGTTGTTAGCCTTCCAGCATCCCTCCCTGGTGTTGAGAGGATGTTCAATTATGGGGCATATAGAATGTCACCGTTGTGATGGATCATTTTCTCTTCTGCTGTTCATTGCAGCTGGGGTAACTGGCTAATGATCTCAGGTGGGACTCTTCCATGGAGGGAGAATATTTTCTGTCAATTAGGGTTCTGGGCAGCTGAATTTAAGAAATTCCAGAAACACTTGTGTGCTATTCTAAACAGAATTGTTTGTATTGACTTTAAAATGTATATGAAAAAGCATACTGAAACATGTGTTTGAACGACATTCTAATAAGACTGTTTCTATTTCAGGTAAAGCTGCTTATTTGTGCGTACAGAGTCCAACTCCAGTGAGCATGGGATGTGAGCCCCTCCACCACCCCATTGGTTTATCACTAATTGTGAAGGACGATTGTGAATGTTTTCTTTCCACTTGAAGCTTCTCAGATTGTTGGAATTTTAGTCTCTCTCAGTCTGGAAACTTTCTGTGGGACTCATATAAACTCTTTATAAAGAAATATTCCCATAGAAAGTTTCACACAAGCTATAGTTATGATGTGGAGTAAATTGTCATTTTTTAGATGGCAGTCAATTATCTTAAGGAAATAACAGGCACAGTAGCTCATTTGCCTGACACATTTGTCTGTGTAAATCCTAACTGTACATAGACGTTTCCACAGTGTGGAAAGGAGTGTTATATAATGCTCCAGATTGTGAATATTTATGAAAGGTACCTGTTAACAAGTTGTTGTTTCATATTTGGGCAAGTGTGAGGCTTCTGCACTTTTCCTTATTTGTTACTGAAACTTAGATCTTGGTTAGTTATTTTACTCTTGTTTTTCAAAAATAAAGAAACCCCCTGCAACACTCACAATTCTGTGCCTGGGGTTTAAGCAGATTTTGCCCTCTGGCCTTTGCAGGAGTTACTTGCAACATGGCCACTGCAAAGTCAATGTGAGGCTAGGGTTTATTTTTGTTTCCTCCCTTTTATTTGGCCTTGCCTCCACTGGACATTTTCCAGTTGGTATGACGAGTTTACTATGTGGATAATCACAGGTGTGCATTTGTGTCTTACAACTCAATGACATAGCACATTAATTCACTGATGTGAGGCATTGCAGTACCACCATTCCTGGTTTGTTTTAACACAGTAATAAAATAATAATAATGAATTGGGACACTTCAATCCACAACTGTGGGACACTGCTGTGTGCAATTGTCTGCTGCTTTTCACCCACAAAATATAGTCAATTCACTTTATGGTATATTCTGCAAAGCGCTTTGAGACGTCTTGAAGATGTGATAAAGCGTTATATCAAATGCAAGGATTCTTATTATTATAGTATTTCTTGTTATGAACATTTTTGTATTTATGAATCTGTATAGTGTATCATGGTGCAGAGATGCATTTTAAACTTTAAAATATTCTGGCATTCCTTTAGAAGATATTGTATGGATATTTACATAAATGAAGTTGTTGCTGTATTTCTTATCTTTAGTGTGATGCAAATACACACCAACTTAATAGGCACACTGAACAGACATAATATTTCATTATGAATGTGGCTTCACTTATGAGATGTTGAAACACCAACTAGCAGTTAGGAACCATTGTGTTTTTACTGCTGTTTCTACTCGTTTGTAAAGAGTAAACAAAACCCTTAGCTTTGTAAAACCCACGTTAGGATAAACAAATAACTGTTAATAAGTGGATCTTGGTGGGTTCCTTCGTGGCTTTTTCTTAAAAAAAGTACAGCAGTGTTTACTACAGCACTTACTGTAGATTTATATTGCTGTCTTGAGGACATTTGAAATGTGTATTTTATGCTAGACATGCACACTAGTCCAGTATGTGCCTTGCTGTTCTCTTGATAGCTGTGCTGTATGTGAACTACCAGGATGTGCCTAAACTGTAGCAAATACTACCAAAAATGCTGATGTGAGGAATGTGTGATTGCTCACAATTATGAACTAGTTTAATTTTCTGTTGAACCCATTGTAAAATCTCTAATTTTATTTGTTGGACTTTTGTAAAGTTATTCATGTAAAATAATAATTTCCAATGCTTATGAAAACACTTTGGTGGTTCTGCGGTGATCATTTTGCTGTTAAAATAGAAATTCCCACAGGAAGTATTTTTGAAAGTAGACTTGTTATGGGGGGTGGGGGGGCTTAAATTTGAAGAGCAAAATGTGATCATGATCAAGCCCTCTGGTATGTAAATTAGTGTTAAAATATTATAGTTTTCATAAATCTTTGATAAAGTACAAAAAAAAATTGAGGCTCATAGCCACTCCTGTTGGAAGAGTTTTTCCATTGCTTACATTGGCCTACCAAATCCAACCAGTAAACTTGTGGAGCACTGTTCTGATGTGATGTGCCAAATCAAATGTAAGGATGTTTTTGTGTATCGTTCATATCATTGCGATGCTTACATGGTGAAAGACCCAAAATTTATCAACCTATCATGTATAGGCATAAGAACTTAAAGCATGCCACCCAATACACTTTTGCTTTAAAGGCTTTAACATAACATGTAGGAGCAGGAGTAGGACATTCAATCATGGCTGATCTTCTAATCTAACTCCAGCTAATAACCTGACCCTGCCTTATCCCCATATCCCTTAATCCCTTTTGCAATAAGAAATCGATCTTGACATTAGCAAAACAGCTTCATAATAAGTTGAAGGAGCTGGAAACCAATAATAAATCTCCTGAGAAACGCACTTCAACAACAATTTTGTTGTTGTTCAGATCCAATTGTCTGACTTCAATCAGAAAATAAATGGAATTGATCAGAAGGAAAATAGCCTAATGTATTTGCTTCAAAAACAAACCAATCTAACTCCTTCATATCCCCATTTTTTTAATAGAATGAATGTGTCAAGGAGTAAAAAGTACTTACTGGAGAAAGAATTATGTAATATGAATGGGTGGATATTTTGAATTAATTTCTATTAGAACTTTTATAAGCAAACATAATGTCCTTGACGAGACAAAGGCTGAGCAAGAAGTTAAGTCTTATGCAGTGAGCAGTTGAAGTCCTGACTTGTGCTGGGAAATGTAATTGATCAACACTCATGGTGGGCTTTCTTTCTCTTGATCTCACTCCCACAGAAAAGTGCAGAGGGTCAAGTCATAAGATTTACATACAGCAATGGGAACAGCACAACTAATCGTAGCCAGTGTTTATATTCCACATGAGCCTCCATCCATTCAATATACTTGTGTGAACACCTAGCTTCCTTTTAAATGCATCTGTCCTACACATTATTATTATACACATCTATGCAAATGAAAGAATTACTATAGTATAGATGCATTTAAAAGACATCCCAAATATGTGATGAGGTGCTATATCAAATGCAAGGATTATATAGTTTGATCTATACCCTCCCCAATCCCAACCCCCAGTGCAGGTCTGAAACACTGACTGTCCAGCATCTTGGGATGTCCTCCCAACATGAAAAGCGCTATAACAAATGTAATTTTATTATTGACTACTTATGGAGGAAAAACTGGCCATTTACATTTGACCCGTCATATTGAAGGATCCTGATCAAATCTTAGCATTCATTTCTATAATTTGTTTTTTTAGAAAAAACAGCCTCAGTTTCCAAGTTTGTCTGATAGAATGATCAGTTTCATAATTTATTGAATATCTTGGATGGATAGAAGGTAGGAAGAAAGCAGTTGTACAATACTGGTCAAGGTCAGTAACAATCATCTGCGTCGTTGTCCTCCTGTCTACCTTTGACCAATCCATCCTTCTCTCTGCTCCACCACCACAGTTGTGTCCTTTCCTGGGTTCACTCCCATATATTGGAAGCATTTAGTCTCTTCCATTGGTATTTCCTGTTATGTCAGATTTGAATGTCAAGCAGTGTGAGGTTTTTGTGCTTGGCTCACACCAGCACCTTCTTACCATAGGTGCCGAACTCATCAATCTGCACCGCCTATTGTACCTCATGGAAAGGGCGTAGAACCTCAGTCTTGTTTGACCCAAAAATTCTTTGAAGCCCTACATCTGTCCTCTCACTTCTCAGCTTTCTCTCACCCACATTATGATGGAGGCAGGCAAACCCCTGATTGCCCAACAGCAACTTGCATTTATACAGTGCCCCTCAGATAGCTGTGTCCCAGAGCACTTCCCCAGCTCCTCACTATATGAGCTGCAGCCATCTTGAAGTTTAGGTGTGACTTCACTTGCTTCAATGCACCCCTAGCAGATCCTCACCTTGAAATCCTCCATGGTCAAAGTCACTAATGACATTCTGAACATCTGTGATCAGGGCTCCCTCTGTCTCCTTGTCCTCCTCGACCTCTTTGACACTGTCGACCACTCCATCCTCATACACCGCCTCTCTGCTTTACTTCACGGATCTGCCCTTGCCTGATTCGATTCCTATCTCTCTCACCATCTCCACTTTGTTGCTTCTAACAGTTTCTCCTCCAGTCCCCCACTGTCACATCTGGCGTCCCCCAGGGCTCTGTCCTTGGCCCTCTCCTCTTTAATATCTACATGCTCCCCCTTGGTGACATCATCCACAGACATAGGGTCAACTTCCACATGTAATGCGGATGACACCGAACTCTCTTTCTGCCTTCACCCTCAACTCCAGGACCACTGCTATCCTGACAGACTGCCTGTCGGACATCAAGTCCTGGATGAGGGCAAATTTCCTATAGTTGAATGTGAAAAAGACTTGAGATCTTCCTGATTGGCTCGCGCCAGCGCCTCTGCACCTCAGGCTCTGGCAGCATCAAACTCCATGGTTGCACACTACAACTCACCAAGCCAGTCAGGAACCCAGGTGTCTTGTTCGACCCTCAACTGTCTTTTCTCCACCACGTTCAAGCCATAACCTGCTCTGCCTTTCCTCACCTCCGTAGCATCGCCTGACTCCGACGGGCTATACAAATGTAATCTTGTTGGTGGTGGTCTTGCCCCACCCTCACTCCTGCAATCCCTGCTTAGCGAGAAGCTCCTTCCACTCAGCAAACATTAGCCTGTAACATAGCCACACCATCAGCTTTCTGCTATATGCTCCAGCACTCTCTCGTGGAGACCTTCCATCTCACCCTCTCCTTCCCTGCATTAAAACCAATCCCTTCAACCACAAAGGATTATCTCTTTTCACCCCCTCCCCCACTCAAGAGCAGGTGGCCAGGCAACCATGTGAAATGTTTCAAGATATCCACTGAAAGGCACTACAAAAATGTAAAATAAAATGTACTGTACACAGCTCAAAAGAAGGTTGCATTTATTTGGAAATCTTGGAAGAAAAGATTTTTATTTTCTCACTAAATCATTTAAAAAAATATTTTAAAGCACTATATCAAATGTAAGGATTATTATTTAATACATTGGGATGGGGATAAGGTAGGGTGATTGGATGAACATCTTGCGATAGAGCCAGTGCAGACATGCTGAGCTGAAAACTTCTAAACTCAGCATCAAGTGTCTGACCAGGTTAGATGTATAAGTAGCAAAAATGCAGCTGCTATTGACATCCATTTAGAATTTTCTTTTTTAAAATGGGAAAGGGAGTTAAAAGATCAATAAATGGCTGGCACTCTGGACCACCATAAAAGGTACTTGGGCAGGATAATGCTTCAAACTGTTAAGATCAATTGAAAAATGAAAATATTTCCTTGGGAAAAGACTCAAGGTGCTAATATTTTCTTTAATAAAATGACATGTCAGCTCTCACTGGTCTAGTTTGAAAAGTCAGGAGTTGATCACATACATGTCTATGTCTGTCAAATAAAGAGATGAAGGGCAGCAGCTCTGACCCACCACGTTTCAGATCCTCAGAGCAGTTCCCCTGTGGAAGCCACTCGAACCTCAACGTCTGTAGTATTGATCAATGAGTTATGTGGATCACCTGTAAATACAACTTTTAAACAGGTTAACTGGACACTGCTGGGATCAAAATGAGATTAATAATATGAAATCAAACTATTACCTCATTTATAATACTCATCTTTACAATAGACCCTGATTTATCTCCCCCTCTCAGAAGCATAATCACTGGTTGGGTATTTGACATCCGACAAGCATGGGTTTGAGCCCTTGTTGGGTGGATGGTAGGTACCTGGAACTCCCTGGTGGGTAACACATCACAGCATGCAATGTGTGAGAGCATTGCCATCATCTTCCTGGCTGTAGCTCGGACACACATCCCTTCCTACTGAGTGACGGTTCTACCAGTTGGAGGTGCAAAGTTTAAGCAGCAGCTGATTGCCTCTGCGGGCCAATCAAAATGGATTCCAGGCGCTGGATGCACAAATGAGTGTTCACAAACTTGGGACTCCAGGTAACACTGTCGGTGCCAGTTCTCTTGACGTTCTCGAGGTCCAATGCCATGTACCAGGCTTACTCAGCACTAGGCTTAATCCAGGTGCTCATGTAAGCAGCTCTGGCAAATACACATGTCAGCTGTGAAACTCATTCTGCCTTCCAGATGGTTAGAGACAGGTCAGTATAGGCCAAAGCCCTCCCACCCAGCAGCTGCTTCCTGTGTTTGCCATTAATCCACCTCACTGCTTGAACCTGGACTTTGGAAATGGGCTGGTGGAAGCCTCTCCACTGCATCCCAATTGTCCTTGATTGTTGTTCAGGAGTACAAACACTGTCTGATTTATCCNCCCCCCAAAACCACTACCGCCTGGAACAAATCTCCTTAGACACTGATCTCCCTGCCGATAGTGTTGGGGAAAACACACTCCTTATAGAGTAGAAAAACAAGCATGCAATATCAAACTTTGTTGTAACAGAGCACAGGTTTAGAGCAGGAATACTCACCTAGTCTGCCAGATGTCAACAGGTCACGTAAAATGCTCTGCAAGAGGAGCATGATGTGATATTCAGATAAGTTGTTGACCGTTCAGGGAAAGCAAGTCATCTAGAAATGAAAGAAAAACTTGAGTGAAACTATGGTTAATAAATGGGTTTCTGTAAAAATGTGCAGATATGATCAAAGTACAATTATATTTCTGCGATGTAGGATATTTAATTTAGTTCTTTTCTGCCACCTTTCCAAAGGTGCTAACTCATGTTGGGAGTACAACCTCACTGTCTTCAACTATACCCTGATACAAGTGCCCATTTGTCAAGTATGAGGCTCGACAGTGAGTGTTGGGAGGCAATTTGACTAAAGAACTTGACAGATGAGCCCAAACTGCCCTCATCTAATATTGGACAAATGCACATTTTATAGCAATGATAAAAAAGAACCCTGGAAGATTTCCCTTTCTTACCCAGAAACTCTTAAGACACTTGTGAGACCCTAGAGCAAGCAATCTACTAACTATCAGAGGTGGAATATTGAAGGATATCAGGAAGCAAACAAAAGACTGGAATTAGTCTTTGTGGCTTATGTGGAGATTTGCTTCAGTGCTGTACGAGACTAAAATTGATATAGATTGAACATTGTTCACTTTTATGTTATATCATATATTTACTATTAGTCATCGTAGAACATATGGTTGGATATTTTCTCATAAAAGAAACAATCTTCTCTAGTCTCAGGATTTAAATGCACAGAAAATGATATGGTTAAATGTTCAACTACTGTATTATTTACTCATCGGCTCAATAAATGGAAAAAGGTCCAAGCATCCCAACTACTCCAATAACAAATTGCATTATATAGCACCTTTCACATCAGGAAGATGTCCTGGACAGTAGAGGGTTTGCACCCAAGATAGTTGTTGGATTTAGGGGGGTGGGAAGATGACCGAAGACAAAGAAGAATGTCTTGAGACGGACCTTGAAGGAGTCAAGTAAAGGTGCAAAGGGAACAGATGGAGCTACAAACTACAATTTTGTGCAAAATTATTCCTTATTATGACTGTCACAATCTCTTCCTTAGCCACACCAGCTAAATATAAGGAACAAGTAACAGGTAAGGGTAACATGGACTAACTCACTTTCCAGCAATGCTGATGCCACCAGTTGTAATTTTATAGGTGAACACAATTAAACTTCTAAACTACCAGATCAAGTTACAAATTCTTTATTCAGCATGTCTTATAAAGTCTTGAGGAAGCTTTCATTTTCTTTAAAAAGTAGCTACATAATTGGTACCTTTTTATAGACTCTTACAGTTACAACTGGGATCCTACTATAATAATAATAATAATACTGAGATATTTACTGCAAACACTTCTCTGTAATGATAGCAATGATGTACAGTCACATCCCTTTTAAAGATTGAAACCAACTTTGTTTTTTGGAGTCAGTTTGCAACTTCTCAGAGACCAATGTTGCTCGTACTTGCAGACTTAATGGTGGGACCCCAAACTCTCAGAAATGAAGGCAATACATTTCAGCTTATCTATAAAAGCTCAGAATAAATACAATATAGTATATTAGTACTAAAATAAACTAAAAGTAGGGCAGAAGGGGAAAAAATGGCAAAACACAGGATGAAGAGAAGAGTTAAATAAATTTAAATACTTATTTTAGTTAAAGGGTTGTAGACTTGACATTCAAGCCTTATTATCAATGGCTCAAAATTAGTGAAAACTGAAAACTTTTTTTATATTAAAAAAAAGCCAGTCTTAGGATCTAATCACCCTGAACACCCAATCCAGTGTTCCAAGAAGCTATGCCGTGCGAAAGGTGCTATATAACAACTTGCAGTTTAATAACACACCTTTCACCAAATCTATTAATGGAAACCGACCATCAGATTGCCTCTTGAGAAGCAGCCCCTGAGTGTCAGTCGTAATATTACATCTGCCAATACTGTGCTGTAATTCTAGCTTTCATTATTCAAATGAAAAGTAGTACAAATTAACTTTTTTTTCAAAATTATTTTCATTGACCCACAAAGGAAGACAATATAAATCATATTGGTGTGAATGTGGTTGATATTACATATACCATAGGACTGAAGTAACTTCTGGCCAGTTTAATTTTCAAGAGCAGCCTTTTCTTCAACACGAGACACTTGGGAACTAATGAAATGTGTTGAAGGGAATACCTTTTTTAAAAAATGAATGAGGTAATAATATGCCAGCATTAGTGTACTGAGTATATTTGAGGCTTTTGAAATAACTATTTGGAAAACACAAGAGTATTCAATTAATAACTATTGAAATTTCAGTTGTAAACATGCTTAGATTTCTACCGCAGATCACTCATTGTGTTACATGCCGTGCCAATATAAATATTTTCGAAGGCTTAGTATGAACCTACTACAGTACTCAAGCATGTAAGAATCATTTCATGCCACTGCCTCAAATTTTAAATTTAGGACTGTATTTCTTAAGGAAAAACAAAACTAAAAAGCTACTATAGTCTTCAACCAATCAATCACTGTACATAGTTTAAGAAATTCAGAAATGCCCAAATCCTAGTTTGCTTTGATGTTCATACACCTGTAACTGTGCTCTATTATCAATCAAAAACATGGTTAACCTAGCAATTGTAACCAAGAAGTGTTACAACTGCAGAACTGATGCATTTTGTTTTTCAAACTACACCACCTTCCCAGCATTTTCTGCACACTTCGGTCTCATTCCTTACATTTTCTTGATGCCACTTTTCATTGATCTTATGGGCTTCAATTTATTGTTGCAGGCACGTCATCTTGGAGGCAGCTCAGCTTCACACCTTGCTTAACTTTCTTCCCCCTCCCCGCAGGAATTGAAATCCAACCATTGCAGGTTTGAGCCCTCACCAAGCAGAAAGAAGGTAGCAAGAACTCCCTGCAAGCTTCCTGGTGAGCAGCACAGCTCAGCCTGGTTTAAAGATTAAAGGAGAGAGAGGGTGAAACAAAATGCTGAGATTGTGCACTGGCTCAGTAAAATGGGAGTAAGGAGACAAGGAGGTTAAAGGGAAGAAATCCCCCACAGAAAGGGGGATGGTGTGTAGCTAACAGCTATTCCTGGGCAGCGCCATCCTAGCTTCTGCAAACGTGGAGGGAGCAGAAAGGGGGATAGTGCCTGCTTGACAGTTTGTCCCAAGGGCTACTAACCTAACTCCTGCAAGGCAGAGAGCGTAGAAAGATAGACGGTGCACACCAAATTGCTTGTCCTGTGTGCTGCCATCTTACCTCTTGTGAGGCCGGTAGCGCAAGAAAGGGAGATCGAGGGCATCAAACAGCTTGTCCTGCTTCCATCTTATCCCCTGCAGGGAGGTTTCAAACCTGAGAAGGAGGACTTTTATGATTTACTTTAGGTCATTGAGGAGGAGATTTATAATAATAATCCTTGCATTTGATATAGCGCTTTTCACGTCTTCTAGACATCTCAAAGCGCTTCACAGAATAGACTGTAAAGTGAATTGACTGTACATATTTGTGGGTGATTTACTTTAGGTAGGAAATAGATGTAGTACAGATAAATACAAAAATTGTTAAAATTACATAAATACAAAAGTGTTGTTAAAGAGTAAAGAAATACGAAAAGTATTGTTTTTAAAGTTTAAAAGAAATACAAAAAAAATTATGTTAAAGAGTTAAAGCAGGTACGTTTAAGAATATGAAATTGTAGGCAGCATGTTAAAGAATAAACAAGAGTTAGAAAGAAAGATAATGGTCTATGATTCCCTTTGTTTCTGGGTCTTAACCGAACCTTATAAAGGAGAAACGTTCACAATACCCCTCTCATTTTGCACTGAAATGTTAGCCTAGATTATGAGCTCAAAGTCTTGACATGGGCTTGAACCCACAACCTTCTGACTCAGAAGCGAGAATGTTACCAATGGAACCACACTGACAAGTTCCAGATAGAAAGGTACAATTCATCGTCCTTACATTTGATTTAGCGCCTTTCGCATCTGAGGAACATCCCAAAAATGCGTCAGGATTTATCGTAAAATGTATCGACAACATTTTGTAGGTGAACACAGCACATATTCATACACAGAAATGTCCCACAAACAGCCATGAAGTTGGGTTTTACCCACATGTGAAGGTGGACAAACCTCCAGATGTGGACCCCATGACCCTGGATAATGTCACCAAGCATGTACATGAGGATAAGGAAAGAACTGGAGCAACACTGTAAGTGATTATGCAGGAACTGAAGCAGAGATGTAATGAAACATTGGCACAGATAAGAGTAGAAATAGGAAAGTTCTGTATCAACAACAACAAAATTACATTTGTATAGCGCCTTTCATGTCGGGATGTCGTCCCAAGGCGCTGAACAATCAGTGTTTCAGACCTGAGCTAGGGGTTGGGATCAGGGAGGGTGGAGGGCGGGGGGTGGGGGGAAGCAGGGTAATCGAAAGCACGATCGAAGAGGAGGATCTTGAGATCGGTCTTGAAGGAGGCAAGAGAGGTGGCGAGGCCCGAGGGACTGCGGGATGGAGTTCCAGAGTGTGGGGGCAGAGTGGCAGAAGAGGAAAGTTTTCAGGCTAGACTTGAAAGAGGGGAGAGAGAAATTAATACCAAATTTCATAAAGTAGTATTTTTGTGAAATTGATTCAGGCTGACATGAATTGTGAAAAACTATAACAAGCTGTTTTCAGTAATTCACATCTTTCTTGCTAAATACAAGCTTTGCTTGTTGGCAAGTTTTAAACTAAAGGGAGGAAGAACTGGCTTATAAACAGCTTCAAACAGGAACTCAGAACTATAACAAAGATTTCAACCAAATTCTGAAACCAAAATGGATCAGAAATCAACTCAAGCGTTACATAACAGTGTAATCATCAAGGTTTGCTCTCAAACTGGCTGCATTTGAAACAAATGAACCTAGTTCAATGGGGTGGCATCTAACTGTACAGAATAATAATATAATATTCCTTGCATTTGATTTTACGCCTTATCACATAGTTGAGACATCTCAAAGCACTTCACAGAATATAGCGTATTTTTGTGGTTGAAACAATTGCGCACAGCAGTGTCCCAAAAACAGTCATTGATTGAGTGACCAATTTATTTATTTA